CCCCAACACACGGTATAAAATAAAGTAAAGAAGACGAATTCCGATTAACTCACACCCCCCCAACCCAACCCACCCATTCATCCATCGCCATCACAACCACCCAACCACCGTCACAAACCCCAGCTAACAGGACTCAATTCCTCTTCTTCGCCCCACCCTTCCCCTTCGTCACCCCGGAACTAACCCCCTCAGCCTCCCCCTGCCCAGCAGAAGCAGAAGCAGAAGAAGCCTTCTTCCCCTTCATATCCTCCACCTCCTGCGCATCCTTGCGTTCCGCATACCACTGCCCCGCCTGCAACACCAACACTCCAATCAACACCAGCGCCAGAATCGTATTGCTAGCCGCCAGAACCTTCAACGAATCCTCCCGTCCTAAAATCTGGCCCTTCTCCTCCTCATTACTGGCCAAATCCTCCCCATATTTGCCGGCACTCACCAACCGCAACCCCTTGACGATATTCGCAATGTACACCGTAATCCCACACATATAGAGCACCAGCGACGCGCCATCAAAGAGCATATTGGATTCGGAAGGCTTATAGAGTTTCAAGATGAGACCGAGAAGGCCGAGGAAGATGACGATGTGGAGGATGCGGGGGATGAGAGGCGGCGAGGCGTGCAGGAAGCGGAGGTGGGCTTCGAAGTAGTCGTAGTGAGTTGGGGGGGTGGGGTGGTTGGACCAGAGGATTGGGTAGTCATAAGGTAAGAGGGAGAAGATTATCCCGAGGAAGAAGGCCGTTGCTGTATTTTTCTCTTGGAGTTAGTCGGTGATCTTTGGGGGGATTTTATGGGCGAGCGTACGGCAGACGATGAGGAAGGTCGCGAAGGACCCGGTTCGAAAGGCCATTTTGCCCTTTTTTTTCTTTCCTTTTCTTTTGTTTTTTTTGTTTGTTTGTTTCTGGTGTGCGTGGGCGTAAAAGAGATATATGAAAAGGGAGGTGAGACTGAGAGGGAGTGTATACGAGAAAGGCAACCCGGAAAGAAGACGAGGTGGTCGCGACGAATTTATTGAATTAAATTGCGGTTGGTTTGCGTTTTGCCAAGATTGAATTTCCCCAACCAACGCCCCCGGCTTATCGGCGGTTATCAATGGGATTTTGGGGATTGGGTGGGATTTGATAAGAGGATTGATTCAGTTAGTAAGTTAGTCGATTATTCTGAGAAGGAGATTTCAATGGTTATTTCGTCTCGAATCAGGTGATTGGCGTGGTTTTAGGTATTTAATACTTGTATCTTCTTTCTTTGAGGTCCAGGTGAGGTTTTATGGGCCGAGGTAAGTATGGTCTGGGGTTACATTGCGATTTAGGGTGTTGAGTTTATTTACGAGGATTGCATGTTGGGGCTTTGTTTTGGGGGCTTTCTTTCTTGGTTCCTTTACTGTTCTTGTCTATCTTCGAGATGAATTGGAGTCTTCATTGATATGACACCCTCTGAATCAGGCACCCAATGAAAGTATCTACACACAATGATGTCCGTCAATATAGCTCTCTCCTAGAAGAAGCCTTCCCGGTTTACTATAGTAGAACTAGAATCGATAAACACGTTGAAAAGAGTATCCTGGTCTACATCCGCAGTGTCGGTGCACTGGAATGTCCGATATAACGTCGTCGTGCTTTGACAAGCGTTATGGGGAACCCCACACACCACTCATAACGTAACCTTCCAAGCTTCCAGACCTCCATAATCGGCTTGTATGCCCGGCTGGGACTGACCGTAATGCATGTCTTGACTGTCATTCCGGATGTTTTTAAGTATCCTCTCGCATTGATCGCCACTCGCGACAGTGACTCTGAGGTTCCAACCTCTAACACGACTGTCGAATCAAAGCCCAAGGTCAAGGGATATGTTGCGTCATCCGGTCTCTCTACTGCTGGAGCATTGCTGGTTCTGTTGGACCAATTCAACAGATAAGATCCATCAACCCCACTAGGCTTAACAGTAGCCCTAACACCTCCACTCACCAAAGCCGATGGACAATTTAGTTATCGATCAGATCAATCCCATCACAAGCACTGAATATCTGTGAAATGGCTAATGGAACACAACCCTCGACGATTCCCTATAGACCTTCACACACACACTACAAAAGCCCTCACCAACTGTCAGCTCGCTGCCCTCAACTGTGGCCATTCTTTCTCACACAGTCCTGCACTCAATTAACCCTCAGGTCCCGGGCCCGTTCTGTGGACTGCCGCCATTACGTACACTAAGGGCAGACATTCGTTGCAACGACAGGTTTCCAGTGTATAATTCTGGTCAACTATCATAGACCAACGCCGATAGGCTGGCGGTTAGGAGAGTATAAGCATAGCCAACAAGATCTATCCAACATGATTAATCAGTACATCATCAGGACCGAAGATGGGCATCAGGGCTAACCACAAATACAGGCCGGCGTGTAGAGGTGACCGGCTGTGACATGGTCAGGGCTGCCAGGAAGGTTGTAGATGAGTGTCTTCGTTACGGCCTCGAAGGTAGCAGAGCAATGATAACAGTTCCTGAAGATAGTTCACCGCGGAAATCATCTATATAGTCACCTCTCGACTGAAGAGACCATGCGTAAGCTTGCCAACCATCTGTGCAGCAAAACACTGGGAGAACCAATCTGATAGTAACGTGGACTTAAAATACATGGTAGGGCTTGCTTTCAAGATCTCCATGGTACTATCTGCAGTGATATCCTTCCTGCGAACTGTTGTAAGGGTTCTGTGGAAGTAACGAAGCCAGATCCGTAGTATCAAGGTCCTGGATATCATTATCTATCGCTTCTTTCCTTGGCTCCAAACAGATAAGCTCATTGTCTCGCACAACCCAGCGTGTCAAGTCGGTGTTATCGCATGGTCTTTGATCCTCAATCCCGTCTGCATCGCTGCCTGTGATCAGAGAAGTCATCTCGGTAATGAGCCCTGCCATGGCCCTGTTATTGCTTCTTTTCTGCAGAGATATGTATTGAAGCTATCGTCGATGATATATTCACATACAAGCACAAAGCGACTCTGTCCCAATCTGCAGGGCTTGCGAATGGCTTCACTCAGTAATGTTTTTCAAGTAGTCGGAGTAAAGAGGCGGACATTTCGACATTGGTGCTGCAAATTAAGGCCCGGCATCCGGGGGTTATCGCTTCGTTAAGAACCGGGGATGCAGATGCGGCGGTGGAACGGTCCACACCTAGAACTGTCGTTTTAGACCGGTACTGCCATCAACATCGAATTCCGTAACACGCAGCGTGAGATTGTAGGGTTGGATAATCGTGATCACCTGCTGGTCTGCCATCTGAAATAGCCATGTTGGTCAACGGTCCACATCTTTAGTCCAGGAGTAAACCCATAATATGGAGCATGCTGAGGACTCTCGAAACAAGTCCTCAGTGGAAAATTCAAGATTCGGAAAATGACAGGACATGAGCATCTCCTGGGCCACGTAACAGCCATTCGTTGGTTTGCCCATCCTTCCCGAGATATAGACGATTCAAACATACAATTTTCAGGAACCACTGGTAATATCGCCACAGTCCAAATACTAGAGCAGCGGTACTGTAAGGAATCTAGGAAGTTGGTAACTCGTTTCCGTTGCAAGATTGATATAGTCTTCCCTCGACCGGTCCTCTTGCTTCAACTTAGAGGGAGCAGTTACCGCATTTTCAATTTCGTCCACAGGTTCCACCTCAGGGAATCTCTTTTTCAGTTCATCTCCTAGTCTCTCGTAACTATCCTTGATTGTTTAAGATAAAGACTGAGCAAGCCTGGCAGCTGTACCTCAAAGACCAGATGGAATTGTGGTTACAATTACCTTATTCTTCTTGTCTTCCTCAAGAGTGATACCAACCTATACGAACTGATATTGGTTTAGGTGCAGATCAAGTTCCTCGGTCGGCAACCCCGAGAAGATCGACTGGGGATTAAGAGACATTATTATGTTACAGATCGTTGATAAATTCGGAGAGCAGTCGAACAATAACTCCACAATAGGTATCTCAAGCTCGGTAATATACCGGTTATAGAACAACACGGTCAGCTAACTCAAGGCTACTGGATCCACGATGACCTAGATAAGAAAGGAGTGGGTAACCAGAGAACCAATTTTACAATAGAAAAGAACTCCGCTTCTCCGGTTTACTTCTGAGATATCTCAACAAGAAGACTCGATGAAAGAGATACAGAAGTTAGAGAGTCGATTCGATATCAATTGATAAAGACTTCAGGAAACAAAGAAACAATTCTTTGGAATAACCAATCGGCTAGGTTCTCTGAGACCGCTCCTTAAGCTATAGAGTCCCCGATCTCCCGGTCTCTCTCTGGGATTAGCTTGTTCAGGACCTGAGGGCGGCAGGATTGGGTAACGACAACAACAAGAGCTTCACACGTCTGTTGGGATATAAAGAAAATAAAAGGTCCAACTGATTGGGAGTCCCAGTCAGGTCACCAAATGTAACGAATCTAGGAAGTTGGTACCGAAATCCCTTCGCTCTGATACTCGGAAGTAGGCTGTTCTTATTACTGTTGATCTAGGAACTAGGCAAACTAGGTTTTCTTTCCCGGGTTGCTGACCAAGATAACATAGATCTATTATCCATAATTGAGGCATCCTAGGCCTCATTCTGGAGTCGAGTTCTTAAATTCTTCGTCGGTAGCGTCAGCAGCACCACTAAGGACCAGGACCCAACGAAGAACCCACTGCAGACGAAGGAGCAATATGGGTACCAGCCAGGTGATTAATATTAAATTTCGAGTATATCCCCTGAGTGGATCTTTTCCCTGGTTTCCAGCCTGAACAACTTAGCCATCTCTTCAGTGTTCATTTGAGGGAAACTTTCAGGGGGCAGAGGTACGGGGTCCATTGGGATGCTGGAATTCCTATTGCTGCTCTTTCAGCCATTGCAGGTCTTGCGGTTACTGTTGTTACAGGTGCTGCTATTCCTACTCCTAGAACAACCTGCTTTCGGAATATCAGGAGTCGGTCGTGACAGGGTGTAACTGATGACGTCTCGCGAAGTTTCACCCTGGTTTCTGCCACAAAAAAATGACTGCAGGCTCCTGCAAATTCCTCAAATGTCTTAAGCCGGTATTGATTGGCCGCTTCTGTCATTTCGAGGATAAGATGAAATTTCCCGGATTCAGTGTGTAATGGACTTAACAGCATCATAGCATTCTCAACGCCTTGACGGGCCTCTATGCCTCGCTCTCCTGGATGCTCTAGTAGAGGATGGAATATAGGGACAAAGGGGAATCATAACCGGCGAAGGGGGTGGAAGAGCAGGTGCATGAGTCGACACTACCTAGCTCAGTACTCACTCCCTTCCCAGTGACTAAGTACGTCTCCCGAACATGGGATGCCAGTGGTATGATATACTTCGGCAAATGGCGTTTATATGCCAACGATATAGACGAACCACGGTTGTCTTGTCTTGATCAACCGTGGTTGGTTTTGCTCTTCTGCTCATAGTAGATTTATGCACCCACAACAGAACAGAGTGCCATTTCGAGTAATTTCTTGACTGGTGGCACTTTTGAGATGTCCCAGTTGTTCAACTGCTCAATCAACGTTAGCCTACCCATCCTTGAATGAGGGGTCAAACAATTCACTCAAATACTCAACTCACAAGGTCCAGCGAGAGTCTATAATAACAGAGACAGATTCGACAGCAAGTTTGCCGAACAATGAGCTCTTGCGTTTGTCTGTTGCCTGTCAATTGCCAATGAAAGGCTCTCCCCAGAAAGATATAATCCACAATGTTGTCAATGATTTCTGAATCTGACGCCGCGGACTAGAGTTTGCCCTGTAGTCTAAACTTGGTTATGGTATGGCCCTACATCTCCAGGGACCTTGTATGTTCAGGGCCTTGGAAAAATGAGATCGGTGTGGCACCTGGTGTTTGATGGTCAGGGTTTGTAAGGAACGTCCCTTTCTTTCCTTCGTGGGGGAGGATTGAGTACTCTTAAGGCCTCGTTCTCTTGGGATGAGGGTGTGGACCTCTCAGCTAGGTTATTATGGGGAGGGTATTCGATTGAAGTTCGGAGCTGAGTGTAGGGTTTAATATGTATGGTTCACAATAGCTATGGTTGATGCGTAGGTCCGATGGGTAATGTATAACTTTGGTAGATGCTGTGGTATGAAGAATCGTGGGAGTACATCCTACAAGGACAGATCATATGGACAAAATATTCCATTAATTCAGGTTCTTCACCTAGGGTATTCGTCGTGAATTATATAAGTGAAGTGTGTAGTCGAACTATCTTTTGTGAAGAAAGCTACCCATACAGGATAGAGACAGTGAAGATATATGCTATACGATGTATCCACTTCAGAGCAGGTAGTCTGCCGCTATGCCAAACCTAACGCCGATATCTACTTCCTCTGGGGAAGCCCTGTTCTCAGACAATAAGAAATATAGTATAGGATAAATAGACCTCAAAATCATGTCAACATGGTGGTATCTCCGGGTTAACCCAACCGTAAATGCAAATAAATCTCATAAAGAAAACGAAAGAGTATCACTATCCCGTCGTATCGTGCTACCGTTGATAGCGTGGCAATGACTCGTCTCCATGTGCATTGCCACCAACCAGCTGGTGATCCCCTTCGTCGTGGAAGACGGGGGCGCTCGGCCCATCAACGGTATTGCTATGGGAAGGAGCATTTTCATCTGGTGCACTCGCCTCCATCAGTAACCGTTGTCGCTCGAGCTCTTGCTTGTCATCGCCTGGTGCGGAAGGCTGGCTCATAGTACTGCTGCCTGGTACAACTGTTTGAATGGATTCGGCCGACGTCAACATGTGCGGCACCGTGTTCTCGGTTGGTGTGGGCAAATGATGGTAGCCATTGATGCGATCATCCTCGGGGAGCACCGGAGCCGTGGGAACATCAGTCGATGGTCCGGCTTCCGCCTCGTTCGGCGGTTGACTCGGAAGCAGCATCTGCTCGGCGTGCCGCATGCGTGCCTTTTCGTCTGTCGGTTCTTCCGATTGAGGAGTTGATACAATTTCGCCCAATGACTGGTACTGCGGGTGAGACTCCTCCCCATACTCCGGCCAGAACAGCTCCTGCGGCCCATACTCTTCCGGTGACGGATATTCGGATTCGCCATTGGGCACGGAGTGCTGATCTCCCGGCCAATGTTCGCCATCCCCCTGAGCATGTCCGCCAGAGGACTGCAGGTCCGAACTCCCCGCGGCCGAGGAGGCGCGCCGCGGTTGGTTGTTCCGGCGATGGGAATCCCTTGTCCCAATCACCACCTCAAAGGCGACGGCGACGACACCTTTCTCCCGCCGGATTTGATCGGTATCTAGGATATTCCCCGCCCAATTCGCCGTGATGGCATTGCTATTGGCATCGGTCGCATTCAGGACCTTTCCGCTGGGAGAATAATTACTGCCGGAGGTGACCAAGTTGAACCGCGGCAAGAACCGCTCGGGAGAGGTGAGCTTGCCGCGAAGATCAACGACGACCTCGACATAGTAGCGGAAATTAATCATACTTCCCGGGGTACGCGTGATGGTGGGGAAGGTATCTTCCGGAATGCGGATGGACGTCTTCACGATCGCCGTTAATGTGGTGGGATCGACCACCAACGGGGCGAACGTCTGCGCCAAGTCTTTCCGGAAGACACTGCTGGTCCGGCTGGTGCCGATCGTCAGACCGCCCAATCCCGTTCGGGATCGCGGATAGATGTCCTCATAAACGGGCTTCTTCCCATTCGCGGAGGACCCAACAGGAATCGATGGATGCAGGTCAATCCGCCCTTGACGGTAGAGTGTGATGATAATCCCATGCGCGCTGCGCACCTGTTTGCAATGGTTAATGGTGACTTTGATCGGTAGTGTATCTCCGGGGAGCACGCCCGCGCGCAGAACCTCCGTTTTAGCCGTGATGGTCTTATCTCCTAAGGAGGGCGTGAGACTGCGCGCTTCACTATTTCGCAATCCAGTGCCGACCGACGAGCTCGGGTCACTTGCGATCTGGAAGCTTTGACTGCTGTTGCTCAGCCGACTCGACGAGCTGACGTTGCTGGGAGCGGGACTTAACGGAGGGCGGTGATCCGAACCCGCCGCGCCACTGACCGAAGCATCCACCGACGTTGAATCCGGTGCCGCATCCGAGCTCGTCGACTTCGCCTTTGCCTTCGATCGTGTGCGCTTCGAGACCGGCTCCAGGGTCACGACACGGGCTCTCGGTGCGGGAAAAGGAGCAATATCGATATTCTCCATGAGGTTCACGCGGCGGCGGCAAGAAACGGTGGGGTTGATGGTGGTAGGTTTTGTTAGGGTGGACGTAAGCATATACGCAATGGTGCCTCGTTCGAACTAGACGCCGCATCCGTTAGTGAAATGGGGGAAACATGCGCGAGCCACCATGGATACGCACACTGATGCTACTGGGGAGGGCATATGGCGGAAAGACCATCTCAAAGCGAAACTTGTAGATGCCCTCCTTAAGCCGGCCCTCTCCGCAGAGGACGACCTCATCCTCGAACAGAGTGGCCAGCCCATTGCCCAAGTATTCCGCCCCTCGGCGCCCGCGCCCAGGCCCGAGAAATCCCACATCTGGGGCCGTCTCCCCAGACGGGACTGTATTCTTAAACACCTTGACATAACCATGTAAAGAAACCACGAGATGTGTAATGCGAACGGGACGAGCGACGGTAAGGACGACGGTTCCCTTGATCACATCCCCAGGAAAATATGAACGCCAGGGATCGTCGGGTTCGATGTAGAAGTCAGTCAGGCTGCGATTGCGCTGACCGAGTGACGAGCGAAACTTGTGTAAGAGAGAGCTGCGATTCCGACCGAGCGGCGACGAGGAGGTTTGAGCGGGGGGAGAGTTGACGGACATGACCCACAGTCACACCTCCCTCTGTCCATACACGAGGAGTGGAGGTGCTAGTTGGTAAGAGGAAGAGAGAAAGCGGAAAGAGAAACGAAGAGGGGCGACAAAGAAAGGCAGGGTCAGGGAGGGGAGGAATGCAAGAACAGAGTCAACTTCAATATCCACAATATCAAACGACCAACCAGAGACAACGAACTCAGAAGAGCGGACAAGCAAGGGGGATAAATGGTGAGCCCGTTATGGATAAAGGGCTGTGCCAAATTCTCCGCTGCAGCCAGATAAGGCCGTGTAAATGAATCAATGACCGATCGATATTAACAACCAAATGAGACCAATCGATCACTCGATTGATCAATCAATCTGCCAGTCGGGAGTTTCGGGCAATCAATCCCACCAGACCCAATGTCAGCGTCGGGCGCAAATGCCGACAGGGGAAACAAACACGCGACCGAGTAATGCTTGTTTTTTTTTTTTTGTCTAGTGCTTCCTTTTTCCGTTTCCCTTGCTTGTCCCTCCAATCTAGAAATTGCACAGGCGACAGGGGAATGTCGGAAAAGGGATCCTATGTACAAACGACGAGTCGGACGGAGGGGGTGACGGCAAAGCGACCGAGAGAAAGAGGGGGGAGAGAGAGAGAGAGGCGCAGGAGAGTCACGAGAGGAGATGACAGGTCCGCATCATTGAGAGAGAAATGGCAAGAGGGTCAAGTATCGCCCTCAGCCCCGGAAGTACAGATTGCCGGAAGTGAGGGAGAGAGAGAGAGAGAGAGAGAGAGAGAGAGAGAGAGAGGGAAGGAGAGAGAAGCGGACGAGACGAGGATTCAATGCGGGATCGCAGGTCGAAGGCCAATGGAAGGGGAGGGCCGGGCAGGTCGGAAAGCGCCCGGTCTGCAGGAAGACTGTCGAGTGATTTGTTGGGATACACGGCGAGGAGTTTTGGTGGAGTTGAAAACGAGGGAAATGAGTTCGCGATAAGCCAGAGGGCGGAGAAGTGGAAAAGCCAACGAATTCGCGTGGCCCGTCAGTCAAGCTTTTGTTCTCATGGGCTTTGAGACTTGGCGCCTCCACACCTGTCGATTTTAGAGTTACGTATAAATAATAACTACCCGTGTTTTTGAGTGAGTGAGTACCATATGTATGTATATCCTCGGGATACATACATACATAAATCGGTTTCCTAAAATCATTCCCACTCGCGCAATCCTTCCCCTTCCACATAATCCTCCCCGTAACATTCCCTCTGCAACATCTCCATCGCCTCCCGATCGCCCCCGACCACTTTTCTCACAAACCCTTCCAAGATGTAGATATTATCCGTCCACATCTGCGCCTCCCGCTGAAACTCCTGCACCTCATCCTTCATCTCCTGGATCCCCTTGCCCCCATCCATGCTTGCTGACACAGCCAACCACTCCTTCCGTAAGCGCTGACACTCCTTCTCTAACTCCGTATATTCCCGGGTCAACCTCTCTCGCTCACCGGGTTCCAGAGCCTTCTCATCATCCTCTATCGCCCGTTTCCTGACCGCCAATTGTCTATCCAGTTCCTCATTACTGCTCCGTACCCGATCCACTTCTTTCTGCAGCTGTTCCACCTTTTGCTCCCACTCCCTCCTCTCATCCCCACTGAAACACCAGTACCAGTTCCCACTTCCAATCTTCTCCACCCGGATCTGGCCCTCGTCGGCTAATTCGTGCAGGGACTCCTTGACTTGCAGGCCGTTGATCGACGCGATCGAAGGGAGCATCTTCTCCAGCTCTTTCAGTGTATGGCAGGTGCCGGTCGACCGGAGGTGGGAGACAATCCGCGCTTGTTTTTCGGCTTTGGTGAGTTTGGGAGGCTGTTCTTTAATTAGTTTGATGTGGTTGATGGGTTATTGCGTTGTGTTAAGATGGTAAACGATGTGGTTTTGCCTGGAGTAGTGGACGTACCATGGTGTGAGTTATTAAAGGTAGCCTAGGAGGTCGAGGTTTGGTAAGTTATTAGGGTATTAAGGGTACAGCTGATGTCAGTTCGATGGGGACTGAGGTTGAGACTACCTCTCAGTACCGGTAGAGTGGAAGGACAGAATACGTTCAATCTGTAGGACAGTCGATGTCAGGTGCAGTCACCTGGTTCCAATTCCAACTCGTGATCATCTACCTTACATACCTCAGAGAAGAAAGAGGGAAAACCTCGTCCACAGACGCCAAAGCAGTCGCTACATGAATCGCAGGTAGGTTGTATACAATAGAGAATAAATCGAAGTCCCAGAGATCCCCACCGAACAACACCAATTACTAGGTACAATAACCACCATGACGAGACCAATCTCAAACCTTCGACTCGCTCACGCGACCCTGATCCTTCTTTGTATCACTAGTCGGGACGACCTCCTCAACATGCAGTGTATCTACCAGCTCTCGAGCTTTCTCGGTGGCGGCAGCACCGCCGACCATGGCGGTCTCCCCGTCGAAGTATCGAGCGATTTCCTCCAGCGGAGTATTACGTGTCTCAATGTAGAAGAACCAGACCACTACCAGCTCGATGGCAAGCCACACACAGTAGAAGATGTAGTACTTCCAGCCAATGTTATCGAGGGCGATGGGGTTGATGTACTGGTTGAAGAAAACTGTCAAGTGTCAGCGACCAGCATACCATGGGAGAATCACAGGTACTTACGCGCGGCATCAATGCAGAGCCACACCACTGTCATACCCTTGGCGCGGATACTATACGGGAGGATCTCCACCGTGTAACCCACCAGAAGACCCGACCAAGCAATGTTGTAAAACACATAGTAAATGTAAATCATGGCGACCACCGCATTCGCCGCCCCCGACGCCTTGCTTATATCATAGCGAGCGGAGCAGATGGTCCACACGATGAACGCCACCAGCATACCGGCTGTCGAAGTAAGGAAGAGCTTGCGTCGCCCAATCTTGTCAACAAAGAAGCACATCGTCACAGCCACGATCAGGTTGAGGATCTGAAGACAGCCATTGATCAAGTTCTGCTCCACGGAACTAGTGTATCCGACTGAGTCAAGGATTTTGGCAATATAGTAGGACACCAGGCCGTTGCCGGACCATTGAGAGAACAGACCGGCCGTGATACAGATGATAAGCCGGTGCCGGTTGCCCTTTGTGCGGATCAGTTCCATCCAGCTGTTGCTTTCGAACTCCTTCTCGAGCCGAATGGTCTCCTTGATCTCGTGCATCTCCAGCTGAACCACTTCGTCCTCTTGGTCGCCATTGGCGTGGCAGTCCGCCAGCACTTTAAGGGCCTGCTCGTGTTTGCCTTTGTAGATGAGGAATCGAGGTGATTCGGGGACAAACCAAATGAAGGCGATTTGAAGGACCGACGGCGCAGCCTGGACGATTGTCGGAGCTCTCCAGGACCAGTTGTTTGAAATATTATTAGTGCCGAAGGTGAGCCATGCCGCGACAATGGCGCCCAAGTACCACGTGGCTGGACCTTGTTAATCGAAACGCACAAGAGGACTTGACTTGGATTGCAGAGACACATACTATTATAGATTGTGGTGAAGATGGCACGGTGCTGGGTGTGCACCAGTTCGGTGATCAATAGGGGAGAAGCGCCGTGGGCAATGGCGACGCCGAAACCGATCAGGAATCGAGCTGCCAAAAACATGCCGAAATTGGCACTAATGCTCTGAAGGACAACGCCCAGGATCCTAACCTATTATGAGCACCCGAGCCATAACTCTGGACGGGACAAGAACCTACATGACCAAGCAACCGATCAAGATACCCATCCGACGTCCCAGCAGATCAGCAGTGTACGGCACAACTGGTAGAGCGGCTAGGGATCCTAGGGACATGATGGCACTCAGGATTCCCAGAAGAGAGCCACCGGGATGATTGAAGTATTCCTGCCAGGGGTCGAGGGTTTGGAGACCGTTCATCATGGATCCATCGTAACCATTCGTGGCCTATTCAGAATGCGAGATGAGCACGAGTTCGCACGGAATACTTCTGGTGAACCAGGGGAACATACCGCCGTCAGAACCACCATTCCCAGACAGATATAGGTCTTTCTCATTCCTGGATTCTTCCACCATGTCACCTTGGGGAAATGCCGACCGGCAAGCTCGAAGGTGTCTGAACCCATTGTGCATTCAGTAAAAGGGGTCCGCCGTTTGACAAATGCGAGTCTCTACGACCGAGTTGAAGACACACGTCCGTACCCTACAACAGTACATCGCATGCGGGGGGGGAGGCCACCTTAAAGAATTACCATATTCTACAGCGTTTCAACCGGTCATTTTTCCGTCTATCACACTTAGTCAAACGCTACAGTACATTGTCCGGCTAAACTGCTGGGGACACAGGAAAGCGTGTCCAATGGGGTTTCTCGAGACACGAGGAGATTAGATCGACCGGCAGGTCCCCATAGGGCATGGGGGATCTGGCCTCGAGCTCAATGCCGGCAAGCAAGTGTGCTAGAGCTGTACAGGCTCGGCGGGCCGAAAATAACACAACGTAGACCTAGATGATTCGTCCAAAGGACTCGCCAAGGCGACTGTCGTAGGCGATGAGAAGCAAGCGCATTGATTTCAGGCTAATTGTTCGGAATGTACCCCAGAAACATAAAAAGAGGACAATGCCAGAAGAAGTCCGGGGCTGAGGGACCAGTATGGTAGCGGTGGCTCAAGTCCGGGGAATTTAAGGACGGCCTAGCGTCCGGTCCTCCAATCGAGACGGGCCTCCAAGCCGGAACGAGTAATGGCCAAGCCTCTAGCTTCTGCCTCTTGAGACTTAAGTGATATTGAGACCATGATTGCCGAGGATATTCGTCAAAAACCAATAAGTGGAAGCCAAGCCAGGTGCCGAAGGATCAAAACCTCGCATGCTTGACCATGGTTAACCGGGTAGCTCAATACTCCCCACAACTTTCTTTTACAGGAATTGAGGGTAAATGACTCGTCGTTGCCCGTGTCATTTGACAGGAGATACGCCACGGAATGGCCCAGCTCGTTTCCAAGGGTCATAAGGGGCTGGTCTGTTGGAAGACAAAGCCCCTATTGGTGGATCATTTGGTTTGGGGTCGAGAACTTTTGTAGCGTATCACGAACAGCCAATCTCTTTTTGAACGCCACAAAGAGTCAGATCACGGGGCCAATATATGATCTGATGCCCAAAAAAAAGTTTAGCTGGTATTAATTGCACGGTATATTCATGCACCTGCCACCTGGCGCAAGGACTCCGCGGCTCACTCCGCATCTGTCGTAGAGGCTGTCCGGACCAGTCGCGGCTTTTTTGTTCGCTTCTTCTTCTGTTTCCTCACGATCGTCCCTAGTTCGTCCCCCGAGCTTGCCAGAATACTACTTCGACCAGTATTTGCCCTTTTACGGCCGACGCGCCTCGCAGTCTGGGACTGAGATTGATCTTCTTCGCTTTGTATCTCCTCCCCCTCTACCAGGACTAAATCGCCCGTTTGGCCTAGAGATTCCTTTGCCATCTCCTCCATCAGTATGCCCATAGCAATCAGCGCCGTTTCATCCATGCTTTGGTAGTCATCCTGGCCGCGATCAGGCGTGGCGTAATTGTAGTAGTCAGCCGAGTAAGCATGAATAGCTTCTAGCAGGTCGGAACTAGGGAGCGGACGGTCGGACGGAAGCGATTCATGGGCAAAATAAAAGTCGTTCTCCTCGTACCGAATCGGTGCATTTTGCCGACGAAAGAGAACTTCTTCCGGGCGGACAGGTCGAAAATTAGAAGACGCCGTGTCACGGTATCGCGAGGTGTAAGGTAGTAATGGAAGAAAGCCGTGTGCATTTATCCGGCCTAGAATCAATCAGAACAATTCTTTTGAATCCCGGGTTGGTCGCCCTAACCAGCTACGGCATCGTAGACAGTTGCTTGTCGCTTCTGCCGTCTGAAAGAAGGCCCCTCGGAATGGTCGTCCTCGTCCTCGGGAGGTTGGAAAGAGTTTTGACTTGAGTCAAGCGACTTTCCGTGCGACATTGGTGATCTGGCTGCTCCTTTGTAATGCCCATACGCTGATGCCCAAGCCTCTAGAAATAACTATCGCGATTGCACGTTGAGTTGTTTATTGTAATTCTTATCGCCTGACTCGCATCTGTCACCGTCGCTGATCACGTGTTGAACAATAGGTAATTGAGCTGATGGCGCTGATAAGAAATTTCTCTTATCGCCGATGACATCCACTAAACCCAATCAGTCGTGCCGCTGGCAGATTGAATTCTTGAAAAGCTTTCGCAGGAGCCGCCTTGAATGTTCGATGGTTTGGAGGGCCACTATCGTATACCTGTCATCACCTAGAATTCAAATTTGAGTGAGTACATGTAGTCTACTGGACTACTAATTATACATAACCAATTTTAGAGCCAGAAATGCCTCGTTCCATATCGAGATCACGTGGTCATTCCTACACCCGTTTGTACAGAGTTGGAGTTTTGATAATAATAAGACCTGGATGGTCACATAGACTTCGAATGCATGTTTTAATTTAGAGGAATCGAATGATTGTACAAGAGAAATACATGGCATAATGGTGAGCTATTCCGTTGGTTTGTAACGCAGTTGGCAACTATGTGGCATTCGCTTGGCGGCTATATCAACCAAATGGGATGCCACCTATTCGACGTCGACTCTTAAACCAAAAAGCGAACCTCGGGTCACTTTGTACAGTAAGTGTCTCCACCCTTCATATCTGCTAGCTCATGTATGCATTAAATCTAGGCCTCGATCGTCACATGTACGTGTGGGACGTCACAGCGTCTACCAGAGGACAGGGAACGCAGCGCATAAGCCCACGGTTGTGGTCTAAGTGTATTGGATATTCATTGCGGGAATGGTTCGGCACGGCGCTTGTTGGTTGAAAGACAGTATCATTGCTAAGGGTAATCGATATGCAGAATCCCACTCTGTCTCGAGCTATATGAATGCATTGTCGGTTACAATCCTGTTGTTTCTGTGGGGCTACGTATGTACACGTACATGATGATTGACCTGGGGTGCTCACAAGGCCAACTGAGTCCATTTAGGAGACCGATCCATTGATGGCTAAATTACAATTGGATTGTTTCGACACACCGACTTGACTATGAGTTCTTATCGAATAGCTGCTTGTACTGTGTATACGTATAGACAGATCCTCCGAGCCTATTGACCAAGTCACAGCCCTAGTTTGTGTGTGTCTGTATCTGTGAGCATCAGAAGAGGCAGAGTGTCAAATTCCCTAATTAATATCAATATTTCAATATGCTAAGCATCATAAATCGAAATCGGAAAACTTCTCCATCCGAAACTCCCCAAACAACAACACCAATTGCGGGGTCCCACACTGGTCTGAAATAGATATGCATCGTTTCTAGGCTCTGCAGAATTCCTGCAAAATCTGTGGATATTTGCACACAATAGCATGTTGTACATAATTGATCAGGTAGCTTTGCAGAGTGCCCTAAATGAAATTGCAACCATTCCTAAGATTTGTAAAATAGCTGGAGTTATAATCAGGTTTCGCAGAGACCAATCGAGGTTAAAGATGGCAGTGATAACCCAACCAGTGGGCATACACAGCTCAAGGTTTAGATTTTAGTAATTTTGGATCCACTTTTACCTGGACTGCCCCTTTCAGCTGTTCCAAGATAGGGCACAAGAGTTGCTCGATATGGGGTAAGGTCTCAACTATAAACTGTTATCATCGATTTTGCCTCACCTATCTGGCCCTGTATATCGGAAATCATTGCTTACTCTCATACTAGTATATTCCTTTTTGTTCCATTCGCTCTTTTACAGATCAATTACAGAATATCGTCTTATATAAATCAATTACTTTACCCATATCTTCAAAGAGGTAAAATGTTCGGCCAGGAGGGCTGTGATATATTGTGCACCGTTTAGACTTTGTTCACCTCTATCCTTTGGTTTGTTTTACTTACTATGGTATCTTGGATAGGTTAAATACAGCACAAATAAATACTTTCGTGGTATGATAGCTAAGAACATATTGTGCGCTTCGACTCGCTTGGGACAAAAGTACGACGCAAGCGCGAGGAGCTCCACCAGTAGAATAGCTGAACTACACCCAGAGGGTTCAAGCTGCAACTAACTATGCATTTACTTAATTGGGTTGCTCTTCTTTTGCTCAATGCAGTATTTCCGAGGACTGCGATCTTCTCCATAAGCAGTAGCTCCATAAGCATTAGGGCCACATTCAGTAGTGTGCGGCAATCATGATCATTATTCGAACACAACGGAATCCTGCCGACTTGTGGGGGGAAGATAACAGAAGTTCGTCGTGCATATCCATGCAGCTCTGAAAAGTATTACTATGTATCATGTCAAGGGTGCTCCTTTAGTTTACAAAGCCTGGATCCTTCCTAATTCAGCCATACACATGGGCAGGGACTCGAACTGGATTTATCTTGCGTATCAATTAAGGCGGGATAGACTATTCGCTCGGATGATTCAAACCAACATGCTTTGCATGCGTAAGTTATTAATAGAACAGATCATTTACCCTTTCCTCGAACTGGCGTCGGATTGTACGCCTTGTGAACCAAGCAATGCATGCACTTGTATGGGGGCTTTTTGTTACATTCTCACGCTGGGCTAATGCAGACGCTATGCACATATATTGAGAGCAGAGGGGAAGTTGAAGCCCAAACAGCCAAAGAGCACCCCAAGCCTTGCAGTTATCCAGGATGCAAGAGGTGGGGAGAATCCATATCCCATGATCGTGTTTATACCCAACGATCGAGTGACTCGTTGTCAAAGCATAACCAGATCGCATGCCACGTAAGATGTACCAAGCCCAGATTTGTCACTGTGTGAAGGCGTTATCGATTTATGGTTTTCATATGAGCCTCCTCGCGTATATGTACTAGAATTCCTCACTGGAATAAGTCAAATCAAACAAGCCATTCTAATTCTGTGGGGAATTCACTGGGCAATTCTCGACTTCCCTGATATCGTTCTAATTTTTTGTTATTTTCTTTTTTATATTTTGCTTCTTGAAGGTAATTGAAAAGCACTTCTGTTGGATTTCCTTTGGTCTATCAAAATGTCTCGCTCCGCAGCGGAGATATTGCCAGCGTGCAGTCACCTTGGATATGCGTTAAACATGGCCTCGTTAGGTATGGCATAGCGGCACAGTTGCCAACTATGTATTGTTGGAAAGCTGACACATGTCCATGTGGAGACATCGACCCAACCGACTTCAGATCGGTTTTTAACAAGAGTTCTCTGATACCGATAGTGGAAATCGACAAGACCAACACATCGGATGTGACTCCCCCCGGATCCAAGATCACGTATTCCCTTCCTGGTAATACAAAATATGACAATCTTGGCTCCGAGTCGAAGAACAATGAACTCGTGACTGAGATTGGAAAAGAAATCACCGACAAATTCAACACCAGCGTGGACTTTGGCGTCAGCTACTCGGGCATTGGGCTTACGTCAGGGACACAGTATAGCTATTCTTCCTCGCTCAAATCAACTACGGCATATGGGGTCTACAGCTTCGACCAGCAGGTCTATGGAGCTCGATTGGATCAGGCCCAATGGCACGAAAATGTGAACGGCAAACTGTTGACTGCATTGCAGGCATTACCCAACTGGAATCTTGACGATCCAAGCATATATCAGAAGTACATGTCATTCTTTAATACTTGGGGTACTCATTTTGTCAGTCGATCCTACATGGGAAATCGGTATCAACTTATGGTCTATCGAAAGGAGTTGACCGAGAGCTCGGTATCCAAGTTCAATCTCCAAATTAAAGCGGAGTTTGCTGGCGTGATCCAAGGCGGAGGAGGCAACTGGGGCAGCGAAAAGGAGAAAAAGGAATATCTGAGTAACCGGAGAGTGAGCTGCCTCGTCCGTGGTGGTAAGCCAGCAGCCGGTGGCGAGTTGGCCAACAACCCAACCAGCAAAGATGCCTTTACCGAGTGGCAGAAGACCCGGGATGCTGCCTACGATGCCTACACGTCTGTGCAAATCCACAGCATTGCTGGATTTTTGAAAAACAGTACGGATCCCGCCCACAATGCTGCCGGGGAGAAACTATCCCCGGCGCTCGACTACTGCTGCAACTTTGCCAGATTGCACGGAAAGCTTGCCTTTGAGGTCACCGGAGGAAGCCCTCTATCAGTTCAATGGGGCGAATGCAAACTCACCCCCCTTCCTGGACTGGAGATAACCGCAATGCGCCACTCAGAGTGGAGGATTGAGCCAGTCTCTGGAACTCATGTCAAAATTGTTCGGTCCGGAATAGGGTCCAGCAATGCCTTAATCGACATCACTGTTAAGGCTCCGCCCAAAGAAGTTGATGTTACGCTGAACGCTGCCTTTGCTTCATCTGGAAGTGATGAAAAGATATACCGCTTCTTTGTCCTTTCGCCTTATGGTCCCTTACCGAGGCAACATCGCACACTGGTGATGACGTATAGAAAGAGCGGAGAGGAAAGTACTAACACGGTCAAGCCGTCGTTGCAGGCGTGGGGTGTCTTTAACAATTAGAGTATTAATATAACAGTCTCTTTTACTAGTTTATTAGTTGTTGGAACAAAAACTACTAGAAGGATCAATAAGAGAAACCGTCAAATAGATGGTCAGGCGATAATCATGGGGGCAAGAAATACACACTTCAAGACATAATCAGGAAGACTGGATAAAGCACTGGTTATAATAATGCCCCGTCAATAGACAAGGCCGTAGAAAAACACGTCACAGACATTAATATAATCCTTGCTGAATATCTATATCCACAAAACCCCCGTGTATTCTAAAATCGCTTGAGGGATAGTTGATCGAAGATATTATTGTTTATACATCATTATTGATATAAAAACACACAGCCAAGAATTGCATGTCTCTTATATTCGTAAGGTTCTTATGTTTGTTCAATTTGTCGTGGATAGCACATGGCTTAGTTTAGATTCTTCCTCATATAGCCCTTTTTGCCCTCGAAGGTCAAGACTCCACACCATTTGAGACCGTCACATACAGCTTGGGATCGTAGTCGCACTAAATCAGATTGACGCCGAGATAGGGCTTTGACTTTGGCTCTCTCAGAGGACAAGTCTGAGCTCCTCTGCAGCTTCCCCTCGGAATCCATTAAGAAACTAACCCTAAGTAATCATAATCACTGGTGGGCTGGAGAATCTATTGCGCAAAAGCTGTAGAGATAATAGGTACTCAGTGAGCATTCTGGGCTTGTCGATCTGACGTGCTCTTATAAGCCTATTCCGACCTGCAGGCTGAGGTACCATTCCGCATAGGCTCATACGGAGTAGATTTACCGGTGAGTGACTTCTGGCCAATGGCAGCCTGCTATCGTAGATCACAACCATATCATCCATGAAGCCCTAACATCTTCATGTCTTCAATGATTAGTATGTCTGATATTGGGAGATGATGGCAATGCAGGATTTCTCAATAGTCCACCCTGTTATATTTTGGTAGCAACTGTAGCACAGCGTGAGCGTCTATAAGGCTCACAACTATATTACTTGAAGACGAGCAGTACTATATTGTCTAAGGATTAAGCCAACAATTTGACCCCAAAACAAATGATCGGTGCAACTTTTCTCCGCCCCGCATTTGACGATAAGATCAGAGCCGATCAACGATCAGCAAAACAACGATCGTAGCTGTCACACTCCGATGAATGAATTCTTATCTTCTGAATAGGACCCTTGGGTCCATCAGTCCACACACATTCCATGTTGCGCAAACGAGCCGTCTCGTACACCACCTCGAACCATCCCCCGGTATTCGTTTCTCCAGTCGCCAGAACCCTGGACAGCCGGCGTCAGCAGTAGATGTACACCTAAATTCCGAGGAAGAGCTCTATGCCCACAGGGCCGGGGTGAATGTGTTGGCAATAGATCAATATGACGGGCGATTGTATGTTCCCTAGCTCTTTTCGTCCGTCATTGTACTAAATGAATAAATTAGTATGATCTCCGGGGGCGCAGACCCCTCGATTCACCTCTGGGACTTAGAAACCAGAGGCTCAGAACTAGGCCATGTCCACAGATCCATCGCCTCAGTCACAAAGTCATCTCATGAAGACGCCCATACGCACGCCATCACCTCCGTATCGATATACCCTTTCGACCCGGTCCCCTCGACCATACTGACAACCTCGCGCGATGGTACGCTCAAATTATCAGCCCTAGAACCAAGCGCCATCACCCCAGTCCATACATTTAAACTTGACTGCACACCACATGCCCATTCAATGTCATCACATCCCGCATCACCTCTCCTCATCGCGGTCGGCACGTCCGAGAGACCAGTACGATTACTCGATCTACGCTCTGGTTTATCTACCCACGGCCTACCAGGTCATTCCTCAGCGGTCCTATCAGTTTCATGGGCCCCCCACCGACCACATATCCTGGCTTCCACATCGGCAGACCACAAAGTGATCATATTTGATATCCGTCGCGGAGGCCACAACTCCGCCATCGCTGCCCTAGACATGGACGACGCAGTAGGCCTAATACCACCGCGCAACGCACCATCAAACTACAAAAGTCGTCCCGCATTCTCCCCACACGCCCGTGCACACAACGGGGCCGTGACCGGCGTACGCTGGACATCCAACGGCTCACACCTAGTAACAGCAGGTCAAGACGCACGGATCCGCGTATGGGACGCATCAACGGGGGCAAACACACTCGTACATTTCGGTCCCAGAGTCCGCAACGCCGTGACCTCCCACCTCGCCGAAAGGGCACCACTAATCCTCCCCAAAGGTGTCATGGGTCCTGGACAAGAGACGCTATTATGGGCCAATTTCAGCGAGAGCGACGACCGCGGGGAGATCCTTATGTTCGAGCTGCGCGAAGGGACATTTATCAAGCGTCTCAAGGTACCCGGTCTCATGGGCGGGCAGCAGCAATTCCGGGGTCGGTCTAGCGCGCTTAGCGCTGCGAGGATCAACTCCCTCATTTGGCGTGGCAATGGTGCCTCGGGCGAGGGGTTGGAGATGTTCTCTGCGCATGGAGACGGGACAATCCGTTCCTGGGTATCGAGGGAACCCGAAGGAGAGCCGGACGAGGCGGAGGAAGCTGAGCAGGCGGATCGGAAACGGAAACGGGATGTGTTGGATGAGATCTACAGGGGGTTTATCGGACAAGTCTAAGCTTAATCCTTGCTACACACATATGTATAACTCAAAGAAGAGAACATAGAGAGAACCCGAACATAACCCATTAACTTATACAAAATATAATTTAGTACTCTTACAAACACCCAATATCATACACATACACATCATCCCCCAAATCAACCCAACGCAAAAAGGAAAGAAAAAGAAAGAACAAAAAATCACTCCTCATCCAACAATCCCCCTTTAACCTTCCCATGCTTCAAATTCCTCGTATCCCCCCTAACACCAGGCTTATCCGTACCGATCTGATTAAACTTCGACTCTCCCTCCGCAGGCAATGTATTACCCGTTCCGGTGACTACCTCACCCGACATACCCGGATCGCTCGGACCCCGGGGCAAAGTAGCTTCATTATCGGCCGCGAAGGCAGAAGAAGGCTGGCCGAGACCCTGGTTATCGAAGAGCTGGTTCTCGGATCGTTGTTCGGGTCGCGCCACGGAGGGAATGGTGTTTTGTTTTCCGGCGTCGTTGGGGATGGTTGTGCCCTTTGGGGCCATTTCGGAGAGAGTGCCGCCTTGGTGGGAGGAGGACATTTTTGTGTTTCTTGGTCTTGTTTCTTATTTCTTTGTTTGTTGGTTGTGTTGGTTGAGGATTGAGAGTGTAGTAGGAGGAAGGGTGGTTTCTTTGTGGCTATTGTTCGAGGTTAAAGATTGATAGAATGGATGGATACAGTAGTAAATTGGTTTATTTCTCTGAATTAAAATTGAACATATTGTGAACTGGTGCCGGTATGGGTTTATATAGGGTTGTGGTTGGCATTGGTCGCCATATGTGATGTCACTTGTTCCCTGTTCTGGGAGCGGGTGTATGATGGGACTATGATATCAGTGTTTGGGGACACGGGTGGTTATGCAATTGGGGGGGGATTGTGGGTTCGTTACATAATTGATCAAAGTGGATTTTTGTATTCGTGGTAATTTATGAGGAAATAAAACTAGGATATCGAGAGTTAGCTGTGGGATATTCGAGTATGGGCTTATAGTGAGGTGGTGTGTATACCTTGGTTGATAGTAGGGTATGGGCGGTGCACGTGCGCGGTTACTGATGGATGGATCGTGGCACTTGAGCAGGGTGATGGAATGGACTGAACGAGGATACAAGGACTGCTTTACAATCATATGATGGATATGTTGTTTTAAAGGGACTACATGTATAGATACCACTAAGGTCAGAGCTAAGAGCATTAGAAGTCTACTCAGGCAAGACGAATGGTAAAAACAATAAGTCATTAACTAGCATATCATGACAAAATGGATCTAAACGAGAGACATGGGCGGCGATCCACCACTGGGCTTAAGAATACAGCAACTAGAAAATATTATGTCTCGACATCGAGGTTCCAAGGAAAAGAAATTGAACTACACGGCAGGACACCATCTACAGCACATAGGCCAAGAGGCCAATCACGCCGCAAGCGAGAGAAATGACACCGGCACTAGGGGACAGGTTCGCGGCAGCACCCGTGAACATGACATCGTGAGAAGAGGGTGTGGGTGTAGGGGGGCTATTTGCGACGTGAGAACTGTGCTCGGCGTCGACGCCGACCGGGACATGGGCAGATGGAGTGGCGGCGGGAGTCTGACCGACATGCGCAGCGCTGCTCGAGCCCTGCGGCACGTAAACGTGAACCATGTGGGAAGAGGAAGGACGAATAGTTTGTGTGGATGTCAGGACTCCGTGCTGGTTGGAAGGAGCATGGGTAGGTGCTGGCGTCATGCCAATGTGAGCCAGCGTTGTAGAGGAGGGCACGTCGAAGTGGGAGCCATCACTGACGTGCTGAGGCTGTCCATGAACAGGAGTAGAAGCGGGTCCATGAGCATTGGTGCTATGAGCACCCTCATGAGACGAAGGATCTTCTTTGCGGTGGGAGTTATCCGCACCTGTGGGTTTAGGCTGTTCCTGGGCGGGAGTAGAAGCGGGCCCATGAGCCTCTTCGTGATGGGAGCCATCCACGCCTGTGGGCTTAGGTTGTTCATGGGCAGGAGTAGAAGCGGGCCCATGAGCCACTTCATTATGGGAGCCATCCACGCCTGTGGGTTTAGGCTGTTCCTGGGCGGGAGTAGAAGCAGGCCCATGAGCCTCTTCGTGATGGGAGCCATCCACGCCTGTGGGCTTAGGTTGTTCATGGGCAGGAGTAGAAGCGGGCCCATGAGCCACTTCATTATGGGAGCCATCATCGCCGGTGGGTTTGGGGCTCTTCACTTCGCTATGGTCGTCGTGATCTGTTCCCTGATGGTCCTTGGGTTGCTCATGTTGAGGAGCGGGAGTGTTCACCTGCTCCTGATGCTGGGGACCGTGTGTGGGCTCGGAGTGGGCTTGCACAGTGCGGACAACCGTGTGGACAACCTCGCGAGTCAAGGTGGTGCAGGTAGGGGCAGGCTCTGCATGCTCTTCCTCATGGTGCTCAACGGGCTTTGCAGGTTCCTGCTGATGATGTTCAGCAGGCTGTTCATGCCCATTATCATGGTGATCAGCATGTGGGGGTGCAACAGTCTCGTTGACGTTGTAGTCCAACGACATGGAGTGATCATCGACATTCGCGGAATTGGTCTTCGCGTCAACCGAGTTGGATGCTTCAGAGTTGGCTGCGTTGCCAATGTCTACGCGGCCAGCGTCATCGGCATCGGGTCGATACGCACGTTTGTGGTGACCCTCTTGACCCTCGTGGCCGTGGGGAGGGCCGCCATGAGGGGGTGCGACTTGCACATTCGTATTCTTGTTCACGTCAACTCCGTGGTTGTCCTGATTGTAGCTGTTCACTTCGTGGTTAAACTTGTTCGAGAAAGTGAAGTCGACATCGTTACCGGTGTCAATTTTAGGGCCTCCACGTGGCTCATGCTCGTCTCGTCGTTCATGCTCATGTCCATGTCCATGAGGATGCGGGGGGGGTGTCACGATATTGGTCTTCTGATCAACATCGACCGAATGGTCATCCAAGTTGGCGTTGTTTGTTTTCGAGTGGAACATATTCTCAAAGTCATAGTTGGCAGAGTTACCACTGTCGATAGCACCCCCTTCATAACGCTTTCCGTGTCCGCGTCCTCCCTCACCCTGCTCGTGACCGTGCTGGTGCTCTTCTCCATGTCCCTCGTGCTCACCTCCATGGGGGTGATGCTTCGGTGGCGGGGGCAGGACAGTAATGGTGTGCTTCTCGTTAATATCAACATGGTGGTTATCCACATTGGCACTGTGCACTTCATGTTTGGCTTCGTTCACGCTGTTCCATTGGGCAGCAGTTCCAACGTCCACGCCGTCAGAACCCGGGTGTCCTGCACGAGGCTGATGGCGACCACCCTCGTTATGGCCATCGTGGCCACCGTGTGGCCGGCCATGCGGACCACCATGAGGCGGGTGCGGCGGGGCCTTGAGAATGTTCGTCTCGCTGTGCACATTGGTGGCGTGGTCGTCCTTATTGACGTTATTCACTTCGTTAGAGAAGTCGTTACTGAAGCCCATTCCCACACCGTTGCCTGTATCAACTCGTGGGCCTCCGCCGAAACCCTGGGCACTGGCCATTGCAGCCAGCATGGCGATAGGAATACCATTTTGAAGACCCTTCATCTTGCTTCCGATTATTATTCCTTTCGGAGTCTACCGCTGTTAGAGCCAGATAATCTCGTCAACGTAAGAAAAAGAGCGACAACGGGCTGATGGCCAAAAGGGCAAGCACAGCCGCAACCAATATAAATTAAGGAAAGTAACTGAAAGAAAGACTTCTGATTTGACCGTGCGACTTCTCGAGTTCTCCTTCACGAGAGGGCTGGACGTGGTTGCCCTTTTTATCATCCAAATAACATTAACCCATCGACGCTTGGTATGTCGGTTTCCCCTTGAGCGCCACAAACAAATACCTTCAGAGATTGTTTTCCAGCTGAGAATGCCCGCAAGGAATGGGCTTCGCCAGGCTTGAGCCTTGTTTTTCACATCTCGTTTCCTCCAGGTCAGATCTGATTGCCCGGATCAACATTCCTCACTTCACGGCTTTGCAGGGACCGGTATGCTCTACGCACCTTGTTTCGGTAGGAAGCCCTTGCCTCGCCTATCATCTGGCCCATACCCCTGTTGTTCCACTCATTGTCGAACAGGATTCGCGTCGCATTGGTCCTGGAAAGGGAAGGGAATCGCAATGCATTGACGTTTCAGAGATCTGGGCCGTCCTTTTGACGCAATCGAGGACGTGGCCGATTGTCTCTGCAGGCACGCATCAAGTCACTTCTCGTGACCGAAAGCACCTGACATGATGTTCCACACGTGGCGCATTAAACATGATTTTACTATCAATAACAATCTGTTCTACCATATTATGAGGCAAGAATAATTCAAAGAAAGATAGATTTTTATTTTCACTCATTTGCACTAGTAGTCGAGCTGAGCTTATTAAACATCACAGATATTCTCAAAAGTCAGTATGTATCCCGTCATCGACATTCACCCCTCATCGCCCTCACTAAAGAGGACCCAACGAAAGGCAAACTTCCTATCGAGGAGATTGTTCTCCAGAACCAATCAGTCCGTAGACCGAAGGCAACACGTCGCCGTGGGATAAAGACTGGACGACGGTCGTGGCAGGTTCTGTTAAAGCTTTTCGATGTAATGAAGAAAAAGAAGAAAAAAAATCCCAAAGGAATGCTGGCGATCGGCCTTTTTGTAGCATCTGTGGGTCACGTGTTAGGGGCCGACATTCTTCCGCCGCCAGGCACCTAATCTAGGCGATCAGGCACTGATCTACGAGCGCTTAGCCGAGCCAGGCCACAAGGCCCACTCCAGTTTTGTTGTGAATGAGATGATCTTAATTCTTGGCTGTCATAGACTAATGCTCTGCTCTCTCACATGAAGGAACTGTCACTATCACGACCTAATTCCACGCGTCTGGACGGTTGTTTCGGCCGGTCGAGCGACATATATTTACAAGGTAATCCCCGTCGCACGCCCCGTCGGGGTATTCTGCCATCCCTTTGCCTTTGTTGTCGCCCCTTGTTCGTCCGGTCCACTGTGCCGGAAGTCTGTTTGGCAGAAAAGCTACTCCCAGCGTGCGTTGGGAGACGTGACGAATATGGAAACCGTAAGCAGGTGTGGAAAAAATAAAAAGAAAGAAAGAAACCATCCGGGACACTAGAAACCGAGTCAGATCTGGCCATCTCGCTCAAATTTACAGAACGTACCGGTTCAGGATCCAATAGACCCTTGTTGGTGATTGGACTTCCACACTCCTCCCCCAACCGCCGCCGTAATGCCCAGAGCAATAGCTACCATCGTCCCTACTATCGCAATGGCAATGACCGCCTTCACAGCTATTCTCTGCTTCTTCGGCATTGCCCTCAGCCAGTCACAATGTCTCTTCTTCTCCGTCCAGAGCTTCGAACTGCGGCGATTGTCCGACTCCCCGGATCGTCGATATGCACTGACGCCGTTTTCCAGTTCATTGGCATTGGGTACTTTCAGGGTGGGATTCGGGGTCTGCGTGGAGAAGTTTTGCGTCGCATGGCGATAAAACGGTGAGTATGGCTTTGCACCGACCGTAGGATCGTAATCTGGAACCGCGGGGCTGGGGGGCGACACTAGAGCTTCGGTCTCTGGGCCGTCATTGGGGCCTCTGGAGGATGTGACGCGCTTTTCCTCTTTCCATGACCCGAGGGCAACGAGCGCGGAGGGTGCCATCTTCACGGTTGTTTGCGAATCCCGAGGGGTAGGGATAGGCTCGTATACAAGAAGGTCGGACAGGGCCGTCGTAGGAGGTTCACCCTGCAAATCTTTCCCAGAAGGGAGAAAAAGAAAATAAGGAGCGACACACCACAGTAATAAAGAGTGAAACAATAAACTTCCGCCGTTTCAGCCCTCAATCCATGTTGGGAAGGGCCGATGACGACTTCTTTTTGAAGTATTGGGATTTCCCAATAGGAGAATAAATCCACGGAGAGGAGTTCGACGTCAGGATTTCTGGCAAGACTGGTTCGTCTCATGGGTGATGGAGTGAAGTTATTATCCACCTGACAGCGTGGTCAGTGGTTTCAAACGATGCATTTTCGTTTCTATTTCCAGGGGAAATCCATTCCTCATCACCCCTCGGGGCCAATCAGGGGTGGCTTTGAGATTGCCGTGGCAATCTACGGAGTACGCTAGTCTGGATTCGACTTAGAGAGGTGTGGCGTTGTCCTCGTTTGCTTGACACATGCGCCACATTTGTGGGGTCTGGATGGGTCTGTATTTCGAGGTCCACCACTCGGTGATATCAGGTCTCATTCAGTGAGTGGATTTACAGGGGGTACGGGGGACAACATCAATGATTTGTTATTTGTTATTTGTTATTTACGGAGTGCATATGAAATATGAACCTCGTACTGAGAGTAGAGCCAATGGTACTGAGTGGTTTCAACACTAGGTAGGGCAGATCACCACTGGTCATATTGCAATGTTGGAGATATATATCCCGGTTGATCGTTATATATCATTTGTCCTTCAATTTATAGTATTTGCGGTATGGTACAACCACACAATCCTTATGATAATATCAAATTTAAACCAATGATTGTTTTCATCTTTCCTAGGGTTATCTCTTCTATTGTTTCTTTGCCTTTTATTATCTACTATTTTATTTCCCTTCTTCTTCCCCGATATAGTTACCAATTCAGCTTACCCCTATATCACAGTCAATGGAGAAAGTAGTATTCAATTCTACCCAAAGGCGGCAAGATTACCCTAAAAGCACAGATCTTCAACATAATAAAGTCGACTAGAATGAACCATCGTTTAGGCAACCGCCATTCTCAACATGGCATTAAAGCGCTACTCCAGAGGAGAGGCGAGAAAAGTCTCTTCAAAAATTTCAAAATGCGCCATTACTTAAGCTCACTACTACTGGTCTTGGCAGAACGTTGCCAATAGTCTAATTCCCTCATCCACAGACCACTTCCCCTATTTTTTCTTTTACCCCAACCTGAGCGTAGAAAACGAATACGACATCCATTACCTCATTGAGACCGGTAACTAACTTACACGTATAACTAATTCAAATTACAGATCTCGAACATCCACCACACGACGTTACCAAGGCTACTTCCTAGGCAACGACGGGAATGAATTGCACGTCACGCCAAGGAATCGTGTCGGAAAAGGAATGTTTCGTTTCAACCATGGTCAGTCCAGGAATGTATGTCATAGACAAAAAAAAAGGAAAAAGAATGAAGGGCAAACAAAACCCTGGGACGCGATTCAGGGGCCAACATAAAAGTGGGCACGAGTTTATCCCTTGGTTGCCCCTGACAGGTATCCCGTGGTATGTTGGAAATCTTGTCGTGTTTTGCCCTAGTATCGCATAGGCAATAGTTTCCTTTGTCCGGGCGTACTTAGTTTTAAGTGGTAGGGACATGTAGATATTCACCTTACGGAGTACTAGTATATCGCTCACAGTTCATGAGCACTAGTAATGATGGACTTGTCTGTGAGTACACAAGGGTAACTCCTTGCCATCCCTTTTCGTTGCCCGATTCTTTCTTTTCTTTTTTCTTTTCTTCTCTTTTTTTGCGCAAGAATGGCAATAATTGTATCTTTGATACCGATACATGACCCCACGATCATGAGCTACGTCAGACCCCCCCCCAATATTCTCCAAAATGGTATACCCTTAACGACTTCTTTTTCAATACCCCTAGACATCCTCTCCCGTATACAAGAGCCTTGTACACAACTTGGAGCATTATCATGGATTAATCTTTTAATCTAAATGTTTGATTATAAATAGCTCTCCGTTCTCCAAAAGCTTATGAGCTCATGATCGAGACAATCCAGAGGCTCTACTAAAGTGAACAGGGCCGCTTGAGTCTAGGGTTGCAAAGTCTGCACCGAACCCGCAGCGGTGCGGATCGTAGCCGAGATCTAGGATCCGCACCGGTTTCGGCATTCCCTTCAGATCCCTGCAGATTCAACCGTTCCGAGTATACGAAGTACTTATCGGGGATACGAGAGTCGGCTTTACATAGTAATCCTGTTTAGGACTTGAATAGCCGTATTCATCATGATAGGAGGCTTACTGCTTGTGTGTAGTGGTTTGTACAGCTTAAAGGAAGACTAAAGCCAAAAGTATACTATATAGAGCTCTTGGGCAGGTCGGCGGATCTAGACAATTGAGCTGCGGTAGCAATAATTTGGTTGAGAGTATTACTATCTATCCTATGAATGAATCACGAGCTGAGCTTAGTTTTATAATGTCACATCCTGGTTTATATGTTACCGGATATAATGCACTCGTGTTTTTGATTTCAAATGCGTATATTTTGGAGAGCATGAATACGGCCTAGGGCGCCTTGTCTCCCCTCACAATAGGTGGCTAAGTGTGGAAAATATATGTACTTGGCTAGAGAATGCCGTCAGGAGAAAGCCTCATAGATACAATGACTATAAAGGCATCAGGAAAAGTTCCTATTCAACCTTCCCTACCCATTCTTTCGTTGCGTAGAGTACTATGTTCGGCTAAATCATGACCTTGCCGCTTGGACTAGAAAATTCTGAACTAATGTCTTAGAGATATAAATGCTTCTTGAGAAAAGCAATCTGTGCCAGCACATTAACCTCGAAGTGCTCCCCCTGATAGACCTGAAAATGTCCACAATCTAATTTCAGCAATTCTTTCGGCTCTTGTGCCTTCCCAAAGACGTTAATCTGCAGACTTGGATCTATGAGCGAGTCATGGAGAGCAATAGCCATAAAGAATGGCTTCGGGGAGATCTGGTCAACAAAGGCGCTAGGTTCCGACCGAATAGTATGGAACATAGTCTGAAGAGTGATAGCGTTCTCCTTTTCGGGCTTAAGGTTCTTGATGATCTGCCAATAGTCCCAGCATTCCTCCGTGCCCAGCAGCGCGGACTTAGGCTGCTCCCGAGCCTGCTCCAGCGACTCTGGATAGATAGGGATATACGAAGGGTTTAGGGCAGTACTGTGGCCGCGATCCGCATAGATCTTTTCGAGAGTCTCAAGCGGCAGACGCTCCCGGACAGCACGGCCCGATACAAAGGGTACCTGGGCAATAACTGCTTTGATGCGCGGATCGACCGCTCCAGCAATAATGGCGGCACCACCCGAGAAACTAGACCCCCATTGAATGATGCGAGATTCATCTACGTCGGGACGCTTGCTTGCATAGGTGACGACATCATGGGCATCTTGGATCTGCTCGTAGTGATTGGTATGATTGCGGGGGATACCGTCACTTGCTCCCCAGTTCCGGTTGTCATAGACAAGTACTGCAAAGCCGGCCTGTTGGAACCGCTCCGCAAACTTGTCGAGAAAGTGTTCTTTGATCCCTGCCATCTGCGACCGATGTCAGTCAGCTCTTGCCCGGTTTTGCTCCAGATGGAATGGCCTCTCTCGGTGGAGGTGAGGTGTGCTTTACCCCGGAAGACATGATTATCACTGGGGCTTTTGGTCCATGGGGATAGAACCAGCCCCGCAGTGTGACCTCGTCATAAGACTTGATTTCAATATCCTCGCGCGACATTTTGTAAGTGAAGTATAAGTAGAGGTTTAGAGAATAGATGGGATGGAGCGAGCTATGAAAGGTGCAGACAGGAAGTATAGTTGTTATATATTCTACGGACTGAGAAGATGTCTTTATACGCTCTCAGAAGGGAAATATCACAGAGTGATGTTGGCCAAGCTATTTCGATGTATTATAGAATTAGTGATCTCCATACATAGAGCCGAGGTCGCCTCATACTTTCTTTACCCGCTGTTTACTATTCACTACTGCACTAATCGGGCCCACGAACAGCACACAACTGCAGGAAAATGTGGAGGAAGGCTGGGGCCTATGCATTTGGCGGCTCAGTTTGACCAGCTTTTTCTGTTACATTTCCAATATATAGATCTCGCAGAGAAACGAATGTCACTCTGACCTTAGCCGATAGAAGCTGAAGCGAGTTTGCTATCCTCTACTGTTAATATCTACACAAATGGGACCTCAATTTAGACCTCCAGCCCTCATTGGCGGTGGTATAAACTCTCTAAATCTGGCCTTTCATGTCTGGTTACATATATCTCATACGTCCTCCATCCAAAACACATAAACCCAGTCAAGAACCTTGGCAAATCATCAAAGGACAAACCCCTCAATCACTTATACGCCCCCTCATAAACAACCGGCGCATTCCTCTCCCTCCACTCCTCCAAAACCTCAGGATGATCCATAGGAGGAATCATGCCATTAATTCTCCAATTATCTCTCGGATGCTCATAGATATTATACTCCCATTTAATCCCCTTAGGGTCCAAAATCGGTCTCACAATATCATTGACCTTCCTAATGAACTCGTCTCGAACTTCCTCAGAAGCAATCTTGCGGGCTGCGTGATCCATATGGAAGAACACGGCATTCGGAGGATATTCCCCCCCGCTGTAGAAATTGCCCTCGCCGACCTCGTGGAAGAAGACGTTGATCCAGAAGGCGGGGATGCCGAGACCGATGTAAAGATCGGTTACTTTTCTTGCGATGATTCCTTTTTCCTCTTGGGTGAGGGTGTTGGGAGATAGGTAGAAGGTCCAGCGCGGCATTGTTGTAGTTGTTTGGTTGAGTATGGAAGTTGAGGAGGGGTTTGGTTATGTGCAGGATAGTGAAGTATATATGGAGTGGTATCTTAAAATCCGGGGTGAGTTTGTCTTGTGCAAGTCGTGGGATTATATACGGTAGTAGGTATAGTGCTGTAGTAAGAGTGATCGTCGGTAGTTTATTTCTGGGATTACTGATACTCCCGACCTGGATCTATTCCATCGCGGGGATACAGCACAATCACCGAGGTGGAAAACCACCTTCTTTACCGATATGGAGAGACTATCTGCTTAATTTGACAAATCCTATAAATTCGGTAGATGCCTGCCGAGGATCACTACTATGGGGATATGATGGTTGAGCTCACTGTTTTGTCTATAGACGGTTTATTTAAACACAACCGAGGACACCAGCCTCTACACATCAGCAAACATAGTACCTACACCCCATTTTAAGTCAAGCAATCCTCCACATCTACTCTAATACCATGAGTTCGCTCCTCAAAGCCGACGTCTGGGTCTCCTCCCGTCTTCCCATCGCCATCCAGCGAGACGGCCAATCCAGCGCCTTTTCACCAATATCCTGCACCCTAATCCAGGGCGCCAACGAAGCAGTCCTAGTCGATACACCGATCTCCATCACTCAAACCGAAGAACTAATCCAATGGATCGAAGAAATCGCACCAGACAAAACGCTAAAATACATATACATCACGCACGGCCACGGCGACCACTGGTTCGGCATCCCACTCCTCCAAAAGCGATGGCCTTCAGCACGCGCAATCGCCACACCCGCAACAGTCACCCATTCACAAGGACAGCTTGAGCCAGAAAAGTTCATCAATATCTGGACTCGTTTCTTCCCTGACCAAATCTATCAGCCGCAGAAGACAGCAGAACCATGGCCATCACATACATTCACGATGGAAGATCATGAGTTCCGGATCATCGAAGTCGGACATACGGATACACATGACACGACTGCTCTGTATGTTCCGGATATTCATCTCGTCGTGGCTGGTGATATTGTATATGGGGATGTGCACCAGTTCTTTGGCGAGGCTAATACGACAAGTAAACGACGGGAGTGGCTTCGGGCGTTGGATACGATTGAGTCGTTGAAGCCTCATACTGTGGTTGCTGGTCATAAGCGGGCTGGAACAGTTGATGGCGTCTTTAATATTGAGAACACAAGACGATATATTCTGGCATTTGAGGAGGCAATTACCACGACGTCAAGCCCGGATGAGCTCTATCGCAAGATGCAGGATTTGTTCCCCTCGAGGATTAACCCGCATGCTATCCTAGCGGGTGCGAAGGCTGCATTTGGACAAAATGCATATGAGTTTAGAAAGACTTCGTAAGCAAGTACATCGAACTCTGTAACCCCTCGACGGGGGAACTGCTCAGTGTGAGTTGGCGAGGTATGTGGCTGCTGGAATGAAGGAATTTATGGGCTGGGAGAGGTTCCGAATGGAGTTTGTGGAGGATGGGGCTGCGGTTTGGGGTTAAGAGGGGAGGGAAGGCGCTTTGGTTAGGCCTTTTTTTTTTTTGAAGGATCATTTGGAGGTTTCGGGCTGTGGTATTCTTGAGGTGTTAGGGCTGTTTGTAAGGGGTTTGAGTTGGTTTAGAGCGTGGTGGTGGTGGTGCTTATGGATGTCGGGTTGTTGCTCAACGGTGTGAGGATTTTGAAGGGCTCTGTGCGTGAACCGTCTGTTTGTGCCATTGCACTATTCACGATTGAAAACTTATCTCGTGACGTTCTATATTCCCAGCATTATCTAACCATTTCATCTAAATCTAGTCATCAGCATCGGCAAACATGTCCAATAGTAGTCATAGTCTTAAAGACTCCGGATACTCCGCGGACTCTGCAGACTCACGTCTCCCTCCGCGTCTACTCTCATCGGCTCCACTTCGTCCATGTCGTCATCTTCTCCCCAGAAATCCTTCAAATCCTCAACTCTCCATGCTGTAGCCCAACCGGTCTCACGCTCGATACGTGTCAAGGTTTCGATGATTGCAGTGTGCTCGGAGTGATGTGACATGGCTTTGCCGGCTAGCCAGAGTGGTTGGAGGGCGTTTGTCCAGCAGCCACTGGTTTACTGGTTAGTAAAATCTTAAATAGAAGGAGTGCAATATGCTGGACTTACTGATGGGTATTAGAAGCGGAGATAGCACAGATTTGCCTGGCGTGCCAGAGGACGGATTTCTAGAGTTATATTAGTACGGCGTCAATCAATCCACTAAAGAAGAGGAAATATACCGGCCGCCGGGAAAGCGAAAGAGTCTTCGGCTTCCTTTGAAGTAACAGCAACGCACACGCGTGATACAATTGATTCCCAGAGACTAATCTGGTCAGTATATGTGAGAAGAGCAACGGAATCCAGGAAGACATACTAGCAGCCCCATTCCCATACAAAACCGTAGGAAACGGTCTCTCCTGCCCCGGTCCCGCTGTAGCCGGTATGACAAAGATCGACTTCATCTGATTCGGCCGATTATCGTACCACTCTTCGACGCTATCGAAGAGACGCTTCCACCGGTGCACGTATGTGTCTCTATCATCTGGACTGCCTAGGTATCGACACGATACACAGGACGGAGGAAGTTGGGACGAGGGATTGAAGAGAACACCGAGTGTCTGGGCGCAGAGGTACACGGTGTAGTTTGCGTAGGTGTCGAAGGCGGATATGTTGGAGGCTAGGAAGTGCTGGGATGCTTCGGCTGGACTCATGTCCTTAGGGATCCAGTGGTGGATGGGGATGATTGTTTCTTCTTCGGAGATGAGGCCACCGCAGACGTCTGGTCTATTAGAAAACAATGTTGTTGCAATGAGGGTGGGGATAATGTACCCATTCGTGCGAAGCACCAGAAAAGTGCTTGTTCTTCTTTCCCGGAGAATCCGTTGATCTCGGCGGCCTGGATTAGATAGGCGCAGCCGTCTAGATGTCGGCGCCATTCTTTGGGATTACCTGTCAGATGTTAGGGGTGTCTTGTCTAACTGAAAAAGGGTAAATATGTACAGCTGAGCATTTCCAATACACATAGAATCACACATGATGCTATCACTGGTGTCGTCTTGCTCTCTAGCTCCGGGAGGAGGAGATGGATTGCCTCCTGGTACAGAGAAAGGCTTTCGGACTGGGACTTCTGATTCTGTTTTCGCTCGATCTGACGGGCCGATAAGGCCAAGATAGAATAGCGAAGGTGTGGCGATGACTTGGCCATCTGAGGGTAGGTTGAGGCAAAGTGACGATGATTGTCGAACATGTCCAGCTGATGGGTCAGTAAAGAGATTAACTGCACCGACGTGGGAACAAATACACACCCAAAGACAAATTTCATTGAGATAGTTCTGCCACAGCACATTTTCCCGAGCTGGTGAGAGTTCGAACGGGCGTCTTGGTCTTGAGTAGTTCTGTAATTCACTCGGATGCAACTCAGTTGGAGTCACCGCACCAGAACCTGGAACTGAGGCTGGCGAGCTACACCGACTAGGGATGTCCGGTCGGGCTGTCCAGAGCTGTCGGTTCCGCAGCGTAGTGTGAAGTGCCTCATAGGCGGATCCAGGGAGAAAAACATCATTAGTAAAGTTGACTGGGTCGGAGAAGACGCTGTGATCAAAGAGAGGCGAGGCGATGCCTTGGTAGGGTTCCTGGGCAGTTTGAGGGAAGGATGCCGCATTATTGGAGAAATTTCGTAATGCAGCGAGCTCATCAATAACAAATTCAGGACTGGAATGCATATACGGATGGTTCGGTGAAGCGTTATGGGGGATGTGGTTGGGAACTTCGTTAGTCGTCTCATCGTTGCGGCCACTATCGCGTCCATGGTTACGGACCTCCGCAGCCGGGTAAAAGGAAGCATTACTCGACAACGACGGGGAAAGGCCCTGATCATCACAGGGATTGAAATCGGACTGAGGTAATTGAGCCGGAGTCTGATCCGGATAGCTAACAGGTAACGGTGAAGGCGCCTGAGACTCCTGCTGCGACTCCTGCTGGGGTTGAGCAGAAGGCGCCCTCTCGGGCAGCGTTTGGTCTTTACGAGCCCGCTCTTTTCGGGCCGAAGGAGGGTCGACGTTCAATATCTACTCGGTCAGCTAGGCACGGTTTCCATAAACAGCTGCAACCCACCTTGAATTTACTCTGCCGACTATTCCGACCAACTGATTGGTTCATGGACGGATGGCCAGGCTCGAGGACTTTGATATTGGCCTCTCGGAACGAACCTAGTACACGCCATTGGCACTTTTCACCGCGCCGTCTGCAGCCGGTGCATGTTGGCTTGGACTCGTCACCTAGACTATCGTGAGCTTCTGGAAAACTAATTTTCGGAGGAAATTTTGTCCCACATTTTCGTCTGCGTCTACTGCAATTGATACAACCGGTGCGCGTACGCTTCCGGGGAGCATGATGTAAGGAGTCAGTATCCTGAGGCATTGTAGTCATTGTGATTGAGGTGATTGAAGGGACTAACGAAACCTCATGATACGGGGAAAGGAATGGAAAGTCTATAATTACCTGAAAAAGTAAGTCTGGGGTCGTCGACAGGGGAGTCGGGTAGATTACCTGATCGGGTACCGATAACCGCCACTTGGTTTTGACCAAATGTGGGGAAAACACGGGGATGGCCTCTTGAAATGTCTGCGGTGGGGATACCCAAAAAACTCATTCTTATACTTTTACCCGGTCGTCGTATGATGATGCAGGTCATGTAGAATTAGGGATAAAGCTTAGCGGTGTTGCAGAGCTTTGTTCATATCCTCGGGTAATTTTCTACTTAAACTACTAAAGCTCTTAGGGCTCAGTAGGATACAGTCGGAAATTCCCGTGTATATTGGGTTTCTATAGTGCGGATACTACAACAGTGAAACTTTGGTATGTCTTGTCTCATGCCTTGTAGGTGGAATCATAGTAATAAGAATATACGTCAAAAAAGTATGCTAAGGAGAATTTCCATTATTGTACACTAAATTCATAGCACCGTTGAGCTGTAAGCCCTGTGGTATCACGAAACAGAAAACAAACTAAACCGTCTATTCTACATGCTGGACACCAGCAAGTTCTGCGTCCTTCTCTCCCACTCGACGCTCGGCATCGCCAGCAACTCCCATCGATGCGTGCCAATGCAGCTTCACCTTCTCGCCAGTAAATAAGTGGTCGATTTGTTCGAGAGTGAGGTTGCGCGTCTCGGGGTAGAAGAAATAGATCAGAGGGATGAAGCAGAAGTTGAACACTGGTACTGTTAGCGACTACTAGTCAAGATAGACGCGTTATACATACCTGCAAAGTAGATATACGTGCGATATCCAATGTTGTCAATGCTGACGGGGGTGATCTCCACCACCAAGAATGTAAAGATCCCTAGACTGGTTAGTGTGGTACATTGAAGAGAACTGGGATGAACGTACAGTTGGTTGCCGTAGCCAGTGCAGCGGATCGGGTACGAGTGGCTAACGGGGAGTATTCCGCAGGCACTATGATGGTTAGTATCCTGAACCTGGGCAGGATAGTGAAGGATGAACATACAGAGCCATGGAATCGCAAGCAAGCCCACTCCAAAGAAGAAGTTAAAGAGGAATAGCATCACAGTGGCCACCAAACCTGCGGCATGACTACCATCCCACACTGTCCCAGCCAAAATAGCCATGCAAGCACATTGTCCGATTACAGCGAAAAGCATCAGCTTCCGTCGACCGAGCCTGCAAAATTAGTCCAGTGCATCATACACAGAAACAGTATTAAACATACCGATCAATCGTCCAGATAGGGACCAAGGTTGACACAAAGTACGCCACACCATTGAAGCCTGCCAGCAGCAGCGCCAAGTTGTGGCTCATGCCGACAGACTTTTCGAAGATAACGGTATTGTACTGCTTGCATTAGACCGTGAGCCCTTCAGAGATGGACAGCTACTCACATATGTGATCAGGTTCACACCGGACAACTGTTGCATCATCTGACCGCCCATTCCCAAGAGTGTCCGATGCAGAAACTTCTGGGGACCATTCTTGAACACCATCATGAACGAACTCTCTTCCGAAGCGGCCTGTTCCTCCCTGATGGCCTGTGTGATTTCGCTCACATCTTGGTTAACGATTGCGTCGTCCTCCGTGATGCTGTGGGCATTAGGTTGAAGAGCCCAAATGATACGACGGGCTTCGCTTTCTCGGCCATGTGCAATAAGCTGGATTGTTAGTTAAGGAATCGGCAGATAGACTTGAATAAACTTACCCAACGAGGTGACTCGGGCAAGGCAATGATACCAATGAAAGTGATGATAGCGAAAAGAATCTGAAGGGCAATAGGGAACCGGAACTGTGCGTCGTTCTTGACGTAGCTCATGCCATAGTCTGTTTTATCAGAGATTGCCGAGAGAAAGAGACAGAAGGGGAACGGCGTATAGCCCTGAACTTACCGACCCAGTACGCCGTCATGACACCGAAAATATTGATACACAATTCAATAGCGAGCTATAACACGTAAGCAAAACACAATATTTATGCTGAAGGTGGAGACCTACCCCTTTCCCTCGGCTCTCAGGCTTACTTAGTTCGGAATGCCAAACCGCTATTGAACATTAGCTGGTCCACCGGACTCGAAAGCCACATCCAAAGGGAAGGTACATACGGATAGTACTAGTGTTAAGTCCGTTTCCAATACCTGCCACAATTCGGCCCACGATCATATGGGGGATACTGAAAGCACTGCATTGCAGGGCAGCACCGATTGAGAGGATGACACAGCCAGCCATGATACACATGCGACGTCCAACCTTCTCACCCCAGATCAGGGCCATAATGGCACCCAAAAAACAGCCCTATGACAGTCAGACCTAGCCTAAATGAAGACAAGGGCGACTCACAATCTCGTAAATGGCGACACTGATGCTTTGTTAGCCCTAGCCAAAGAATTATGCAGGTAAAACTTACACAGTTCCTTGCAAAGTCGAGCTACCATGGCCACCCGTGGTGGTGTCAATCTCGGGAAATGTTTGAACGAATGCGTCTCCCGACAGGAGACCTGACATGACACCTTGGTCATAACCGAAACTGTTCAGTCAGTACATACATCGTGACATAGAGCATACACATAGTCTCACAGAAGGAAGCCACTGCCAGCAGTAGCCGTAATGGCCAGAGTCAGCGGCTTTCCAATAAGAAATGTCATTTTGGCCGCTGGATTTATTGAAGTCGTGAGTTATGTGTGTTTAACGCGGAGCAACAACCAAGTTCATGGGATTATTTCTACTTTTATATATCATTGTACCCCGGAAAAAATTCGGACGTCATAGCTTGAACTCTTCCATGTGTTTTCGTTGGTAACGGTCTGCGAATTGCGGGGCCCCAGGGCTCAAGGTTCTCGGAGGCGTAACATGGAAAATGGCGCGGCATTTAAACTTTCGTATACGGTAGTCGTCCCTATTTTGTACACTTCAGCCCTATCATTGTCTCGCTTTTGTCGTCTACAATTTTAACTATTAGCTCTTTTATTTTAAGACAACCTGATAAAGCAGCCCCCCTGGTAGATTAAAAGAGCTTAGACCCCTGAATTTCCTAGGGGGGCTAATTCCCACCGAAGAGGTCGAGATACCGGGGTAGCAACAACTGATCCCGTAGCCGGTCAACTTCCGGGGCGACGGCCGGAGTCCGTTTCGGTATGGCGGCCCGATTTCCTAAACTGGTAGAAATTAGCGCCTGCAGAATGGACCCACACGTCAGCCCCCGGACCTCCCCCATATTACCATTTTCGGACCATATAAGCGCCATTTGCCGGGATAACCCCCATAGGTAAACACAAGCAGCGTACCTGGTTTTCCGTTGGCGGACCAAAGAACTAATGTGGATAAGCATCACCCAAGCAATATCTTCGAACATGTACTTTCATGCTTGAATCAACTGTCCTACTAGTTTAGTCGTGGATAAGCGCCACAAAGCCCTGCATCATGAACATATATATGAGTCCGCAAAAACTCCAATCAATCACTTCTACACTCCCAAACACAATAATTTCCTAAAGCACACCCACACAACACCAACAAAAAATGGCCCCCTCCGCCGTCCCCGAGAACACGACCGCCGTCGTCCCGGATTCTATCCAGAATCCCGCCGTGGCTCGGACCGGCGACCTCTTCTCTCTCGGAAACCGCACAGTCGTGATCACTGGCGGCGGTCGCGGACTCGGAATCGTCCTTGCAGCAGCCGTCATCGAAGCCGGCGGTGATGTCGCGTGTTTGGATCTCCTGCCCACCCCCAGCGAAGAGGAATGGGCTACCGTGCAGAAGCTGGCTTCTGCCCGTGGTCTCCAGGCAACATACACCCAGTGTGACATTACCAACGAGGAGGTGACAAAGGACGTCCTTGAGAAGATCGCCACCGAGGGACTGAAGCGCAACATGCCTTTGCGGGGAGCCATCACCTGTGCCGGTATTCAGCAGATGGTGCCTGCTCTGGACTACCCGATTGACGGATGGAGGAAGATGTTGGATGTCAAGTAAGTCTAGACACGTTTAGATAGTTACAGAGGAAGTAAGTAGATACGGATAACTAATTCCCACACAGCGTCATCGGAACATTCATCCCCGCCAAACACTGCGCCCGTATCTTCAAGGAGCAAAACACCCCCGGAAGTATCGTCATGATCGCCTCGATGTCCGGACAGATCGCCAACCGCGGTCTCACATGCACAGCCTACAACTCGTCCAAGGCAGCCGTCCACCAGATGTGTCGCTCTGTTGCCCAGGAATGGGGTCAATATGGTATTCGCGTTAACACGTTGTCCGCTGGTGTAAGTTTCTAGTTCCTGACCCGGGCTTCATTCTTTGCTCGCAATACTAACCGGGATGACCCAGTACATCCGCACAGCTATGACCGATGCGCTGCTGAAGGAGAAGCCTGAGGTTGAGGAGACTTGGATGCGTGGTGCCCTTTTGGGCCGCTTGGGAGTTCCCGAAGACTTTAAGGCGCCGACAGTTTACATGCTCGCTGATGGTAGCGGCTGGATGACTGGAACGGATTTGAGGGTTGATGGTGGTCACTGTGCTTCTGCTTAATGATTGAATGAGGTTCTTGTGAAGATGGCATGGTTCGGCGTTTCTTTAGATGGGTTATACTATACATTACTAGAATAGATATTCATTAGATGAAATCATATACAGTTAACTTCAATTTTGGCTCATTTATGCAGTAATCATCCTTCGTTTTTATTGGAAATCAATGATTTCAGTTTTCTCTTGCTAAAAAGCAGCCATTAGCTTCAATAATATGCGATGCATATCTTGACTGGTGGTGACTTGCTTGGCCTGGTGTAGATGTCTGCGTTTCATTTTTAATTGGACTTATAGATGTAGACGGTGCAGTGTAACTTTTGCAGGATGATATCATGAAGTGACATTTCTACGTTAAATCTTGAACGCTATACATAAAGTTTGTCTCGTTCTATTGGCTTGCAACCTCCAGCTTCCATGACCCTCCAGAAACGCCTGTTGCAGTGCCCTTCACTAGAGGAATACGCTCGCAATCCGCCGAGACCAATGTTCCCTCGGTACCCGCCAGGTCTACATCGCCTGTCGTACCTTGCGGGGTAGTGAAGCTCAACTCCTGATAACCTCCCCTTTTGGGCCTTTTAAAAGTCGTCGAAAAGAGTCCCAAACCGGTCGTGTATCCCGCATCCATACTAGTCAAATCACCCGGCTGCGGGGCGAACCTCCACGTAGCACCAGCAGGACCGGTGAGATGCAGTCCGGCCGCGAAGAAACTGAGTGCTGCCGTAGGACCAGTTGACCAACCATGAGCATGCGAGACACGAGGGTCATTGGTATACGGAGCATAGTGGAGAGTGCCATCGGTGGAATAGCCCTCAATGAAAGTCGAGTTCGTCATACGGGGATCATCAAGCATAAAGCCCCATTGAAGACGGATAAAGTCCAGTGCTTTCTGAGGTTGGTTTGCGAGAAAGTGGGCTTGTAATTCGAAGCCACCAATGAAAGGGGACACGGCATCTGCGGCCTCGGGTGCTGGTGCACCGTATTTGCCCCAGCGAGAGCTCAGGGCGGAGGAGATGGTGCTGCTTTGGTTGGTGGAGAGGGTGAGGTTGGCCTTGATGGCCCATGCGTTGCCGTCTTGTGGGTGGAGAGTCGTCGTTTCGTTGTCTTTATATAGACCGTTGCTGGCATCCCAGAGTTTCCTGTTGGCGGCAGATTTGATACCGCTGGCTATTCTGGTCCAGTTGGCATTGTTTTGGTTGTTGATTGCTTGGGAGAGTTCCTGGGCTTCGTTGAGGACGAAATAGAGAATAGCGTTTGCTTCAATGTTCTGCTTGGGTTAGAGGAGAAATACCACGAAGAGGACAGAGTACTTACGTGGCCTCCCATACCGAATCGCAACCAGTCAGAGCTCGCAGTAATATTGGCAAGTCCGGTGTCATCCACACTGGATAGCGCCCATTGCAGACCCTTCTGGTATTGACCCCAATACTTAGAAAGCCAATCCCGGTCGCCCGAGTGTCGGTAATAGTATGATACGCCAATGAGACTGTGGAGATGGTAGGTGAAGCTCACAGTATCGCGGAACGGCTTGCTAGCGTAGGGTAGACGGCCGTCCGACTTTTGTTGAGAGAGCAGAGTCTCCAGGGCTGTGCGCACACTGTAGAGGTCTGCTGTGCTTACGGAGACACTTTCCAGTGCAATTGACATGTCGCCAGGCCAGATCAGACGGTCCCGTTTCGCACCGTCTGTAAGTGTGCTGCTGCCGTTTGAGATAGTGTAGTTGCTGTACCAAGGGTCGGTTTCCGGAAGAGTGATGTTACTATTCGAGTTAATGATGCCTAAGAAGGGCAATGCATTCCCTGTACTTGGATCGATCGTACAGATCTGGTTAGTGTATGCACCCGCGTACCAGACACGGTTGAGCAGCTCGTCGTTACTGTGGAAGTAGCCCGTGTATGCGCGGAGGTCCTGAGATGGAGCGGCGGTGTAGTTGATCTGGACATTGCGGACAGATACCGTGGCAGTTGTGTTGGTGACGAGGGTCATGTACCGGAATGCGCCGCGATTGTGTTTCTTATCCGCCGTGTATATACCGGGTCCTCGGCCAACAGGGAACCATAGTGGTGAATCGAGGCCTGAATCAGCGGTAGCATCGCAAGCCTGACTGCTGATCCACAAGCTGGACTCTGTGAAAGTCACGCCAATGAAGGCATTGCGTGTGGATGAGGACTCAATGTCCAGAGACACAATGCCGGCTATGTTACGGCCAAAGTCGAACGTCACAGAGGCTGGTCCATCGAACGTAGCATTTCCACTGCTAAATTGCGTCAGGGAGGAGGGATTTGTAACGGAGCCATTGACTTCAAGAACTTCAAGGGGAACAAGATTGCGTGATGCGGGGGCGAGAATGTATTCGTCGTAAGGCACGCCATAACAGGCCACAGCTAGGAGAGCTGGGCTCAGAAGCCACGCGGACCACGGAAGATGCATTGTGTCTGAAGGTGTGGAGAGACGAAGTTTGAATCTTGGCCATTGTGCCTACCGGCTCTGGGCAAAGTTTTAAATACTTCGTCACCGGAAACAGTCTCCTCCAAGGTGTCATGCCGTGGCAGCTGAATGCATTTCGGGGGAATGCTGGCCCGAGGGGAAGTATGATCGCAATTTCTTAATGCAAACGCTATCCCAAGAAAAGACAAAAATCCCAGAAACTGTACCGGGGGATCATCAGACCGAGTGTTGAGAAATGGCTTGTTTCCCCAGATAATGACGTTGTGTGGGGAATCCCTCGATTGATGTGGGGTTGCCGATGTTCTCCCGACCAAGCTTTGATTTGATGGCCTCGTCCAACCATTATGCATGTCGGTAGTTGAATGCTCTTTTATCCCGAAATCAAACACATATCCTACCGGTCCGAGCTCATCTCAACAGCTCAACACAGAATCCGTCCTTATATGTCTGGAATACTAACTCGCCCGCTTGCCGATATTGAAACATCCTTTACCCACATACCTCGAAGTGGTAAGTAGGGAAGCATTCAGTTCGGCCACTTTCTCAGCAGTCTCGGATACCTTCGAAGTGTTATCAGCTCCCCTTCAATAGGTGGTTTCTGGGCTTGTAAAACAAGGTGTGTCTAGTGTAGTTCGTGATACAGTTTAACTGATTGATGGATCATCCGGTTTTGTTATTAGAACAGACCTGGACTCCAGTGGTTCACAATAGTTTTGCGGACCTGAACCATATGAACAAGACAGTCATTAATTTTGAACTATGAAGCTTGTGTGTCATGTGATTGGCAGGACATAATGTAGTGAATTTAAGTAAAGATTGAACCCTAGTCGCTGTCATCACCGAGGCACATGACGGGTATGTTATGAACATAAACGAACAGATCTGCATATCCTATTAGGTGAGGGTGATTTTACCTACCATGCAACACGTTCGCCAATGGTTGGAGGTGTATTTGAAGTGTCTGAATATTAACGCAGGCACCTGCAAGTTTCCAAGTTTAGTCTCGACGGTCCGTCTTTTGGAAAAGAACTTAGCATATCCTCTTCGTCTTTGTCCATCCATTCTACATATTTCACCGTCTCTATCAGGCCTTTGGACAAGCCTTGATTCAGCGGCTGTCCATCGTGGACTAAAGGTTTAATCTCTGCACTGCTGAAGGTCTCGAAAAGCCCCTTTTGTCGTATCTTGATAGTACTAGGTGGAGGACAGGAGGTTGAAGAAATAGTGGATCTACCGTGCCGGCACTGTGTTTTACAGCATGTCAAAATATCTTTCTGTGTTTAAAGATTGTACTATGCAGGATGCACGCTCTTAAAATGGCTGGATGAGTATCATAATACCACAGTAAATTTATAAAAGTCTACGCTACTATGGTTCAGTAATAGTATATATCAGAGGCAGAACCAGAAAAGTCAAACACTAAGCTTATTCACATTGTGGTTCCCTCATTTGGTTTTAGTTTTCTGTGCTTCCACTGTAGTCAAAGTAAGTATACATTTTACACCTTATCTTCAACCCTAGGACCCCCCGCTAGCAGTAACTACAGCTACATATATCGTTTCTACCGGTTATATGTGTACTGAATTAGTATGTACAAGCTGTGGACCGAACCTTCACTTACCTCCGTGCGCCATTCCAGCATCACAGGTGAGTGCAGTTGCTTCTAAACTCTCCTTTGACATTCAAAGATGACGAATTCAGGACGGTCGTGCGTATTATGATAGTCCGTAGGGGCATTATCAATTGACAGACCTAGTAACTCAAATATAAGACATTGAGAACTTCTGTGTGGGCCCTCGGGAGTAAATAAATCAGTAGTTCAAGAGATATTGCGAAGCTAAACTTCGCTCGGTAAGTCAGTCCCTCAATAATTGTAAGCTGCGGAGCTCTTGAGATATGCGCGGGCTGTCCACAGTCACGAATTTCCACGGCAACGGGCAATTACTTTAGTCTTACATTAGCATATCTCACAGAAGGAACAAATTCAGTCGTACTGTGTACAGTATCATATGCTAGCCACAAGGAGGGAATGCCTCACCTTAACTTATGGTGTATTCCATGGCGGCCATCCTTGTATCGCCTAGGCTGACCAGCTGGTAAGGGGGTGGTATCTGGATAACACGACTTGTGTATATAGTAGCATGTAGTCGGGATCGAAAGTTAAGTTCTCCATGGGGATTTACCAATAATGGCTAGGGAGAAAGGTCGCACTAGAATGTCTACCAGATACCCTATCTCTTGGCGCCCATGGATGCGCCGTTTTTGAAAAATGACAGAGGATTTTAATGATTGTAGCCAGATATAGCCGGTAAATACACTCTGTTTCGGCATAGAAATTGGGAACAAGTAGTATTGTAAAGAAAAGGGGCATTGATTCAGATTTAGTTCGAGTGGATCATCTATAACAGCGCTCGGTTCTTACTCTCTCTGTAGCAGCAAGAATGATGTTATTTGAGCCAGTCCCGGCCGATGCGTAAAGTTTACAAGACCGATTGATTCTCGTTGATACCAGATATTGGACAAGAAACGGACTTTGTGTACCCGTATACATATCCATGCACCGTTAGACCCACAGCTAGTAGGCTGTGATCATGATGATCACAACCCATTTCTGACCAAAGGCATGCGTAATGTTGTTCCTTTCCTTAGGGAGTATGGCACTCCTAAGGAAGGTATAAGTCGCATGATCCTTTTAAAGTATATGCATTTTGAGTATGAAACCCAGCTATGCTGTTCTCACAACCGTTATGACTAGATATGTGTAGGGCAAGAGTTCCAGGCTACGTTCGTCTTGCTTCCCGAGTAACTGAAGTATAAGCATTTTCAGGGCCGACTGATGTTTGTTGTTACTGACGGTTTCTTCTCTGATACTTCTGCTATTTTACAAAAGCGTCCCCTATGACGCAAAGGAGAAAAATGTCTCACGCCATAGACTTGAATAAGGTTGTACTTCGAACTCGGTGCACAGACCACGGCGGAGGAGGAGGAGAGGTAATTATAGTAGGACTACGTACTAGTAGAGTGTCGGTTTTCTCCGTTTCGCCGCAAGCGAACCGTACGATACACGAGGGTCAACGAGATGCCGCCGATCTTTAAATCTTTCGGCATAGTTGAGATCTGGGGTACGGATCGGTTCCCTTTCACCTGAGACATTTAGAGTAAGTTTATGAATATAAATAGTAATACGGCCTGTTCAGGGGAAATCGAACTACTATGACTGCCAGTGTGTACTACCGATGAACATGTTTGAATAGACTACGGATTGATTCTTCCAAGGTACATACATAAAGTTGCAGGTGGTTGTCAACCCTGAAGGGCCGGACCCTTGCCGCCAGACGGGACACGTCGACACCTACTCTATTATACTCCGAGTAGTTATCACTAGTCGCAAGTCTCTAGGAAGAACCGTTGCCCGATGTTCTCTCTTCTTGAACCGTGGGTTCACCGATTGCCTAAAAGAAAGCAAGATTAGTCGTCAACTGGTAGCTGAAGAGGAAGAGGAATATTAACAGTGGTCAATTAAGAAGAATAGACTTTTTCTTCAAAAGTGGTGAGAGTTTCGTAACGCGAATACTAAATAAAAATGTCTTGGATGAAGGACCAATCAATTTAAATTCGCCGAGGTTCAAAGTGGACCGTAGAAAAAAACGACGGACGGAGAAGTTTCCCCCCAAGGGCTTCTGGAGCGCGTGCGGAGACGGTCCAGTGACTGCTGTCCAGTGACTGTTTGTCCAGTGACTCCAGTCCCCTTCAATTTCTTCCCCGCGATTCCTTCATCCGCAGCTTCGTCCGACTTTTGGCCCCTGTTCTTGCTGGGGTCATGTTTTGGTTTTTTTACTTTTTACTTTAAATTTTTATTTGGATGTACTTTTACAATAATTTTTTTTTTTAATATATATGAATATCTTTTTATTTTTTCCAATTCTAGTCTCCAGATCCATGCTATACTTATATACCTGACCTCTCTTTTGTTTTCCTTCTTCTTGTCCGGCACCAGTCCCGGCCGTTTCTTGTACCGTTTTCCTTTGCCCCAGGTCTTGGCTCATGCTAACTCCTCACTCAGAAGAATCTCCTCTTCTCTTTCAATCCACCGATCACCACCAATGTCTACCTGACATGGACCCAGCCCAGTCGGGGGATGCGCCGCAAGGCAATACACAAGAAACAACTGATGATCTGCAAAATAGTAGCGCCAAGCGGAAATGGAGACGCAACCGCATCGCCTGCGACGCCTGCCACGCACGGCGCGTGCGTTGCGACCGGGCTTTTCCCTGTTCGCGCTGCCTCCGCAGTGATATTCATTGTGAATTCACCCGTGAACGTCGGAAACGAGGTCGTATTGCGCGATCGAAGCAGGCCAACACAAATGGCGGGGGGACTGAAAAGTTATCCGCTGCGCTTTCGAATGGACGTGTCCCCGCACCCTCAACGGCGGATGCGGCTGCAACACCGGCACCGAATGGCTCTCCATCATCCAGTTTTCCGCACCGGTCACCGGGGACGAACGAGATGACGGCCTCCGCGCCGAGTGTCGATGAGCGACGTTCGCAAGCGGAGCTACCAATGCCCCCACGAAAGCTGGCACCAGGGGGCAATGTGACGGAAGAATGGTTGGCAGCAGCACATGTGTCTCCGGGCTCATACGATTTCTTGGGCGGAGGGTTGGGGGAGGGACCTTTCCCCCGAATGTTTGATGTATGGAGCGGGGTGGATTTGTCCAACAATAGCGGTCCCACGCCGCAAGGAGCGAAAGTGTCGGGAGTGGGCCAAACGCCGGGAGTTCCTCCGGCCTCACTGAAATATCCGGTCTTGCAGCCGTTGATGCCGTTTTTGGATGCGAACCTGCCCCGGAGGCTGGTTTTTGATTTGCTCGAGCTGTATTTTACCAGTGCTTTTTCGACCCATATGCATCCGGTGTGCCATCATATCCATTCCTATATCTTGCGCAAAGCCTCTTTCCTCAGTCGCGATGCGCCTCGCCCCAGCACGCCGGCACTGTTAGCTAGTATGTTATGGGTGGCGGCGCTGGATGACCGGGCTTTTGCCTTGTCGATTTCGCCGCAGCAGCGGAAGAACATCTGCCAGTTTCTTTGCGCACTCACGATCCGTTTACTGAGACCCTTGATCCATGTGTCCTTCAAAGACCAGGGTGCATCGCTGAGTGAGCCGGTGGGTCAGGAATTGCCCCCGACCACGGTCCATCATCCGTTTGAAGGGGGCGGCGATGATCGGGGCCTGGTGGGACCGGCGGGATCGCTGGATGATGTGATCACCTATATCCATGTAGCGTCCATCATCTCATCAAGTGAGCAGAAAGCGGCTAGCATGCGATGGTGGCATGCGGCGTTTACCCTGGCGCGTGAACTCAAGCTAAATCAGGAGATCGAGGTGTTACCGAACGTGGATACTCAGACGGAAGGGTCGAGCCCATCGTTCGATTATGCGTTACCGGGTTGGAATGGTGTGGACACCAGACCCTTTTTTGACTACTCGAATCCAACCCGACCGAGCCTAAATTGTGTTTGTGACCGCCATGACATGCAGAACACGATCACTGAAGAGCACCGCGAGGAGCGTCGTCGGGCGTGGTGGTTATTGTATATCATGGATCGTCATCTGGCGTTGTGCTACAACCGGCCATTGGCATTACTGGACGCGGAAAGCGAAGATCTACTTTTGCCTTTGGACGAAGGATCCTGGCAGTTGGGGAATATCCATAGTAATAGTCCTCGACCCGATGGGCCACAGTGTTTACTGTCTGGCGACAAAAATAAACGTCGCGTTTTCCCGAATTTCATCTGCCACGACCACTCGATTTTCGGCTTTTTTCTGCCACTTATGACCATTACTGGAGAGCTGATTGACTTAAATCAGTCTCGCAATCATCCGATGCTCGGAGTGCGACTGAGCGGGAAGGATGCGTGGGATGTCCATGTCAATGAAGTCTTGCGACAGCTGGAGATGTACAAAGCCAGCCTGACGGCTTTTGCCGCCACTGCCTCGGATCCCGAGGCCCCACTTTCGTATGCATATCCGCCGCCCAAGCCGGATAATGGAGTTGATCCCGCCCTTACCCAAGCATATTCCTGGCATACCCAAACGGTGATCTCCTATGCGTCGTACCTGGTGCACGTTCTGCATATTCTCCTCGTGGGCAAATGGGACCCGGTCTCTTTGATCGAAGACAAAGATTTCTGGACATCCTCCCCTGCATTTGCCTCTACAATTTCCCATGCGTTAGACGCCGCCGACTCGGTGGACCAGATCCTCCGGTTCGATCCTGATATTAGCTTTATGCCGTATTTCTTCGGCATCCAATTATTGCAAGGCAGCTTTTTGCTGCTCCTGATCGTCGAACGTCTGCAGAAGGAAGCGGGCGAAGGTATCCTGAACGCATGTGAGGTGATGATCCGTGCGACTGAATCATGCGTCGTGACGCTCAACACCGAGTATCAGCGCAACTTCCGGCAAGTGATGCGCAGTGCCGTTGCTCAGGCGCGCGGGCGCCCTGTCAATCATAGCGAAATCCGGCACCGGCGGAAGGCCGTGTTAGCCCTCTACCGGTGGACACGAAAGGGAACCGGACTAGCCTTGTAAATTAGGGCTTGCGTGCATGCCAATGTCGATAGGGTTCTCGGCTCTGTGACCGGGCCTATCAGTGTGCAGGATCTGACCCAGCTCCTACTGCAGGAAGGGGTGCTAGTGGACCTAGTTGGGATAATATAGTAGACATGCAGCTCGGTCTGTCGTCATACCGCGTATGCGGCGGGTGTTCAGCTATGGTGTTCAAGCTAGACACGTTCTACAGAACTCCGTGCTATGCTGGGGATGTATATATTGATTATGATGTTGCGTATATTGACGTCTGTATATGTATGTGTAGTATGATTGATATAATGAAGTCTATACCGAGAGTATCTTTGTCCACCTTCATTCATTCATCTGAGAATAGACCGTAAGAAGCGAAGCAGTGTACACTCGATATCCCCATGTCTCACCGGCTCTTCAGGAGGGACAACTTTAAAGAACGACAACTCTTAGAAGCGACAACTCTTCACAAGCGGATAATCACCAACTCTTCAGATTCGGTTAATATCGCTCAGTACCAACGGTTCCCCAACCCCAGAACCCAGCCCGAGACCCCAGCTCCACGTGCTCGGTTAAATACCATAGGTAAATACCGTAGGTAAAAGAAAGTAAAATAGGTAAAATTAAAATCAGCAAGATCAGAATCTATATCTCCACCAGTAGATCTCTCTCGAAAGATCGAATTAAGGAACCGACCGTTAGAAGTAGCGATCTTCATTAGTTGTTGCAATGACCGTCAGGCACCAAGTCTGTGGCCGACCAGTTGGATCTGTTTCCTCGTTGGGGAAATATCATCTGATGTATGTGCGTCACTCGGTCCTACCTGATGATGTGGGTTAAAGGCGGCGTCGGCACAGGAGGCGATTGATGTGTGGTGCTGATTATCACAAGCTAGCTGTGAGGTTATTGTTTCCATTTCTCCGATGTTTAGCCATTGTTGATTATCTACTTCGTATTCTATTGTCAGTGGTCAGGTAGAGGTCAGATGTAGGATTTGTATTATGTACTTGTACTTGTACAATGTGTATAGAGTAATTATCTGAATGCTATCACTAAAGCCCTAATCTCTAAGAGTCAAATAGTCCGATACAAGATAAAATAACATAAAGCAAGGTATGACAATAATAACCCCCGCTTCACTCCCAAGCCCTATACATCATGCAATACACCACACCCCTCCAGCCCCCCAAGTACTAAATCCTAAATACCAGAGAAGGAAGGAAGTAAAGTAGAAAGTAAAGGAAAGGAAAGTAAACACACTACCCCAGACTCCGCTCCGCAACTCCAGTCCGCAATCCCAGCACGGGCCGACATCAAACGTTCCAAAACTCGGCTTCGGTTAAAACGACCTAAACCTCCAAATAACCGACCAGGAACACCGCCCTCGAAATGAAAAATCCGGGGAAAGAGAGCCAAAAACCCAAACTCCAAACTCAAAATATCGGTTAAATTTGCAAGCTTCCCGGGGAATTTAGTCACGGTTTCAGAACTATTTTACCATTCATTACCAGGAAGCTAGATTCAGAGTAGTGACATAACCATGTGGCCAGCTGATCGGCATGGGGTTTTTTTTTTCTGGTCCCTTTTCTTTCCTCTTTTGTTCTTTGGTAACCTTTGAAATTAAACGGGCTGGATATGGGGTTGTATTTTGCCGATGGGTCTATACGTTGTAGGTAACTATTTACTAATTTCGGAGAATGGGATGATGGGTCTGGGTCTGAGCTTGGGGATGAGTTGGTATAAGTGTGTTATTCCCCCCGGACTGGGGGTTGATTTGATTTCTTGAATTGATGGTTGTATACCTATATATTTTTTATCTATATTATATCTTCAGCTAGATCTGTGGAGTTGTTGAAGCTGTTGCTATCGCATCGCATACCAACTCATCTACCTACCTACATATTTTCTACAGACCTATCTACGATGAATCGATAATTCTATTGAATGAGCTCATTCACTCACTGATTCTACTCCCTCATTTCCTCTATACACTCAAATCGACCTCGAATACATCCTCACAAAGCTACCCACCGAAAACCACACACGAAGCTATACCCAGGCGAAGACTACTCACAAAGCTATATACCCTAAACCCCACGAGAACGCAAACAAAATGACAACCACCCACGACCACACCAACCTCTTCACCACCCTCCCTCCATATCCAAACGAAATCCCTTTCACGGATTTCGACCTCGACCTCGACCTCTCCCTCAATGACGTATTCGCACCGGGGATGCTCGAGTCCCAAGCGCAGCAGCAGCACTGGGAACTGAACCCGGACCACCTCGACATGCCGGGAAAATGTTCGAGTTCGGGTGTTTTCCCCGTGCCGAATGACTTTGGGTTTAATTATCCGGTGGATTTGGTGGAGTTGGGAGGGATGGGGTTGGGATTGTTTGAGGGGGAGGGAGGGAAGGGCGTTATTTCCAGGTATGAATTTCTTTTTCCTCTATTTTCTATTTCCTGTTTTATTTCTGGGGTGTTTTTTGGTGGTCTTGGTGATTTGGGGGTATTGGATGGGATTTGGAACTCTTGTTCTAATTCTCATTCTATTCTCTTCATTTAAAAAAAAAAACTAACAAGAACCAAGTCCACCCCAAGACCATACCCAAGACCAAAATACAACTACTACAACAACACTAAACACGCTCCTCCGATCAACCTCCTACCAAGCCACGCAACGAGCCCTTTACATGACCACACCAACCACCCCGACAAGTCCCCACCAAATCTACTCCCCTTCGTCCCCCTCGCCAACCTCACCAACAAGCTCCCACAACCCCGACACAATTTCCAATAGCGATACCGATAGTATCTCCTTCGGACCGCGGACACCCCCTCCTCAGACGCCAATTTACAACTATAATTACAACCCCGAGTCCAACTCTAAAAAACGGAAAGCATCTACCGAAATAGACCTAGACTCGGGGATCCACCACCACACATATAACAATTCCACAATATATTCACAATCAGGTGGCGGGGAGCTCGGCGTTTTGACCGAGGAACAACTGGAGCATTACCACAACCACAACCAACAAATAGCCTTCTACCCGAGTCATTCAAGTGGGAACAACCCGAAACGCCGACGTTCTTCCGTGCAATCACAATTACAACCCCAGTCACGATCTCGATCTCGATCTCAATCTCCAACACAATCTCGGTTCCAAGAACAGGAACAGGAAGAGGAACAAGAACAAGAACAAGAAATATTTACACCCCTAGAAATGCCCGACGGCAGCACACGCTTCACCTCAAACTGGTTACCGGTTGATCCATCCGGCGGATTTACAATCTGTCCTGATCCGCTGGTTGGAGTTATGGGGGAGGCGTTTGTGAGTGTTGGGAGTTGAGGGCCTGAGGGGCCACCGATTGCATATTGGTTTAATCGGGAAATCAAATCAAATCATGCCATACATACATACCTACCTACTACTACTATTACCTCGGGATTTTTATTTTTGATTTAATTTAAATTTACCGTGGTGGTTTTTTGGTATGCACTATCCGCTTACTAGCTACTCCTCCGTACGCTATGCGCTATGTGCGCTACGCTATGTGACGCTGCGGGACGCTATCCTGTGGTGCTTAGGGTGCGGTTGTGGTGTGTTGCGTTGCTCGGACCTGGGCCGAGACAATTGACTCTGGTGTTCTATTTCTATTCCTGTCTCCTATGAGTGGTGATTGTATCGTCTTTGAAAGGATGATCCTATGTCTCCGACTGGAATGGATGGATGTGCTCAGTTCAAGGAAGAGTTGAGAGATCGGTTGTGGTTGCCGACGGCCCCGCCGTCGGTCGGCGATATCTCCGTCGTATTTTCAATTTCTACTCCGTTGAACTCCGTTATGGGGCCGGGCCCGAACTTGACATCATTGGTGTCTTGTATATATTGAATAGCTTGTGCTATAGTCATGGTATAGATCAATATGCTATGAAAATTGACATTGACATGTGTTACTCTCCGAAACACCGTAACCAATTGCCCACCTGCATGCGCCACCTATGATTGCGAACATTCGTCATTCATAAAGACCGTAACTCGGAGCACATTGAAAAACGAGGGGAAAAACAAAATAAAATAAAATATCATGTAAATTCGCTCTTAACCGCCGACGATGTGCACTTATTCGAAAACACCGGAAACTCCAATTTGCGCCCGATATACTGAAATAATTCCGCGATGTATTCCTTCTCGATCATCCCCGGTGAAAATGCGTCGAACGCCGTGCGCAGAACGAACATGATCCGGGACATTAGATACCCCGGGATGTTATTGATGTAATATTTCATGCTGCGGCAGATGTTGCATGCGAATTGGTACCGCTGTTGCGGGCCGAGCACGCTGACGAAGCCGCTATCCGAGGCCGAGACGACTAGTGACAATGCCCAATAGAAACACATCGAGGTCGCCAGGAGAATGTCGGGATAGTACAAGACCTTGGCGACCGTAACAGACATGGTGCTGGTGTTACGACATCGGAAGACAGGGAAGCCGTCGGTAGACTCGGTGTCGTGCACTTCCCATGCCGTGCCCAGGGAATACGTGTCGGCGTATGCAGCTTTCCACATATTGAGACGCGCCTGGAGGTTGGTTGCTTGCTGGCAGATGGAGCTATGCATCCCCGTGAGCTCAAATGGGCATGCAGCGGCTCTGTCTACCATGGCGCCGAATTCATCGATCCGGGAAAGATAACCGGGAATGTCGACGGCAACGTCCAGGAGATGCTGCAGAATATCCTTGACCGGTGCATCGCCCGCCCAGGGAACAGTCAACCAATCCTTGGACGCGAGGAAACTCGGTTTGCGATGAACCAATGCTGCCGTGACCTGAATGACCAATATTAGCCTCTCGCACTTGGAGCACCATCTGCCGTCATACCCAGTATAGCCGAAGATCAACGAACAAAGAGCGTTCAATTCCGTAGCGATGTCGATAAGCTGACCGTGTCCGTAGAAGCTCTAAGCCGCCCAGCTGGTGTCTGAAAATAGAATCTTTTGACGTTTGCTTGAAGGCCTGGGAAAGAACATCAGTAAAATGGAACCCAACACAAGGGTCGGAACTTACCTCCGTGATAGTCGACAACAACACAACGACGAGGACCTCAGTCGACTTGTTCCCCTCTGCGTCATAGAGCGCAGCTTGGAGTTGTCGGAGCGTTCGGATGTATTTGGCGTGCCCCGCTAACTCGACTGACCGGTTACCGTCGCGCCGACCGGCAAAGGTAAGCGCTGTCGCCTCAAAGGCGTTGCACAGCATGGGTGAAATCATGCGCATCTCCGATGCTTCCCGTAAGGCGATGGTGCCGCCGTATTTCCGGTGGTCGTCGGGACTGAAATTACGTATCAGTCGGTCGACAAACAATTCCATCACGGTGGAGGCGAGGGTCGGGTCGTTTAAGATCGCTTTTTGGCGCGATAGTGACGTAGGGGAAGCTTTATATAGAAAGAAGTAGGATTAATACTGATGGAACGACATAGAGAGACCGATCAAGGTGAAGCCGTGGCGGTCGAGAATTACGGTTATGATTCGGAATCATGGGTACATACATTCTCTCTGCGACCCAGTACAATCCCCTGTACTCACCCCTGAAGGGTCGGGAGAATATCGTGTGTCGTGCCGCACTTGTCCCGGATGCGCTGCCTGGTCATCTTGTCTTTCACCATCGTCGCTGTCATTGGGTTTAATTTGATATAAAGAGCTACTGCCAGTGTCTTCAGCTTTTACGGGGGGTAAGTTGGCCAATTGACGGGCCTCTGCGAGCTGCTGCTTGAGGCTCTCGCATGTTTGCATGAGGTTCTCGATCAAGGCGGATTGTTCGATATAGTGTCGGTCCTTTTTGCTGGTGCCATATTCACACTCCGAGGGCGTTCCCCGAAGGCAGCAAGCACCGCATGGTTTCACCCGGTCGCACTACAGAATCAGTTAGATCTTATTAGCTGAAACGTCAAAGTAGTCAGTGTCAGCCCAATAGGGACGCTGCGCTTTTAATCACAACGGCTGTAACGGCCACCCAGCGAGAGCCACCAACCCGTACAGGAGTGGAAATTACCTTGACTTTGCGTTTGTGGCAGTTTAAGCATGAATAAGTGGGGCGGATCTTCTTGCGCGCCCCCAGTTTAGCTGTCAGGGTCGGGTTGGGTTGATCATTTCTCTGCTGGTCGCCATATTCGCTGCCCATGGTATTGAGAATTTGCTATGATTCGAAAGGCTTTGTTCGGTGGAAAGAAGCTCCCTTCAAATGAACCGAGCTGCTGTCCAAGTAATTATGGGGTGGAAAGCAGCGGAAAGGTTATTTTGGGCCGGTTAGTAAGAGATGGGGACGTAAACTCGACCTTAGGTCGCACGCTAGTTGGGCTCCTTCATGCAGTCACTTGTGGATCTGGGAGTTATTGGGGAATCAAAGACATTAAATGACGACTAAACCTAACAGGCCAAAACAAGGTCCAAGTCAAAAATCCTTCGCTCCTGTTGCTTGAAGCGATCGTGCATCCATGGTACACCGAAAGCCTATCCTATGTATGTTGTGTGTTCAGTGTCTCCAACTGGTGCGAAGAATTTCACTGAATCCCAACCAAGTTCTCCAGACCATGGGGCACCGCTTCCTCAAGCAATGGTTCGTTGCAGGGATGGCGGACGCGGTGGATCGATCGTCGGTGGACTCCAAAATGGATGCGCTTCCGGCGCTGGTGACATGTCACCACAGGAAAGATCAAAGAAAAAAAAAATAAAATAATGGACTCGTATCTGGACGTTGATCATTGGTGCATCATCACGTAAAATGCGTTCAGATCTGCACCCTATTGGATACCAGTGTCCATCACTGGTTCCCGTGTCGTTCCATCTTCAGTAAGTCTCCAATAATCCTCTGCATTATTAGGGGGGAACGAAGGGTCCGGCATCCTCGAGGGTCAGACCTTTGAGCGACTTGCAGACGATCGGCGTTTTAGCTCGTTTATCCGTTGGAGATCGTCCCCAAAGGCGGTCTCAAAGCTTGGCCTTTTGACATCCGCCCGCAGTCGGAGGACACTATTTGGAGTCGACATACGACCCATCTCAAAAGCTAAATGGCAGCGTTCCCGGTCGAATGGATCAAAAAGGTGGTTCATTGGTCGACTCGCATGTTCACCTCGAGCCATGGATGCCTTTACCTTGCTGCGAGATCATCCCGAAAGCTTATCACAGTCTTGCAGCACGCTGTGTTTCAACAGGTATGCAGTGAAACCCCCTTCCTTCCGTCGATAACATAGTTGCGGGCGAGGTATGTCTCCTTGCGGGTGATAACAGGAACGGAAATGCGAAACGGTGCGGTGCGCATGGAATGGTGGGATCGTTTTGGCGGGGAACACATAAAAGATAAAACTTCAGAGACTGTCAACGTCAACTACTACATGGTTATTTTGCTGTCAGCATCTTGATTACCAAGATACCTTGGGACGGAAGTCACGGTCTGCAAAGGAGAGCTCACTTTTCATAGTCTTAATCAGTCCTGGTCAGGTATCACAGGGCTGGGGATGCAGACATCGCACGGCAAATCCCGAAGGAATGGGTTGCATTGTACGGAGTAGACACAATAGAAATGTTCGTTTTTGGCCAAAACAACTACCCTGTTGCCCCACAAATAGTTTTCTGCACGTTCAGGGATCCAGCATAACGGCCGGGTGGTTGAAAGGGCGACGGAAGTGGTTCTTGCAGGACACGAGCGGATCACCTGCTCCAAGGTTCAAGGGGAGGATAAGCTGTGACTTCCTCACATCACGAATGCACAACCACCCCATGTCGTTGAGTTTCTAGTAGACATAAAAGCGTTAAGCAAATCGCCAAATTGTATAGTACGTTGTGACCTCAGTGGGATTAAATTGTCACGAAACTTAAGAGCACGGAGGCTTCCAAGCTGCACGGCTTTTATTCAATCACTAAATCTAATTTTACAAGCAATGACAAATACAGCCATCAATCCGTGCGTTCGGCTGAGTTCCAAATTCTCAATAGTAATAGTAACACGTTGGCCGACAGCCCTTACAGCGCAACAGACTGGGCGATATACAAAGACACGGCTCGATGCGATCGACACCATCCCTACGGTTGTTTCGGGGTCGCTCGATGCGCTAATGAGTATGTTGAGAGACCTTGAAGACGCCCTGGGCCCATAAGGTTAGCGATTCCCTACGCGAACCATTCGAAGGTTGGGATCATCTTTACCTAGTAATGATGGCGGCGGGCGTAATGGCGCCTGGCGTAAGCCGACGAGGATGGAGTCGCACTAGAAGATGGAATCGCGCTCGAGCTAGGGGTAGGAGTAACACCGGCGCTGCTGGAAGCACCGCCAGTACTGCCACTACCAGCACCCAACTTGCCGACACCCGCGTTGGCCTTGACATATGAAGGCACCTTATCTGTGGTCATAGCCTTAGTATCGCCTTCGCCTGTAGGCCAGCCGGAGAGAACCGCTTCGTCATTGCCAGACAGTTCGCCGGAACTGGTCAGCTCATTAGCGATGCAAGGACGGCCTAGCGCAGAGGTGCAGGAAGACGCGTCCTCAACGGTCGCGGCAAAGGTGGAGCCTGGCTTATCTTCAGGGTTCATAGGGGTCTTGACGTTGGAGAAAACGTTGCCCTCAATAAGCACATTAGCCCCCTCACCGATGTCGAAGGCGTGACCGCTGTTGTTCTCCCAGAAGTTGTTGTATGCGTGCCAGTGGCTGTCGAACTCGATCTTAGGAGAACGGCCAGAGGTGTGGTGCACGTAGTTGTTAGCAAAAGTGATTTGGTCGCCCTTGCCATAGCCGAGGCTGCAGATAATTAGTGTCCATTGTGGTGGTCTAGCTTTAGGATTATAGCCACTTACACAGACCAGTAGTGGTGCCCATCGCATGAGGCAGACCACTTCGTCTGACCATCAAACTCACTGTTGGAAACAGTGACACTACCACCTATTGATTTGGTAAGCGTTTGTCGTTGAATGCTGCCGCCCACGATACATACTAGACTCGTAGCCGGTTACAAACATCTGGCGGCCAACCAGGGAGACCTTGACATGGTCGATCCAAATCTTGTCCGTGCCGTCCAGCGAAATAGCATCACCACCCCAGATGTACTGGGGATTCAGCTCAGTGATGTGAATGTTCTGGATGATGATGTTGCTGACACCGTTGACCAGCCTCAGACCCTTACCACGGATCACACCAGCGTCTCCAACACCGATGATGCTCTTGTCAGAGGCAACCTCCAAACCCTCAAGGCCAGCATTGTCGTATGTGCACTTCGTAGCTGGGTAGGAACCACACCAGTCAGAACCCTCGGTTTTGATTGCGTTCTGGCCAGCATCGCCGCAGGTGTTGGAATCCGGGATACAGCATTCGCAGTCGGTACAAGTATCCTCGGTACCGATGAAGTTGAACTCCTTATCGATCACGATCACTCGGGGGGTAGAGTCAGACAGCCATTCCTTGAGCTCATTTGTGTCCTTGGGTGCCGCAGGAGCGGCGTTACCACCACCGGTAGTCTCGCTAGCGAAGCCAAACGCAGTGCCGACCACACTTTGGGCTTGGACAGATGCACCCAGTAGAGCAGCTGCTGTCAAGAGAGGACGGAGAAGGACCATTTTCGCAGAGGTGTTATGGCCAACCGCAAACGGAGACTCAATACCAAATGACAAAAATCAACTGTACCAGCAGTTGTCGATATGAGGGATGGATTGAGATAAACGAAAAGAGAGTGTAGACTACCGATCTCTCTACGCATCCATGGATATCATTGTGGTTTTATATGCTGCCAGAGAAAGTTGCAATGGTAGAATGACGACTACTCTCATATCGCCGAGAATATTCCTCCACCAATTGTGCTGAAATACAGCATCATTCACCCACAAAGCGGAGTCTGTTAGAGATTGATGAAACGGGCGGCATGGTGAAACTGAACCGGTTGGTAGGCTAGGAGAAGGCTTCCTTGTACCGCAGTTTTCCCGGTCGATCACTTATGCTGTGTTCCTGTCGGCGGCACGTCCTGATGTTGAAAGGTTCGTTTGTATGTAGATTCGGAAATCCAGTTATTAACTGAGTGCAGATAGCAACCGAGGTCAAAAAGCATGCAAAGGGCAGATTAAACCAAGCGACAGTACCAGACATCAGCGGTAACATGGTTGTTGTCTTGAGTCAGGGACTGCCAATGATTTCCACATAGGGATTTTGTTGGTGGAGAAAAGTGGGAAGATCGTCAGGGCGAGTAGTTAAGATAGCAGTTGGTCCGCCCGTACTGGACCCCAATCAGTCAGCGGCAGGATAGTACATACGCCTGATCTCTTTGCACGATTCCTTTTGCTTTGAGGCCGTCCGTATACACATAGATATCCATTTCATGGCAGGAAGGGTGGCTATGCATTGCCGATCTTCAACCGTCTGAGATTCACCCCACTGCCTAAGTCCCGGAACAATCAATCCCTCACGATCCTGGGAGTACACGACGAGTATGGTATATTACTATGGATGGATTGGCAGCGATCATAATTACCTCTACAGCTGTGCTTTGCAAGTTAAGCCACCAACCAACGGAGGCTATCGCGAAAACGGGATGGAGTATTCACTCAACGGGAGTAATGTGGGAAGTTGTTCTTTACTTGGGATATATAATTCTGGCCTTGGCTAAACGTCGGTAGAAATTGCTATGGGAAGTACCTAACCAACGAGTCCCAATTCCCCAACGAACGGTATGAGGTGGATATAAGATGGATAGCGACGGGATCCCATGCCGATCTCTCAATATAGGTGACCTCAATATGAATTGCCCAGCATCTTGAGGTAAAGATCACCCGAGGAGGGAATTTCGTGGAAGGTTCTAAAGGATGAGGCCATTTCCCAGGAGTCCTGATCATTCTTACCCAAGGCTCGAGGTCTTTTAAACGGCGCATATCCTTGTCGCTGCACTATTTCACGTGGGAGATATGTGTCTTCATCGGGTAATGAGTGATAAATAATATAGTGTTGGTGTCTTAAATACATAATATAAGGCTAATCTCTGGTCACAGCATAGGCAACGGTGGAAGGATATAGAGAAAAACTTGGCTGGAAGCGATCATTGATACGACTAGTCATTCTAGATTATGGCTAAGGGAACAAAGGGCAAGACGAAAGATTAGGATAAGACATAATACGTGACTAAGATATGCAGTGAGGCCTCACTACTCCTACTCAAAGTTTCTTTTTAGAGCGATTAACGGTCGGTACATACTAACAAGGGTACCAGGGTCCTCCACCTAAAATGTAACCCTGAAGATCTCCACTGTCCCCACTAGGTAAAATAATCTATCCCGACCTCGCATGGCATTCAGGCCCCGTCAAAAAGCTTGTCGTGGCATTTGGTGTGACTCAAATAACTTGTTACATGTAAAAGGAATTTTTGCTCATAGCAGTTTAGTACAGTATATGCAACCTCATCTGAGAAGTCGCAAGTACAGGTGTACCGCTGAAGGGTGGTATGGATCCTGCCGCGCCTTGCAGTCTGTCGCGCGGGCTCACTGCGAATCAATTACCATATCACCTACAAAGGTTTGTCGGCCGTGTACCTTGGTCTCAGTCCAGAAGGTAACGGCAATCTCTGGGTAGTCAAACCACCAGGGACCTTGCAAGGTACATGATGTGCATATGCTCCAAGGTACTCATACGCGGTGTATAATACGCTGAGCGAAGGACAATACTCTTTCAGCTCAACATTCGCCCTTTCTCGCGACTAACATGTCTTCTTTCGATGCTCACAATGTTGATCTTGACACAGTCAGCCAGGCGGACGTGCTCTGCTATCTGGCGCTGTCCGAAAACGACTACAACGGCCACCTGGGGGCCCGCATATCTTCTATATTCGTTATCTTCATCACATCAACCTTTTTCACCTTGTTCCCCGTGATTGCCAAACGAGCTCCCGGGTTGAAGATCCCCTACCACGTTTACCTCTTCGCCCGATACTTTGGCACAGGCGTCATAGTGGCTACAGCTTTCATTCACCTGCTGGATCCCGCATACAGCAGCATCGGCCCGAACTCCTGTATCGGGGTGTCCGGACACTGGGGAGACTACTCCTGGTGTGCCGCTATAGTCCTTGCCTCCGTCGTGACCATATTTCTCCTGGACCTGGGCGCCGAAGTATATGTAGAGTACAAATACGGTGTCCAACGAAACGACGACGCAACAGAAGCCTTCATCACACACGCTTGCGCGTCGGATTCAGACAGTACATCCCAAGCCGTGGAGACGGGCACGCCCACCCGCAAAAACACCGACATTCACACGGAGGTGGCCTCGGTACGTTCCGAGCGGGCATTCCGACAAGAAATTGCAGCTTTTCTGATTCTCGAATTCGGTATCATATTCCATTCCGTCATAATTGGTCTGAACCTAGGCGTGACGGGCGAAGAGTTCACGACCCTGTACCCCGTGTTGGTCTTTCATCAAGCCTTTGAAGGCCTGGGAATTGGGGCACGTATGTCAGCACTCCATTTTGGGTCCCGTCTGTGGTTGCCGTGGGTGCTGTGTCTTTTGTATGGACTAACGACGCCCATTTCCATCGCTGTTGGACTTGGGGTGCGGACGTCGTATAACCCGGGATCCAAGACGGCGATGATCGTCCAAGGTGTGCTGGATGCGATTTCCGCGGGGATTTTGATCTATAGTGGACTGGTGGAATTATTGGCGAGGGACTTTTTGTTTGATCCCGACCGGACAAAGAGAAGATCGCATTTGTTTGTCATGGTGGGATGCATGTTGTTGGGAGCGGGGATCATGGCATTACTTGGGAAGTGGGCATGAGAGAAACAAAAAAAAAGAAAAAAAAAAAAAGAGATGATCGGTAAAGGCGAGCTGAAGGAAAAGGCGACGATCATTGAGGACAACAAATAAGGCAGACTCGTCAAGTGGGGTCATAGGGAGTGTACGCCACGAATTCCTATTTCTACACAATCTTGTTCTTCAAATACGACCAGTTGTACGTATGTATTGGTAATATAACACGATGACTGCCTAATTTGAATGCAGATGTACAGTTCATGCATGATGGCCGTGCGTATATTAAGCCTTCACCACCGCTTTTCCCTCCCTCTCCTCCTCCCTCTACGTCTAGGAATTATGGCTTCAGCTTGGCCCCCGGTCATGGATCACAGTCGTTTTTATCACATACCTTTTCCTACACTCAGTTGAGTTCACGATCGACAATATCATAAAGTATATACATCTCCTATGTCACCATGGGCAAACACAACCCCCCAGCCCAGCAAAGGGCCCCGACCCTCAACGAAACCCTAGACTTCATCGAACAAACCTACAAAGAATCGAAGTTAATCATCGTCGGCTGTCTGGCATCTTGGACACTCTGTCGGCTGAATTTTCGCTTTGTCTGGCTACTCATCATCCTAGCTTTCTGCCGCACGCAATACCAAGTATCCATCCGACGAATCGAGCGCGCCATCCGAGACGAACTCCGTCGATACCACTCACAAAAGATTTTACAGCGCGGTGAAAGCGTAGAATGGGTAAACGAAGTCCTGGGACGAGGATGGCATCTCTACCAACGTCAGATCTGTAAACAGATCGTTCAATACGTCAACGCCGGACTGGCCCTACGCAGCGAAGAATCGTCCCCTCAGAAACTGGTCATCCATTCGCTGGCTGTCGTGGAACAGCCGCTGCGATTTACAAGAGTGACGACCTATTCCAAGCCTCAGTCACGCAATTTGATCATTGAAGGACACTTTCGCATCGATCTCCGTCCACCGGACGACCACAGAATGCATCTACTGAACCTTGTACACAGCGATGAACCACTCATTGATTTGGCCATCGTGCATGAAAAGCCAGACCGCAAGAACCATGACCTCGTAGTGCATGTGAGACAGGTTACAGGAACGGGGATCGTACGGTTAGAAATCGACCTTGAGAGTATGGAGCCACATATCCTACAGCCGCAGATTGAACTGCAGGATCATCCACATATCGACTGTACGATCAAGACAGTGAGTCAGCATCATTTTCCCTTTCATTTTGCGCATCACATCGACTGGCGGAGGGCGGTGGAGAAGCAAATTCGCGAGGGGCTGGGATGGGCCTTCCACCGACCTTTACCGCTTCCGTTTCACTTTTTCGGCGAGAAATTCTTGGTCAAGATGATGACGTGGTGGTGGCAGCTGAGTCGGGCCGTTCATGATTAGTTCGTTGGTAATGAATAATGAATTACTATTAGTTATTGATATCCTCCATGGGGAAAAAGTTGAACAGAACAGTAAGAGTGTCATTGGTTCCGTTGGTACCGAGAAAGCCGAGTCCAAGTGGGCCATCGCCTCGTAGGGCTGATGGTTGGGGGATGAGAAAAAAGTGCTGCCTAGAGGAAACACGTCTATTGCTCCCCGTCGTATTGCAAATTACACCTGTAATATCCAACGCAAGGGGGAAATACAATCATCCATGCCGAAAATCCCTGCCAGAACGGTATGTCCCTCGAGTGCTTTCCAGTGATTGACGGAGTTTTTTCTAGTGGAGTGACAGGAGACCTCCCATGCGTTCCGAAATTCCAACTTTCAACCCTTGGTTCTGTCCAAGGGGTAAAAAGCCAATTTTAGAAACGATACAAAGGCGTTTCAATAATTAGCCAATAATAGAACAATGCTTCTTGATTTAATGCTTCAAACAAGGGGGTTGTATCGCACGGTATTGAGTAATGGACAATGGATTCATGTATGTATGGATGTATTTATATACAGTACAATGCAGAGCACATGACATACCTGACATACCCCCCCGGGTCCCCGTCTAATTGCCGGATCAGGGAAGTGGATCTCTCGGACAGATCCTTCGTCTGAAGATACCGAGTCAGGTCTATCAGTCCGAGTTCATTCGTCCCTTGTAGGGCAAGCCAGTGTTAAGATATAGGGCTATTGTCAAGTGACTAGGAAACTCAGTATTGAACACAATCTGGGATAGCTAACCATATTATATCAGCAATGCTGTTTGGCTGGTTTGCCCATATTTATTCAATTTCTATGTATTAAGGATGAACACTAAGTTACATGATGAATCCATCAATTTTTTAATTCTGATTTACCAAAGGAACTCGATCCGGCAACAGCGCATCTTCCAATTCATATAAAGTATTACTACACAGCCTTGTCCCTAGAAATCTCGTACAAGCCCTTTCACAATGAGTCCACGACTAGAAGAATGCACGCCCATCAAGTTCGAAAGATCACAGATTAGAATAGGAGGCCATGGTTACATTCTCGCAAAGCTCATTCCAGAGAAAGTTGACCGTGTTCTCGGGGAAAGGCGGGCAGTATTTTATGCTAGCAGAGCAGAGGATGAAATGGAAGCTGTGGTCAAACTTCGTTTTCAGTAAGCCCTCCTAGCTTCGTCGACGTGTACCGTACCCCCATTGATCTATGTTTTGAAATACACTAACACTTTGACTTTCAGGTTGCAATCGATGTGGCTGGATGAACCTAGATCGTACGCCGACCACATAGAGTGGGGAAAGAGGATATTTCAAGAGGAGATTCACGCGCTTCAGCTCTTAGAGCCACTTCGCGGAACGCCGACCCTCTATGACCATGGTGTGCTGCAGCAGACTGACCGGCATGATTACCCTGGGGGGGGGCTATTAACGCTATTGCGATGTCAAAAATGCCCGGAAAGCCTGCCACCGAGTATGGAGATCTAAGTGATGTGGAAGGTGAGTACCTCAAGAGCGAGGTAGTTCAAATTCTTGAGTAAGTCAAGGATCTCAATACCCACTATCTATATAGTTGCTAAGGTGATAAATCTTGCTATATAGAGACATCCGTCTCCTTGGCTGGGAAATGGACGATGGTATACCTGACAATATTATCTACGACCGTCTCACAAAAACTGTGTACGAGTTTGCCGCTCCCAGGGTCTCCAACATTGCGCTGACTCCACTATAGTTCAATTACGTGTGTTGCTTATGGAACAGATACAGAGCCCACCGAATCTAGGCCTATAACTGAAAGAGATGGCCTCGTCCGTATTCTTGGGCAGAACTTGTGGTGGATGTAATTCTGCGCCATCATTCTGAAAGACGCAAAATAACATCATAGTCTGCTAGGTGGGCGCATTGCGATTCTTGGGTGGATTTCATCTTCGGACAGGGTAATGCATAAAATATTAATTGAACTTCGTCACCAATGGGATACCTTCAAGATGCATTCTATGACTACTGTTTCCCTAATTAGAAACCCCAGAGCTTCCTAAGATCGGCCGCTCGATCTGAAGTCTTCCAGCCTGTTTCATTCTCAATTCGAGCCAAATGCTTGAGCAAAAGTATCTTCTCTGTAGCATATGCTTCCTCCAGATTGGACCGAATATGATGAGAGAGTATATTTCGTCTTATGATACTAAGTATTGATGACGGGGAAGAAGGCACTTGATCGTCTAAAGAGCCTAGACAAGCCGAAAAGGATGAAGACTTGCTGGCGAATACTGCTCCTGCAATATAAAGTGGTTGAAGCTGATTGACCCTGTTCGCACTAAATGAATCAGCCGAAGTTCCAAAATATCTCTCTATTATTCCTTCGGAATAGTGAGTGGAAAAGGGTATCCTTTGAAACCTACTGGGACCGGTTTGACATAGATATACCACAGAGTTTCCTCGCATGGCAAACAGTATCAACCTTAAATCTGGTTAGCTTGGACACTTCAACTGATTCCTTATAGCTTATATAAGGTCCAAATATAAGGTATGTCAAGTGACAAGGAGTACCTCCAGCATCCTTAACGGGGGAAGACGAAATCTCCGATTCGGGAATAAGGCCGGTCTGTAAGAGTAACATGGACCCGGTATGGTAAAAGGTATTGCCGCAAACTAGGAAGGTTCCGAATAGAGCTATACAAGCAGGAAGCAAGCAACTTACTAGCCGAGGCACCTGTGTATATCGCAGCCGGGAGCACCCTGGGAGGAGGACAAGAGTCCCTCAGTAATGGGCACACCTCCTGAGGGCGGAGCCGATACCATTTCTGGAGCTCCCCCCACAATCTAGAGACCGACACGGCAAATGTAGACTTAACCTTTCTTGTGCTAAATCCAGGTGCAGTTAACATATTGACAATCTGAGCAAATATAAAGATGGCGAAATTACACTCATCATCCAACCAGATGTCAGTTGGGATCAGTGTCGTCTTACTGCTGATAAAAGCAGCCCATACATCTACCAAAGTAATTAGTCATTGTTATGAACTGGGCCTCTATAAGCTGTACCAATTCGGGAAAATGTCCAGAAACAGGATTTCACAATTCCCTGGCTCGAGCCATTCCACTTCTTTGCTAGAAGAAGGTCAGCACACCGCTGTAAAAGTAATAAGCATATATATCAACACGAGACAGGCGTATGGCAGCACCAGCAGACCTCCAAATGCCGCCGCCACTCATGGACATCGGACGCCATCATTTCGTAAACACACAACAGGGTACAGGTTGCGAGAACCGATGCGTCCGCTTTTGTGGGGTCTTGCCGACGAAGGAGTTGTATAGTATATTGATATAGCTCTAAGGTGACTGGCCGCTATACTTTCTCGGCGTGGTCTAGCTGGCGGGAGGCGAGAGACATAGCAGCTGCTACAAAAACCGTGGGCTTCATCATCGAATGCAGGGATCGCATCGTGCAATGCACATTGGGGTCGGTTGTCTCACACCATATTCCAGTCTCTTGCATAAATGAAGGAATCAAAACCAGCTTTTTCTATGCAAGTTACAGGCAAAAATGGCTCGGGCAGCGGGGACTCGTCCCGAGAAACCGCCAGTCCAAGCGAGAACGGGGGAATATACGCCCCAGTCTCATACGTAGCTATGCCATGCGGCAGATAGTGATAGACATCTGATGGTGGGGAGAATGCATGTTCAAGGAACACGGCCTAGCGTGATTGCGCAAATTGTGTGTTGGGCTGACATGGCAGACTACTGATGACCATCAAATCAAAGATGTATAGCAGAAGCGTCAAGACAATGATAATCCAGAAAAGAAATGAGATTGACACTTTCTTTACAGTGTCAATATTAATTAGAGTAGCCTTGAAGTATGTCCGCCGAACCAAGATTTCTCTTTATATGCCTAAAGTTCAAAGACAGAGGGGGGCCAGGCGAGAAAGGCATCCCTTGATGGTCGATCAATCCTTTGCTCAATTTCTTGCATTACTATAATAAATATCGACATTTCTATAAGTAAACCCACAGATTAAGCTGAGTAATATCTCATTGCATTTCTCATTGCCAAGCGAAGGACTACTTGAATCTTGAAGATCGAGATGGTGCCTGTCTTTGAAAGGTATATGTCAACGGACACTGATTATGCATAGGATTGAAGATATCGAGCGTGAATGAACTTGCGAGGTAGGAGAAAATCAATTAAAACTATGGTGCAAGAGCATATTCTATTCAGTTAAGTCGTTCCAGCACATATATTCCCACCTAATTAATATCCTCTGCCCCAGAAAAACAACACCATTTAGAACCGTGTTTCTTGCCCTTGTGTTTCTTGTGGTTCTGATTGTCGCTGCTCTGACCCATATTATTAATGCTCACCATCCTATCGCCCATGTGACTCTGATTTGCATTATATCGAAGTGTTGTATTGCAGGCTATGTTATTCTGAGGTGGAATATTCTGATTAATAGCACGATATCTCACTGTATTCTGGCAGTTGAGACCGAGGTTCGTGCCATCATGATGAATGCCATGGTGACTTTCGGCATTCCGAACCATCGGGTGCTTATCCAGGCTGTAGTGCTGTATAAAATCTGGAGTTAGCCCATCGAGGCTTATTTTATCTGGAACCGTGACATTCTGGTTAGCAATACGCGAGCTGATTTCATCGATATCGATATCTTCGATGCTTATTCCATCTGAACCCATGCAACTCTGGTGCGTAATGTGCTGGCTCATGCCATTTTGGCTTGTACAATCTTGGTGCTCAACACCTAGGCCCACGCTATCCTGATTCCTGGCATTATGATGTATGTTAGGATCTTGTTTCAACAATTCGTTGATTTCGAACCATTTCTCCTCCGAAACGTGAACTGCCTTCTCTCGCAGGTCTTTATTACAGGAATCGTCCTCCCTGAGACGATTGATTGTATTTCGAACCCACTGGTAACAATCTGACGGGCTTTCTCCAGGATCCTCTTGAAGGATCTTTAGCAAACGGTCCATACTTCCTACCTTCCCAACTGCAAACTTTTCAATAGACTCATCTTCAGATAGATTTGCCAATCGCTCGCGGATTGGATGAGCTGGGTTTTTGTAGCGAGCATCGTTCGGTACAGGAAGGCCTTCATCCAGCTTTGTTTCGATCCCACAGCAAGGATGAAAGCGCCTTACGCCTTGTAGTCTGGAGCTGACTTCGATGAGGAAAGTCCAGTGAACTCTATATAGGACGTGTGATAGTTAGCATATGATGGGAAGTTCGAGATGGGCAACTGTGCAGTTGGCTTAGGTCCTTACTCTGTTGGCATATGATAAATACCTATGAACAGCAAGTGCACATCCGAAGCGTCCATTGTACCTTGGGGTCTTATAATATCTGTCTTATATCTCTGGGGCTGGGTTTTGCAACAATAATAAATGGTCAGCTTTAGGGGAATAAAAAGATGTAATCAAGACTTTGCTGGTGATGAAGATCCACCGTTAATTATTGCCGAAGACACCTACTTATATAATTTAGAAAGAAAGGAAAAGCATCCCCTTGCCTTAAATGAGAATATCTCATTTACCGTGTCGGCCTTTTTGTGGTACTCTTGTGATATCTTTATTACTACCGACCCCTGGTTATATACGTCTTTTATTCGTCTTCACAAAATCATAATGGCCGATCTCATTTAGGTGTCATGCTGTCCAAAGGGATAAATATTTCTCCAGACAGAAAGGAGGGCCTAACAAGGAAACCTGCATTGATAGTGATTTTGACGCATATAATCAGTCTCGGAGTATGAATGCGTGCTGCCGATTTACACAAAGGTATCATTTCTCGGATTTAGGAGACAATGGTTCTTTAGCAGAGAAAGATATCACTCTTTCCTATTGCATGTATAACTAAAGGGTGCTTTATCTGAGATGAGGGAGTTTCGCGATTTTTGTTACAGCCTTCAAATCTCATTGTCATTCGTTTCAAAGGAAGCCGAACATGTCATTTTTATCCTTGAGACCGATATAAATGCAAACCGAAGACTGCTTATTTCCTAGGAAGCGTTTCATCTCAGCAAGTAGTGTCCAGGATGATGTTCAGTATATTTTTATAAGAGAAGGATAGGGTAAACTCTCGGTTGGGTGAGTGAAACTTCACATAATCTAGGTAGGTACTTCATACGTGGTGATATAGGAAAGGAGAGGGATTAAAGCACGCACAGCCGCTGTCAATGCTATGATTCCTCATATATTAGCCCCTGATCCTGGCTTACTAGTATCTAGGAGTAATTCATTCCTAGTGTGTAGTAAGTACTAATGTATTGACAGATAACTCATTATTAACAGCCTTTGCGCATAAGCTTGTCACGCATGGTCACTTCTAGTTTGGTCATTGTTCCGTTCTAGAGGAAACCATCACTATGATTGATTTTCGGGCGAATATCACTTGTTGATATTATGTGGTGTAGAAGAGTATCGTTAATGTCGCAGCTCTGCCAAGTGTTGTCGTCCGGCACGAATCCCGTTCCAACGAAAACATGGGGGATGTTATCACTCGCCTTGAGTAATTTGGGGAAGGCAGGCTCTCCTCGCTTTGTACAGTTGGTGGGGAAAAATCATGAATGTAATTAGGACGCCGCCAATTCAATACTCGGCTATTTAGATTGCTTATAATGGAATTCGATCACGCACTCCTTCATGTTAAATATCCGCATGCTATCCTCAGTAGGGTCTCTTTGCGTGTGTGAGATTATTAATGGAGTATAGAAGTGCCTGGCGCCCCTTTTCTTCTCTCAATAAGAGAGATAATACTTCAAGCGAACTAAACGGGACTCATACTCCGAGAGCAGTCCATGTGGCAGAATTTGGAAGCAATGGGAGGTTGAGGATTCTTCCTCGTCGCTTTGTTTGATGTAGTGATGCTGCACCAAGGATTCCCAGTCCTTGTATGGCATAAATTCTCAAAGCGTCCATTTCTGTATTGTCCATATTGCCAGTATCCTATCCACGGTATACATGGCTTAAAAGGTCTCGATTGGCAAACCGTGTCTCTTTAGCTTATCTTACAACTGATGATATTGGAGTAGAAGTAGAGGGGTTTCGGTCATATCCGCTCCGCGAGTAGTTCTGGCTGAAGGCACTTCGACCCAACAGTAGGAGGCTGCTCAACTGCAACATCTTGATGGTCAAGATACATTCATATATCCATCTGCTAGGTCACAATGATAATGCTCTAACACTCCAATGACACATGTCACCTATAGCTAAGCTTACTTATACTCAGAAGCTAGTCGAGAGGCATATATGGCATGAGAGGGATTTCTACGGTTGCGGTAGATCTTTCTGACTATGAGTCGGTAAGTGCGAGTAACACTGTGGGTGTGGTTTGAACGAGGGTTCAAAAACGAGAATATTCCTTTTATATAGGTGCATTTTTTGTCCCACACCTGGGTATTCACTACGTATTCACCGAGCAACCACTCATTAACCACGTATTCATTGACCTACTCGAAGCAACCCCTTCTGACCCGTAGAGACTTTTTAGGATGTACAGAATCAGACTTGTAGTTTTCTTTTTAAAGGTCATGATCTGACTCGCGCGGTGGGAAGAGCAGAGTTATTCAGCTTCAACAATCCTACAACGCCAATAGATTCTTAATAGCTAACATGTCAGTCAACTCGCTCGACCCCGCCAGCGACAATTATCATCGAGCGCGGCAATGATTTGTTCCTGGTCTCTTCTAAGGCTTTGTCTACAGCTTCCCCTATATTATTCGCCATGTTCGGCCATCACTTCAAGGAGAGTGGCTCGATGGCCAATGGGTCGAAAGAGCTGGTAGCTATACCTCTGGGTAAGGATGACCCCGAAGCATTCCTCACATTTTGCAACATAATACATTTTCTACTTGATGAAAAACCGGAGTACCCTAGTCCCAACCTTCTGGAAAAGGTCGCCGTTCTTGTCGACAGATACATGTGCAAAAAGGCCGTTATCTCTTATATCAAAGTATACATATCCAACAGTATAATAAGTAGTTTACATAAAGTCACCCATATCTCCTATCGCTAAGTCTCTGCTGTCTACTTAGATTTAAGAACGCAGCTCTACCACCAACTATTGCTAACCATAACTTATCAATTTTCCTACAAGCACATAAAGTCAATTACCCATCTAGTATGTCTTATATTCGGTAAGCCATCAACGAGGACACGGACATTTATTTAACATTATTGGGGATGCTCAAGTAGTCTATAACCTCTTATATGGAGTAATTTGTTTATCTTTGAAAACCCACCAGTGTGCAGTGTGCGAACGGGGGTCGTGGATACCACAAGTATTCAATATCCTGCACAGCAAAACATAGTAAAGCAGATCTGCCAACGCAGTAGCAAACAGAGGTTTAGTTACTGCCAACCTTGTCTCCTTATAACCAGTGAATTCTATTTATATTCCCCCGAGAGTGGCTTAGCTTCTAAGTTCATTCACACAGTTCATCTCTTCCAGAACAAAGGACATATCGCCTATATAATCTCGCTCTCTCCCCTACCTCCCGCTTCAACCTTCTATGGCTACACCGAAGCTTTCACAGCGACCATCAAAAATGGAATCATCCAGGCTAGAGGCTCTGCCTGCAGAGATGAAATATGCCATCTTATGCGCTCTCCCAGATCTTGCCTCTTTTAATGCGTTGGTTCACGCTTCTACCACCTTCCATATGGTGTACCTATCGCGGCGAAAAGAGCTGCTATCGAACGTCTTGAAGAGATATCTCCAGTTACCTGTTCTAATCGAAGCAGTTGCTGCTTTGATTGCCTTGCGTGATTTGGAAGAAAGACGCAAAAAGCCCAAAGGTTGTATCACGGCAATTGAAGACTTTCTGTACAAATATATCCCATTACGCTCCAATTTAAATCCTAACCTAAGATTTATGTCGAAGTATCATAAACAGGGGTTGAATGTTTATGACGTATTTGCGACTTTCACAGAGAACGACCTAATCGAAATGGCTCGACTTCATACAATGGTGGAGTATATTTCGGAAGATATGGTCTGTTATTTTCTCAAAGCCATACCAGGTACCCAAGAACAAGAGCGAAGTATTACCATCTCCCCGTCAGAATCATATCGAATACAGCGCGCCATCTATCGACTGGAAATATTCCGACACTTGTGCGAACAGACATATGTCGACGGGGAAGAACCGTCGTATATCCCCCCAAGTGGAGGGGAAATTCGGTCGTATCTGCTTTCCGTATTGAGCCCATGGGAGATGGAGGAGACCAAGTGTTTCCAGGAGTATATCTTCCACCACTATGAAGTGCTGCCTGGAGCATCCTATTCCGCAGATAATTGGGAACTTTTCCCCGAGGAAGATGATCCAGCGAACCATATATATGAACACGGTAATAGCCTTCTACTCTTTTATTGATCCGTATACGGTTTATTAACTTAGATAACAACCAGATATTCATGACAGCTTTAGGGAGACATTCATGCTTTTTGGGGTAGGGTACCTCTATCGCTGGATCCGCGTATCAAGAATATCTTGTCCAGAGGAACGACTGGCCCAGCAGATAGCCATGACCCGTGGTCAATTGGGCTACGCGGACTGTCCCTTTCATGATGCTTTCGAAGAAGATCCTGAATTTGATTGCTACATAGATTATGGCGATGGAGGCATAAGCGGCAGGATCATCTTGTCGGATGAGGATTGGAATATGCCAAACCTGGCGTGGAAGTGGCGCTTAGAGCCGGGTACGCGAGACGATTACAGATATGCCTTTGCAGCATCCTGGAATCATACAATACGCACGTGGGGATATGTATTCTGGGACAGACATCGGTTTGAGGAATGGGATATTGACCTGCAGACTCTGAAAGAGCAGTTCAAGGGCATTTGGAATTCCCCGCGCAATTGGGCAGCTTGGGAGGGGTAATTTAAACCTGATCCATTCAGCTACCAATCTTGAAAACCCATGTTGACATCAGGACTAAGGCAGCCAGTTTTATCGCTGTTATTTCCACTCTAAATTAGTAGGAATCTGTATTTCTCCTCCGTTGCGGAGAACTCTACATACAGCTAGGACTGCGAAGTCCTCTGGCGTCCGTAGACGTAGTCCGAGCTTCCATCGTCCATGGTTCATATCCTGGATAACCGTGAAGAAAAAGCTGACTTCACGCACATTGATGATTTAGCCAGCTTCCTGGCCAAACCACGGATCATCCGGAAGTCTCGGAGAACATGGAGCTGAATTTCATTAGTGACCATATCAGCTATAACGAGATTGCGGCCCTATTGGAGAAATGCGCCCGCAGGAAGGTGGAGAAAAGTATAATGCCAATGGAGGTTATGGATCATGTTTGGAAGCACAAGGAAGATATCCCGGAGGACCTGAAAGGAAAGAGAGCAGTTCCGGATGACTTCTGGATCTTGGTGAAAGGGATGCAAGGATCAGGCAGACTCTGGGGGCCACCGGGGCAAATACATAATGACTTGTTCCGCAATGTGAAGATGATGACTTTTGAGCGGTATTTTGAGAATATTTGTGGCTCTCAATAGTTTGTCAGCTTTTGGCATTCTGTCCGAAAGAATGTACGTGTAGTCAAGCTGGGGATGTTGTGGACTGTAAGTTCAGGTTGCTCCGCAAGTTTACCCCGGCGCTATCCTGTTTCCGACACGGGGATCGCCCCATTCGGAGAGGAATCTGGAGTACTTTCAGTATAACAGAACATCTTGTCCTTAGGGAAAAGCCATGCTGAGTAACCGTTCGGTCTCCTGTTTCTCCGGAAGGGATGTAGCATGGTTCAATCTGCGGGGGGATTATATTGTGCAGATGAGATGATTTCCCCCGCTTGTGGGGGTATATAACTACCGTGCATATCTCTGCAGAGTATATGCCATCCAGTTTCCATTAAACCTTTCTGGCCCCAATTTCGCAGACAATCAAAGTCCAATGCAGCGTTACGTTTCTTTAGCCGTGTCGCTGTCTTTGCTTTCCGGGGCTAATGCTCTGGTACGCCCTGATGGTGTGGTACGTTTTAGCTTTGCTTCGGGGCTAGCAGTAGTAACTGATGCGATACATAGGGGAGACTACCCGCGTTGGGTTGGAACACCTGGAATGCTTTTGGATGTGACATCGATGCTTCCAAGATCCTGACTGCTGCAGAAGAAACAATAAACCTGGGTTTAAAGGATGCGGGTTATGAGTACATCAACAGTGGGTCAACCGAAACTTGTCATATGCATGCTAACACCTGCAGTCGATGATTGCTGGTCCGTCAAGAGTGGCCGGGATCCCAATACCAAACGTATCGTTCCGGACTCGGCCAAGTTTCCGGATGGAATCTCAGGCGTCGCTTCTAAAATTCACGACTTGGGTCTGAAGGTCGGCATTTATAGTAGTAAGTTCACTGCATACTACGATCAGATTGGAATGAGACTAAGAAGACAGGTGCCGGTACGGAAACCTGCGCTGGCTATCCGGCTAGTCTGGGATATGAGAAAATAGACGCTGAGAGCTTTGCCGAATGGGGCATTGACTGTACGGAAGTTTGCCACTGATCCAGCCATCAAAAAACTAACTCAAGTGATAAGATCTGAAATACGATAACTGCGGTGTACCTACTAACTGGACCGACACCTATACCCACTGTGTGCCAGACAACACTAATGGCTCCAAGTTCCCTAACGGCACTTGTCCGGATATATCCAATCCAGCACCAACGGAATACGACTGGAGCAGTTCGAATACTGCTCAAAGGTACGAAACTATGCGCGATGCATTACTGAGTGTCAATCGGACCATTCTCTATTCGTTGTGTGACTGGGGCCAGGCGGATGTGAACCAATGGGGTAATGCGACAGGGAACTCTTGGAGGACAACGGGTGATATTACGCGTAGGTCGAAACTACCTGTGGCCTCGGAAGAGCATGTCTGACTCGAACAGCCGACTGGAGCCGGATTGTCGAGATCGCCAACGAGAATTCGTTCCTCATGAACTATGCCGATTTCTGGGGATATCCAGATCCTGACATGTTGGAAGTTGGCAACGGAAACCTGACTCTCGAAGAGAATAGAGCCCACTTTGCTCTCTGGGCCGCAATGAAATCGCCTCTTATCATTGGTACTCCTGTACGTTTTCATAGCTCGGTCAAAGAGGTCTGGCTAACGGAAGTAGCTTGATTCGATCAAAGAGGAGCACCTTGCCATTCTGAAAAACAAGCCCTTGCTGTCGTTCCATCAAGATCCGGTAGTTGGTCGCCCAGCATATCCTTATAAATGGGGATACAACCCAGACTGGACATTTGATCCAGCGCATCCAGCGGAATATTGGTCCGGGCCATCGTCGACTCTCGGCGGAACTCTGGTTTTGATGTTCAACTCAGAAGACAGCGCCACAAGCCGGACTGCTGTGTGGGCCGAGATCCCTGAACTGAGGGACTCCGCTGAGAAGGGCAGCGGGTATCTGGTAACTGACATTTGGACGGGTGAAGATCTGGGTTGTGTGAAGGACCAATATCGCGTGGAGTTGCAGAGTCATGATATTGCTGCTCTGGTGGTGGGAGAATCCTGCTGATCGCGGGTGAAGCGGTTCTCGCAAGCCACGGCTAGATGTATACAATGTGCTGGTTGTGATGAGCCCAAGGATTGCAGGGTCTACTCCAAATATTGGGCCAAGAACTTCTAAGCAAGGTAAAGGAGTAGTGAAAGGAAGATCCTGGACATGACAAATCATAGAGGCAGTCTATGCATAGTACGTACCTTTATGGCTGTGCCTATGTAGATACGACTGAAATGTACTGAAGAAAGGTTACACTAAAGAATGACTAAGGACTAAAAAAAAATAAGGAGCTCGCTCACATCAGTAGTTTGCTCCTGAGTATTGGTTACCTTTGTCGAAATAGACCTTCAAATCTCAGCCGATCCCTCGCTCTTTGCCGTTTTTTCGAAGCAGGTAAGACGGTCTTGGGAAACCATAATCTCAGTACAGCCTAGATACCTTCTATCTATATAAGAGACCAAACCGATCGCATCCGCAGGTGGATCTATACCTTCGGAGAAAGCCGAGCTTGGAAAATCGTATTCCATATGAAAAGCATATGATAAGGATACTCATATACAGGACAAGATGAAAGAGCAAGGCGCAATCAATGTGTATAATACAGGAAAGTATAAAAAGGCACAAGTAGTTTTCAGTAAGAGGGGGAGAAAACGACAGCATCCCTAAGTATGATAAAAAGAAAACATGTGACTGGGTCACGCACCCGAATAGGATGGTAAGTGACCCATGAAACTCTCTAGTGCTCAGAGGATGATAGATGCTTCTGTTGGGCTTAAAAAAATCATTAGGACGCTTATCAACAACCCGAGTACATAGGCTATGTCATACAGATCGGGCACGCTCATATCAAGTTGCAAGAAAAGCCAGTACACAGAAAATGTGAGAGAATGCTACCACGCTGAATGCCTGCACCAGGGTATAGACTCATTAAAACATTGTCCCATATTCCATCACATGGTCGCGGGATCAAAATAGTTGAAGAAGATTTCATAACTCGATCACCGCCACAAATCACCTCTGCTCTCACGCCTCCAACCCCCACTACTCTTAGGACGCCCATCATCCACTGGAACAGCCAGGAACCCGCCGAAGCCATTGCCGACCAGCACACTCTTCCGTGCATCGCCACCCCAGGAACGGCTTAATTGAGCATCGTGGAAACTTACCGGCCGTGTCGTACTATCCCGGCGGCCTCTTGTTGAAGGTGGTTCATAGGGAGTGAAGTTCCACTCCAACTCGTCCAAGCCCTTGCTGTACACGTTCAGCGGCTGTGCGAGAATGCCTCCCCCAAATTGGGGTCCACTCTCACCACCACCGAACAAGCGGGGCGGAGGGGCAAGCAATAATGCCTCTGGAAATCCTGCATCACGAACATAGAGGTCTCGAAGAGCAGGAAGAGCGTTGGACATCAAGGATGAAATTAGGTAAGAGTAGTACGAGCTTGCCACCGGCGGCATGCCGTAAGAGCCGGCTGGAGAGTATATCTCGTAATGTAACAATTCGAGTGACCGAGAGGTGAGCGGTGGCACCTTTTCCGGAGGGAACGATCGTGAGACTTCCTGGATTACCGATAGCGCACGGAGCTCTGGTGCGTCCGAGAGAATGTGGTGTAGAGCCGATGGGTGAACTTGGGTAGCTGACAGCGTCAATGATTGCAAAGAGGCTCGGTTTTCAGGCAAGGAGAAAAATGCGGCAAGCCCGCTTGCTGTGACATTTGGAGTATCTCGAAGGGTAAGTCGCTCAACGGCCGGGAACGGGGGGAAGTTTTGGGAGTGTGCGAAGGCGGAATCATCCAGCCAAGGAAGCTCTTCCAATGTTAAGTCACGAAGCCTGGGAAATGCGCCCAGGCCGAACCGGAGAATATGAGGCTCAACTTGTAGGCCTGATAATTCGAGTATTTCAAGATTTCCCCAAAGATGTGTGCCAGGCAACTGCGAAAAGGTACCCTCCGACCCATGGCGGTAACTCATCCGACGAAGATCTGGGCAACGAGCCATGATTTCCTGCTTCAGAGCGAGGCACGCGGGGTCGTCACTGAAGAAGCCAGCAGGCAAATCCACGTAGCGGAGATTGGGCAACACAGAAACAGTTCGTGCAATCTCCGATTTGCTCGCCTCGCGAGTCATATACGGCATGCGCAACGAGCGGACCATACTCCCTAGGCCATGTGAGTGTCGAACGGTTCGCATGAAGAGCGATAGGCGAGCTTGGGGGGCATCTTCGGGGTCGCCATTCTTGTCGAAGAAGGAGCGGCGTTTTCGTTTAGCTGACAACTGAACCTCGAGTTCACAGTAGTGGACGGCGTCGATGCGGACATTGGAGTAACTAGTGAGTGAGATGGGAGATCAGCGAGGGTACAAGGGAAAAATAACTCAGAAGATGCAAAGCCTACAGCAGGGCGTCCGCGTCAATGGACCACCGCTTGCACACCAAAGCGCAGTGCGCGAGGTCGCGCATGTCACAAAGCATACAGCCATCCTCGGTCATGGATTCCTCTGACGTATCATAGCTGTTATCTTCGGTGTGGGGACAAACGAAGGAGAAAATGCGGATTAAAACACGTCGCGGTAACCTCTTGGTGTAATCTGTGCCCATGATGGGCAACGGAGGAACAACCTCGTGGTTAGTGCGGAGATGCTCATAGCTGACCGCATTCCCCGCACGGCTATGACTTTTCGAACGCTTGCGAAGACGGCTTAGAAATCCCATGATGAGATCGTGAACGACAAATGCATTGATGAAACACGAAATGTTCGAATTAAAACGAGAACGAAGGGAGTCGGGTCAGGGGAGGTGGTTTGCAGTCAGAGAAATATTACGATGGCAAGAATAAGGCTAAGCGAAAGAGAAGGAGGAAGATGCGTGAGAAATGAACGGAGAAGCAGGTTGCAAAGTGGGGAAAGGGAACCTCCACCAGATTTATTTATTTAATCTGGGAAAGGAGATGACTTAAATCAGCATCGGGAAGTGCCGTCGAATTATCTTTTTTCTTTCCACACCCACACACACACACTCTCTCTCTCTCTATTTTTGCGCCCGGGGGGTTCCCTAATTGAGAGATCTGGCGGTTGCTTCTTTACCCATCGGGCTCGCTCCTTTATTCGATTTGCTCACCTTTCACTCCCATTGCTCTTGGAAGGTGTTGATCCCTCTAGCTGAGGGTCAATCATCTCAGCCTTCCAAGAAACTAGTTCGGCACGACAGGTGCATGATTAGTATTGTGCTCTGTAACCGATGCGCTGTGCTTATTTTTATCAGCCATCCAGAAGCGAGATAACAAGGAATGGTGGTTGGCCGTTGCTCAGCCTGGGGCTGGAGAATACTTGCCAAGACAGGGGAAGAGGTCGTCTATCGTGTTTCAGGAGAGCGGTTAGAATCTCTAGTGGTTGGATGAAACAAAGTGGGGCCATAATTGAAGGGTCACCGATGCTTCAACGCCTCCGCGGCTAATCCTCTTTCGGTGCAAGTGACGGTCAGAATGTGTTGGACAGACTTTCTTAGTTCTTACCACACTTTCACGACTTTTCTTTATATCGCAGTCGGGATTAGGGACGACTACCGCCCCCAATGTAACAAAGAAACGGAGATTACAGGAATGATTTCCGCGGGATTTCTCACGACCGGCCTTTGCAAGTCTCACATGCTAGACGCAGTCCCTAGCATAGTAGCTGGTGGAACCCCAACGCGTGCTGCGCTTACACAGGCGATAAGAATGGTCAATACTTATATGGAGTGGCTGCAGATCCTGCCGTACGCATAGATGGACCACTACTTCTCCTATTGGCGGTTGAGGTTCTAAGGCGCTTTGTCAATCAGTAAATTTCCTCATTTAGTCTTGAACGACCAGACATACCTTGCTTTGTTCACCATTCGGGCCGTACATGTCAGCCACATTCCGATCGCTATCCTCTGGTACTAGGACACCACGAGGGTTGAGATCGTCAAGGCATAATTCCAGATTCTGATATCCTCTTGCCGTCTGAATGTAGAAGTTAGCGGCCCATTCCTTGATAATATAGTCAGGGATTAGACCACACCTCTTCCCACTTAGAAGCGATTGTATCCGCATCATCATCATCGACATGCTCGTCATTGTATTCTATGTCATTGGAAGCGCAGCTGGTCAATTTCCCAACGTCCTCAACCTTGCGGTATTAATTCTGGTATAAATCCTGGTATTGTTGGAACTATTATGTCTGAATATGGCTGGTACATACCCTGCAGTCATCCGTGCTACTGTCTTCATCGTTTAGGGTTTCTGCAGCCGCGAGGGCGTCCGCGAACGTCCTCGAGGAGAACGTCAACCTTGTCAGCCATGGTGGGCCGAGAATGTCGGAGGGAAGGTTGTTTGGAGGGGAAAACATAGTTGGGGAAAGAGACGCTTATATATGGCCAGATTCAGCTGATCGTCAACCGCAGATGACGAGAACTCAAATTCTCCGCTACTAATTTATCTATTACTTATCACTTTCTGGGCTGAGTGCTCTATCTACAGATGTAGTTCAAGTTGGCTCAACAGGTGTCCGGGACTTATGACCAATTCCAGTACCGTCTGTTCTCTGTCGACTGGTTCATTTTCTATTGGATCTTTGGCGATTGAGCTTATTTTTGAACGACAATATCAACCATGCGATACAATATATACATGTATTGAATGTGGAGCAGGTACTGCCAGCGTGGCAATGCGTGGCTGAAATCTGTGTTGAACAGTACGTGAGTCAGGTCTTCAAGACACCACATCGAATAGCATCAGGAGGAATTGAATCTACTCTATCACCTGTCTTTGGTAACACATTCGTTGGGCAGTAATCCATGACTGTGCAGGGGATTCGGGAGCTAGATAACTTAATTCGATGTACCAACCTACCCACCTGCCCAGGAGAGTGGACACTTCCAAACTCTTTACTATTTCTACCGAACACCAACAGCGCCCCACGTCACATCTCGCACATCTGACCATGACCGCACTTACCAATTATACCTCGGATTTCGCTCCGTGAGGTGCTGAAGATAACCAGTCTCCGGCCAGAGAATACCAGGTCCACATGTTGAATATGAGTTTTGAAGTAGAACATTATAGTAGGAGCTGGTTATATCTATCGTGGTATCTTGGTTGAAGGCTGACTGATAAGAAGATGCCAATGGGTAGGGGTAAACCGCAGATGTACAATTCAAACTACAACTTTAGGCAGTTTTAAGCTGCTTATAGAGACACTGGGGCTGTACTACGAATCTATGCAGAGATGGATAAGGGATGTCTAGACAAGGTAAGTAACTTGGCTTTCTATGGAGTTGCAACATATTAAATTCTGAGGGATTCCTTGAGTTACCAGTTTGTTAAACTTAACCAATTGTTCCATGACTCTCAGGGCCGTATGAATGGGCAAACAACACCTGCCATTCTCGAGATCGGTAGCCTGAACTAGTCAGAAATGTTCTCACCATTCGGTTACTTCATTTAGTAGCAATGATGTGGCAATGGGATGCAAGCTGAGCAATGGAAATTGGTGAAGCGTTCGAAACCTTAATTATACTACGTCATTTAGCGACAACCATCTCTGTTTCTGGTAGACCATGGAGTGGGTTCTTTTGTGGGCCTTCGGCTCCGCTAGTGTGCCGTACAGAAGGTCCTAAACGACCTAGGACTCATTCCCTTTTATATTCTTGTCTATAACACTCACCATTTGGAGGTCGGGGCACTGAAATAAAGTATCTCGCTGCGCCTTTCTCTGTCCAAATGCTGGTAACTACTACCTTGGGTGGTTCATTATGCATTAATGTTGCCCCAAAATCGTATAAATGTTGTTGTCCAGCGGTTGAGAGGAAAGCGGGAACAGTGGCCACTGAGTGTGAATCAGGGCTCCGCTTACTCGACTATCTCGGGCTGTACAACACCCAGGATGGATGGGGTAAGTAACAAGTTGATCTTTCAAATCAGTCCGATCATATCTAGCCACTTGTGTTTCGCTGCCAATCCTTCCTGCGACTAGAATATAAGTTCAAGACTGCCGGGGACTGGCAAGACGATCCAGATAGATCTATGAACAGCCGCGAAATATACATCCACGAAAACACAACTTGGGGCCCAAGGCTCTATATCCCCTTCAGCCTCTATGATGGGGCTACGCACAACGTGCAGCAGGGATTTAATTTATCTAAGCATTTCTGGAACGACAATGGCACGCTGCGCTACGATGACGGACTGCACAAAGTGGATCAGCCTATGTACGTCCCCCCTTCCTAGATCCCGTCTACCAGCTTCAGCTAGTGTATGATAGCATATATACTAATAGATATATGTATTTACAGGGTGGAGGGCATACTCCACCCAGATGAGGCTTGGCAGATGTACTGGGATGATTCCAAACAGGTGAAGAAGGAGTACAAGTGTTATGAAGGGGAAGACTTAGCGGCAAGGGGCGTTGGTAGAGCTTATGGGGATTACGATTACGGATATGAGGATGAATCGGAGGTCCAGGAGATATTGGAAAGTATCTATCGTCGTCTTGACGAGGAGGGTTCCGATGTGCCGGATTCTGAGGACGATGCTAAGTGGTAAAGTACTAAAGAATAATGTCTCTGGCCGGAAGTTAAAGGATATTTTAGATGAATATGATGAAGCTGGTATTTGTGAAGATCCATCTCGAATATATTCTGATCTGCCTTTAGACAATAGAATAATCATAAATACTATTGAGCAACGCGTAGAGCTGTTATTGGAGTAAAGTTTGACCCCCTTTTGTACCCAACTCCTCTAGCCTGGCCGAAACTTAGCAGAATACTCGCAGATTTCCTGCTAATAAACACCATAAGACTAATATAGTACTGTGATTGGAAGGAACCAAGAGAGCTTTCAGATACTGAAATAAGAACAAATGAGGATTTTTAACGTCTGGCTATGCTTACTAGATTGACGAGACTATTCAATATTCTACCCTCGGCTTCAATACCGGTGTAGTCAGCAATTTCTCTTCTTGCTCCTGTTCCAGCTTAGTATAATCACATGAACCAGTTCTAGCAAGTTGTTATCCTATCGTTCATCCTCATAGCTCATCACGATGGCAAACTTCGACTTAATCTATAACCTTAGTCGTTTTCGCTTAACTGTTAGCCGAAATCGTTTCTTCCCACCAATTTACTTCAAGGGTTCCTTGAGCAGATTTCCCATCCAGAAGGAATGCTCTCCACGTTTTTATCGTTGGTTATTGATATCGATCTCTGGCGGTGATCCACATGGCTCCCTTATTATAAGTACGACGACAAGGCTGTGAATGAGCGGAATGGAGTCCATTGTAGCAGAGCATTGCCATGAGTTAATATATGAACATGTGTTCGAAAATTCCGGGGCGCTGCGAGGTGACGAGTAGTAGCTGTCAACCAGTACGTACTGCACACTACTAGTATCCAACAACATTGCAACATATCACTGGCCATTACTCTAAATGGTGGTGTCACTTTCCCATTCCCCGTCATGCCACTAGCGCGCTTAGAGGATATGTCATGACTCGGGGTGATCTAGAAATACTCTCATTACTTGGTCCCCAAGACTAGGAGTGCTGATTGTGGGCGGAGTAACCTTAGTTGCTGGGAATCCATGCCGAAAACAATTTCTTGATCTACAGTGGAGCCTTCCGTGCGGGCCCGGAAACAGTTGAACATTGCCTTGATCTTTGTGGTAGGAAGGCGAGCCGGATGCGAGCTCGGCCATCTCCATGCATATAGGTCGCGTCACATGGTCACAGCTGCTCCTTCCCCGCCCTTTCAACTTGTTCTTGGCCATGCTTCTACACCCTAACCTAGGCTTGACATATATTCAACACCGCATCTAGTCTACGCACTTCACTATGGCTCCTCCAAAGACCGGGATAACAAAATGCACTAGAGTGACTGATCATGAGCAGAGACAGCAAGCTGATGAATCCCCACGGCCTCGCTCAAGGCCTCGCTCATGGAACAGAGAGACGTAAGAATCCACCGTCATGCAGGCTGGGACTGAATTTTCTAACTTTCAGCAGCTACTTCGGATCCCTCATCTTCAACCTAGGCGCTTTCGCACTCCCTGCTTTATATAGTACTCTTAGCAAGCTGTGGATTGCAAATATTGACTCTAGTCAAGTTGTCACCACTGATATATACACCTACATTGGCGTTATTGTCGAGGTGTTAAATGATGGCCTCCCAAGGTCGGCTTGGCTCATTATAGGAGACAAATCAACCAGGTCTGTATCCTCACGGTTAAGCCTATCATATACCATTATAGTAGTGCAGACTGTGCTGGGCACAATTATGACAGTGATCTTCCTCGCATCATCCAATAGTCTTGCGGCGGCATTTATGCCAGTGGAAGTCCGGCAAACGTCTCTAACATATGTCCGGATTTCTTCTATCGAGGCCTTGTCGTCTGCTTTGGAAACGGCCGTGTCATGCTGCACACGCGCGCTAGATCATCCGGATGTACCGCTATTTATCAGTTCAACCAAGTTTATCGTTAATATTATGCTCGACCTATTAATTCTGTCGAAATTCCATCCTGGTTCGTTTCAGCCAACGGTGAATATGCAGGCTTGGATTAGGGTGGCTTGTGACATGAGTTCTGCTCTTTGCGGGTTGGGTTATTTTCTTTACCTTAGCTTAAGACTACAGAGATCGCAACCCAGGGCGCAGAGGGTAAAGCCGAGTGTTGAAGCTTTGAAAACTCTTATCCGACCCAGTTCATACACTTTCGCAGAGTCTGCTATTCGTAACGCTATCTACCTCTGGCTGGTCAGTAGAATAGTTCTGCTTGGCGAGAACTACGCAACAGCATGGGGTGTTTTCAACACAATTAGGTGGGGACTTGTGATGGTTCCTGTCCAGGCCCTGGAGCAATCAACTTTGACCTTCGTTGGACATAATTGGGGGAAATGGCGTGATCGTGTTGGCGCGGCGATACGGCATCCCAAGGCCACGAAGTCAGATATTGTGGGTATGTAGCTTTCCTGTATTGAGGACAGGCAACATAAAGCTAATATATGGCTAGAAATTTGTCGCCCAGCATTTACCTCCTGTGGCATTGCACTTGTCTTCGAAGTCATTATATGTATAGCCCTTTCTGTACGTGGGATCCAGGGATTTGCTTACTATCTCTCTGGCTCCACAGTCGTTGCCCAAATAACCCAGCGGATATGGAAGGTAGGCCCTAGGACCAGTTTCATTTCCACCCACTTAATGACCAACTCTTCTAGCAAATTGACTGGACATATATCTTTTACGGCCTCAACTACCAGCTTGCAGCGATTCTCCTTGCAGCCTCACCACGTTGGTACCTCTATCAAGCTCTGGGTTCAAACTTTCTATGGATGCTCCCCTGGGCCATATTCGCGACGGTCATGTCCGTCTCTCAATCTACAGCATGGACCTACTATGCTATTATCTTTGGCGGAGCCCTTGTCTTTGACTTTATAGACGTGAGCATTACACTAGCGATTTGGGCACTCAGGCTAAGTTGGGGTCGGGTGAAAGTAGGTGCTTTACGGCAATAATTATGACCGTATCCTGTACCAGTCTAAAACTACTTCACTAAGAAAAGTGGCTTCTCCAAGATATCATGATGCACCTTGTGGTATTTCTCTTCAGAACATATTGCTACTTCTGCCAGACATGCGCGACAGCTCGTGGATGTATCCTCCCTCCAGTTCATGATGATCGTCGACAAACTTAGCTTCCCTCGCGGGTGGAAAGCGGAAGCGCTCAGTGTGCTGTTTAGTGTAGCCCTAGTTTTATGCCTCCTTCCGACATTTCAACTACGAACAAAAAGAAGGGAAGTAATGATATGCCGCTATGTAGCACCAGCTACAAGAGATATCCACCAAATTGCAAGACCAGCTGGACGCCACTTTGGAAGTAGCAAGTAAATATCGATCACCGCAAGTCGCAGGTCAGGGCCGCTACTTACAGAAGTATTGAGATTCTTATTGATTCCCAGGTTATGACAAGGATGACGGGACACAGAGCAGACTTCATGGCAGAAAAATTTTCTAGACAGGCGGGTGATGTATGGGAAAGCTTTGGCGGAAGACGCGTTTTGGTATAAGGCATTTACCAGATCCTTATATAATAGTAATCGACCTATTGCTACCCTATATTGACATGCTTTTTGTTGGGATATCAAGACTATGAAAAGTGCCACTTCATATGGTATAACAAGAATATAGTATACATTACAAATAAAAAGTCACTCTGAAAACTGACGAAATATTCTGAGCTAAATCCTTCAGGGCTCTGACATAAATTCTAAATACCATCTAGACGCCGAAAAGCACATAGGCTCCTGGAAAGGCACCGATGTGGTTCATGTCTATCATTGTATTGACATGTCTTGGAAGAAAGCCCGGTTAAATAAAGCAGAGAGAAAGCAATGATGCAATAATCATTGTCATCTGCAGAGGAATATTGAAAGCTGTGGCGGAAGACTCAGAGGTAGATGTAGGAGTAGTAGACTCCTTTGTCGCTGTCGAGCTATCGGTGGTTGCGGACGATGTCTCTGTAGAGCTGTCGGTAGTTGTAGAAGATGTCACTGTAGAACTGCCAGTGACTGCGGAGGCTGTAGCTGTCGAGCTAACGGTGGTAGTGTACAATACCGTTGGAGAGCTGGTTGTGGACGATGTCGTTGTCATAGAAGCAGCAGCCGAGACCGACGAGACAGCCTCCACACAATAGGTGCGATCATCAGCAAGGCCGGAGCAGTCGGCACCCGGATTCAACGATAAAAATGTGGGACGATCAATATGCCACCTCCTAGTGAAAGTGTCGCATGTTTCTCCCAGGTAGGAGGCGGCCACTGCGAACTGGCAGTCAGGGCTTTCGCGTGGATGTAACTCGTGGGCAGAGAGCAGTTGGAGGAACAATCCCATGATCAGAAACAGTTGAGGACCCATTTTGATATTGAGTTTTTTTTCTCTCTCTCTTTTGGGGTCGGTAGTGAGAGAGGAGTATTAAAATTAGCAAAGCTGTGTACTCCGATTTCTTAATCCCCAACTACCGAGGGATATGGCTCTTATTATATGGGTAGGTGCAGTGATACCCCTGAGGGTAAGGCTGATTTGGACCATTTTTTAAACCACAACAGAATAAAAAGCGGGGTTAATATTACGGGAAATCCAAGGCGATTGGAAAGGTTTTAGCTTGGTGTGGAGTAGTGCTAATTAGTCTATGTAACCATGTAGGGTAGTGTAGCGCGCGTATTTATACGAGATCAGGATTTATTCAAGAATACTTACATGGAGTGAGTGAAGTCAACATTGCTGCTTATGCTGCTTGTTACTTACGCTCTGGATGGTGTTATAGGTGTCTGCAACCTAAATCTTCCTTTTGTTTTTATATTTCTTTTAATCTTTTACATCAATCTGCCAAAGAAATGTACATTGAACCTCATGATTTGCCCTTCTTAGGGTTACCCGAATCATCCAAAAGCTCGCTACTATCATCCAACTCGGACCATTTCGGCTTTCCATCTGGGATCTCGACAGCCCGTCGGCTGTAGAAAATATGACACCTGCAAACATGGTTAATATCAGGTCATTCCAAATTCAGACAAGGAACATTGAAGACTTACTCTACTTCAAATGCATTAATCCACTTCTCTCTCTCCTCATGTGTCTCCCCAGAGTCAATAGACGCAGGGAATAGAAGACAAACATTGCGCCCCTCATCCATGATCGGGGTCCGACAGAACGAACACGACACTTTCGTTGGGTTCATATACTCTCTCGATTTCTCCATAGATGAATAGAAGGCTAGGCCATCAGCACCTTTGGTGAATGTAATATCGGACTTGTGGAATATAGTGGCCCACTGGAACGGGGCACCTATTTATCCTTGTTAGTATTTTTCCTCGAATGCTCCAGATACGTCGCAGACGAAGAATGGAGCACTCTTATTCTTTTTAATCACGTACCATGCAATACTTGACACCCCCGACAATGGCAGTATTTCGATTTCAATGGCTTCTCTCGATTTATTTTGTACTCTACCTGCCCGCATTGGCACCTTCCGGTCCATTTCACAGGACCGAATTCTTCATCTGTTTGGATCTTGTATGGTGGCCGATGCTTCCAGCTTGCTTCATCGGTGGTGCCGGAGATGGGGTTGGGAAAGGGATCGCCCCCCGTTGGCACATCTTCCGCCATGCTTGGGGCTATATAACTAGATTTGCGATAGTTTGAAGCCGAGTGGTTGGTGATTCCAGAAAGAGAACTCCGAGATCTTTGCTGGCCGGCGCGAATGAGAGATGTCACGAAAGACCGGCGGATTGCGGGAACACAAGCTGTAGGTGGCTTAAACAACATAGAATCAAGTAAAGACTCGTCAAATATATTCAACCATACTCGCTCATGCCAATGTCCATATATATATATAGCTTGCTCGAATCTAGAAGAGTCGGGATAGTTGGTTGTATACGCCACCAAAAAGCCGGGAATCGCAGATGATGTCATTGCGATGTAAATGCGATTTATGATGCTTTTGTGCCATGGCCATCGTCATCTGAGGCTCTAGAGATTCAAAAGCCAAGAAACAACTTTATCGTATTCTTTGGGTTTACAGTTTTAGTTCCTTTTAGGTTGTGGTTTACACATCAGTCGTCAGCTGTAAGTTAGCCTTAAGCGGATTGTACATATGGGTGTTAATCAGTGACAATCATTCAAGATATCACCACTTATAGTATGTCCAAACTCAATTGATTGGAAAATGTTATAAAGTTATAGTTTGTATCGTTTCTAGGCTTGGTACTTAATGTTGAAAGCCATAATGCTAGAGATGATTAGATCATTGAGATTTACTTCGGAGGGAGGGTTTAAGTCATGGATAGGGCTAAACTTGTCGGTTTGCGGGTGACGATAACCCTACCAGGTCAGCGCAATATACGGCACGTACAGCCACATTTTTCCTTTTTCATTAGCATTCACGATATAACGCATTTTGACCCACCATAATTATTCCTGCCCATGCCCTATTCGATAAGTATCCGACCTTTTTAGCACCATCGTATCAAACGGTCAGCACAAACCCCTGCATATGGCGACCCAATGGCGCCGGGCTCTAAGCGCCCGAGTGCAAGACGCCCAATTAGGGATGCAGATATAATTACAACTAGTTTAGAAGCACCTCACTAGCACGCCCCGCCAAAGGCAATGGGGGGCTATTATCCTCGGAATCTAAAAATACAAAAGCCCCGGTCGTGGAGTGCTATGTTTAGAAATATCATTATATCCTCCCTGCCTTAAGATTGCTCTGAAAGCGCGATAGTGAAAGGCGTTTCCTAATTTCACGCCATGCGTCTGCTAAACACGAAACCATCCGAAACGGGCAACTTCATTATTGAGGAATTCTTCGGCGAACCCCCGCCGTATGCCATTCTGTCGCATACATGGCAAGAGATGGAGGTCACATTTCAGGATATAACAACTGGCGTGATTGATAAGAAGGGGTTCAAAAAGGTCAAAGATTGTTGTACTTTCGCTAGGGCCAACGGATATGGATACGCCTGGATAGATACGTGTTGCATTGATAAGACAAGCAGTGCGGAGCTGTCTGAGTCACTCAATTCTATGTATCGTTGGTACCAGGAAGCCGACGTATGCTATGCATATCTTGCAGATGTGCCGTCAGAGCCTTTCGCCAAGAGTAGATGGTTCAAGCGAGGGTGGACTCTTCAGGAGCTGATTGCTCCGTCGACGGTTATTTTCCTCGACCATGAATGGAAGGAATTGGGGACTAGGGGGAGCCTACGAGATGTTCTATCTGACATCACTAGTATACCTGTTGGTATCTTGGTGGGGGATGATGATGTTGAAACTGCTAGTGTTGCTCAAAGAATGTCATGGGCTGCGAGGAGGGAGACAACAAGGATTGAGGATCGAGCATATTGCCTCATGGGTATATTCGGAATCAACATGCCGCCGATCTATGGTGAAGGCAAGAATGCCTTCATTAGACTCCAGGAAGAGATCATGAAGATACTGGATGACCATGGCATATTTGCTTGGAGGTCGGACTCTGAAGAGGAGAATCATGGCGGGTTGCTGGCAACATCGCCAGATGCATTCAGAAAATCCGCAAATGTTGTTCCTTATAATCCTTTCGCGACGATTGAAGGACCGTTAACTGTGAGCAGTAAGGGGATATCTTTAGAACTCCGGTTCATAGGTATAGGACACCCAGGGCTAGGGCTTGCTATCCTGCATTGTACGGAGGGGAAGAGCGAGGAAAATCGGCTGATTGCAATATATCTGCAAGATTTGTTCCTGACAATGCAACGATTTGAAAGGAAACAATGCGGAAAATTTCAGTTAATTAACCTAGACGATCTTAAGCCATCACAATATCCCTTGAGAAGGTTATGCGTCCAACAACGACGTCCCCTGAGTCGAAAGATAAACAAAGCAGGGAAACCTAAAGAGACTAGGTTTGCTCTAGATAGTCTCCATCTACTAGTATCACAAAACCCACTGCAAGCTTGTCACGATGCGGAGACAAACTGGATCAACACAAATGGAATAAGCGGGAATGGACAGATGCTTCTATCTCACGCCGCTGGAAGAGGACATGTGGACATGCTATGGCTGCTGCTAACCCGAAGTGACGTCAGTGCCGGTGGAAGGGATCTCAGTGGCCGCACACCACTATCACGCGCAGCAGAATGTGGACAGGAAGCTATTGTGAGGTTGTTATTATGTCGCAATGATGTTGATCCCGACTATGAGGATAAGGACGGACGATCTCCCCTTTCATACGCTGCAGCCTCGGGTCACCTATCCATCATCAAACTATTGCTCCAGTCTGGCAAAGTCTATGCTGAGTCAGAGGATAACCGCAGTCGAACCCCTGTGTCACGAGCTGCAGAGGGCGGGCATGAAGTAGTGCTTGAATTGCTGCTAGAGAGGGGGGCAAGACTGGATTCTAAGGATGAACAAAGCCGAACACCACTTTCCTGGGCAGCCGCAGAGAATACCCATGGGGCTGCGTTAGCATTATTAATTGAGCGGGGAGCTACTATAGAGTCCAGGGATAAATTTGGGCGAACACCGTTAACCTGGGCCGCATCGAAAGGACGCGAGGAAGCAGTAGGTGTTTTACTTCAGAAGGGGGCTGATATAGAGTCTGAGGACAGTTATTCTCGAACACCACTATTATCTGCTTCAGAGAAATGTCAAGCTGGCACAGTGAAGATATTACTGGATAATGGAGCCTCTATAGAGGGTCGAGAGGCTAGTCGAAGATCACCATTAGCTTACGTGGCAGAGCGTGGGCACGCCTCAATAGCGAAAATCCTTCTTGAAAGAGGCGCTGATACAGAGTCTGAGAGCCCCCTTGGTCAGACACCGCTTTCTTTGGCTGCAGAGAGAGGTCAGGAGGTGGCAATGAAGCTACTGCTCGAACATGGAGCTAATATAGAGTCTCCTGACCATCAAGGTCATACACCACTCATCTACGCTGTCGACAATGGACAAACAGCAGCCATAAACATTCTGCTTGAGAATGGTGCGGACATAGACTCTTCTGACTCTCGTGGCCAGACACCCCTCATCTACGCAATAGAGAATGGACACGAAGCTATCGTAAAGCTTTTGGTTAAAAATGGTGCTGACATAGAGCTTCCTGATTCTCGTGGTCAAACACCACTTTCCTATGCCGCGGAGCATGGACACGAGGCAACGGTAAAGTTGCTTCTTGAAAAGGGTGCCAATATAACATCTCATGATCGGCGGGGTAAAACGCCTCTGTCTTACGCTACGCAGTATAAGCATGAGGCAGTAGCAAGGCTGCTACAGGCTAATTGCGTGGAAGCAGTCTTAGGTTAAATCTATAGCTTAACATAAAAAATATCGTAGTACATATATATAGATAATAGGCCATTGACTGCTGCAATTTCCGACAAAAGCCTTATTCATGAGATTGTCGTATATAATTCGTGTATAATTTATTCTTGTATTACATATCTGCGAAAAAGGTTCTTCGATGACAATGGAAGAATACAAGGAGATTGGTCGATAGCATTCATATTTGCCTGATGTCAACTCAGAGTAGGACCAAGGAGGCGAGTCTGTATGACAATTAGTTCCATTAGTAAGAACCACACAAAGAAGACGAAGTTAGATTCAGGAGTATATAACAGTGCAGGATGTTACTCTAGCTATGTCTGGATTACTATATCAAGACATTCGGCGTTTGAACAGACATGAATATCCGGCTAGAAGCCAGATGTACTCGAATCGAATAAGATCTGCTTCGGACAGAAGATTAGAGTCAAACAGAACTACCTGTCCAATCCGGTAGGTGTCCTACAGCAAACCCGATGGTCGTTCAATGATGCCGAGAGGGGTTAATGCCCCGGTCAGCATTAGGCCCGTCCGCCCATCGGCCCGCGTGTCTGACCTCGCATGTTTTAGAGCCCACATGATAGTGCTATTGCCATTTAAGCTCGAGGGTCTGTTCACATGACATTCATCGGAGCACAACCCCTGTCTGCTTGCAAAATGCCACCCTCTTATGATCGGAGAGGTCACAAATGTAAGCAGCATGACCGCCGCATGTCGGACATTTAAGAATGGGGAAATGCCCCGGCTCAAACGTACACAATAATAGACAAGAGGTTCGGTCTCAGGCGCTACGCACATGGGTAACCGAGATTAATACAACAACTGTGTTCATCGATCAATCGTACATTCCGTACCTCTTACTTTCCAAAACAAGATGCGGCTCAGGAACGTACATATCCTCGTCATCGTCTTGGCTGCTGGTCAGACCACAGCCGTTACTCAAATTACCGATGACCATATGGCGAGCCTCCTTAGCCAAGGAGGTGCAGAGCTTGCAGACCTCTATGCGCCCATGTGGTTTTTTGGCCAGGCTCTGAACCAGCCCCCTTGTTACCCGACATGGGCCTTTGGTGGCTCTCCTACTTCCAATGATGTGTACGACAGCACCCACAAGACCCCTGCGGCGGCACAGTGTGAGTATCCGGACGTTGGATGCAAGTGTCGTAACCCAGGAATGGCCACTAACAACAGGGCACCGGACTTTCCGATCTACTATACCTTTAAGAGGTGTAGTGATACCGAAGTGCGAGTGGCATATAATCTCTTCTATGAGAAGGACGGTGCCAAAGTCATCGGGGTTATTGACACTGGCCATGACTAGTGAGTGTTGGCACTCACTCCATTATTCAAGACATCTTTAACGGCCACAGCGACTGGGAGAGAGTTATAGTCATCCATTCCCGAGATAACAACAACATGTGGGCACCCTCGCGAGCACTTCTCTCCTCCCATAGCGGCTATCACAACCTAGCCTGGGGAGATATTCAGAATACCCTCACCACGAAAGAGATTCAGGCTGGAGATTCCAATGACCCCAATGGGGTCCGAAATAATGATCACCCCAAGGTCTATATCTCTTGGTCGAAGCATGCCCATTTCGATACGCGCAATACTGGCTGGGTTGACCCAATCAGTCAGTCAACAGATAACGCATTCCGAAGTAATGATTGGTGGCATTATGTCGACAAGAAATACTATGTAAGTTCCTTCCTGAAGCACGGCAATCCTGATTGTTTTGACTCATGAGCGCAGATCTTATCGGATAATTCTACCGACGCCGGCAAAGCTCTGGGAGGTGTTGACTGGGGTAGTGCCACCAGTAACCCCCCTTATGTGCAGGAATCTATTTGTACTGCCGAGAATTCTTGAATGTGTCACAAATATGTATAGAATTATTTGTGTAAAGAGTTTAGACAGATGCTTCATGTAGAAGTATCCATCGAGTTATAGATAAGTCCAATCATATCGCAAGCGATTAAGATTAATCAGGCACAAAAATACATGACGTCGACGGATATTAAATGGTCCCCACCATCCAACAAACTTATCCTCCTGGGCAACTTCTTATCAACCCTTGCTCAAAACACACGATCAAGGACGTATTCAGGGTCAGAGCAAATAGCATAGCTCAGGTACATCTTCACTTTCGTCTCAGCTTCGCAATTGAACCACCCCAAGGTGAAAAATTAGTCTCCCCCCACTTCGCCCATACCTCAGAAACGACCATCAACCCCACCTAGACCAACCACTTCTAACTTTATCCTGCATGCGCTGACCTCCACTGTGACAGAACGCACGGAAATTAGATATATAAAACTATATACAATATAGTTAAAGAAGATGTCCTGGGTTCAGAAGACTTTCTCCCTCCCCCCACAGGCTCGCGGCTCGTACCTAATCACGGACTACGTTGAAACTCAACTGCCGGAGATCAAGAACTACAAAGTCGGCATCTTGCACCTCTTCATCAAGCATACGAGCTGCGCTCTTTCACTAAATGAGAACTGGGACGATGATGTTCAGGCAGATATGACTGATGCGCTTGAGCGAATTGTGCCCTATGATAAGAAGGGTAACCTCTACCGCCATTCTGCGGAAGGAGAGGACGATATGCCGGTACTTATAACCTTTCCCCTCTATACTACGCCCTTATCTCGGCTGCGATTAGGTATCTTTGAGGAGCTTGGGCTGATTTTTGCATTAGGCACATGTGAAATCCGCGTTGATTGGTGCTTCGGTTAGCATCCCTATCTCCAATGGGCAGTTGGCCACCGGTACTTGGCAGGGGATTTGGTATTTGGAGTTCAGGGCTCATAAGCATAGAAGAAATGTTGTCGCAACCATCCAGGGAGAGAAGAGCGAGTGACTCGATAGCAATATAAGGGGGAATTTATGATTTATGATGTTATATGAATGTTGATAGGCTTAGAAAAGGTGCTGTGGTGTGTAGGTGTTGATTGCTTCGTATATAATATCGCACATATGTAGATATAATACGGATGAATTCTTTCCCTATCATGAAGAGATCTAATTTAATAGAACGGTCTATCCTTTCTCATCAACTCTGTCGTGATACCGGAAGTCACAAGCGGTTGCCACGATCCAAACATAGATGTCTAATTTGGTTTCCGTACTACATTACTAGTCAACCCATCATCGTTTGATATGGAAACATTTTATTCTAACTCATTGATCGGTACAATCTGTACAACGCCCTTCTGAAGGCAAAAGAGAGGGCAGGAAAAACAAACAATCATCAACGCCAAAAACAATGCTTTACCGCTGTTCAAGACCACCCTCGGTGACACGCTGAGTCTCGTTCACCTCAGCGGCGTCACCAGTGGGTTTGAGAGGGTAGCTGGTAGCGGGGAGGGACTCGAGGTATGCACGGTGCTGCTCGTGGGCCTAATACACTATTAGCGATTTGCACGAATCTGAATTCTGGGTGTGGATCTTACAAAAGGCAGTCCGCAGTAGCCGCAGGTAGCAATCTCGGGCTTGTCAGTGTTGATATAGATTCTGGGGTGGCCGAGAGGACCGCCACCACCGTCACAGCTGACTACTCTCTTCTTTGTCCAGCGGACGGGCTGCTTGTGGATGAGCTCAATGGCGGCATAGGGTTGGGGCTAGTTTTGATAATTGTTAGCTGATCGGTCTTTCACTCGTGGTGGCTGCGCAGGTCCATGTTTCGGATCTTGTCCGTCCAACCACCACAGCACAACATTCAATTGCAATTGTAATGCCCCAGCATACCTGCATCTCCATGATTGTCTGCTCGAAGCGAGGTCCAGTCATAGCCTTCTCTCTTGGCTGCTGGCTGGCGGCCCAGGTCCTGGCACGGTTAGGAGCCTGAAGCTGGCGGTTGCGCTCACCAGCCTCGACATCCTCCCTCAAGGGCGCATCCCGGGAGCCCATAGCATCAACTGGAGTGGCATTGGTGGCGGATACATTGGGCTTGGGCGGTTGCGGGGGGTTCGGGTCGTTGGCTTGGATGTTGTTCTCGGAAAAACGAGGGACGGTGGTGGAGTAGCTGGCCCGGGCGGCAACGCGAGGAGTCCAGGCGGCAGAGAATGCTGCGATCCGGCTTCGAGCCAAAGGCAACATGTTGAGCAATTGAGTCCCCAGGACTTGGTGCAGAGGGCAATTGTGGATGGCGGGTGAAGCGGAGGTGAGAAGTCGGCTTCAAAGGGTGAGGTTTGCGGGAGCTCGCGCCGCCGCTTGAAGAGCCAATCGGCGTCTCTCCTGCGGCTGCTGACCCAAATTCTGCCGCTTGCGAATTTGTTCCGCTTTTGGCTCATGTTTTTTTGTCGCGCTTTATTTCATGGCTATAGCTACATAATTTTTGCACGATACATTAATAGAAAAGGTTCTCTTTAGGTCCTTTTTAGTTTGGGCAACCCTTCTGTTGCAATTCCATCATGCCCGGCTCTCCTGCGACTGGCTCCAAGCCAGAGAAGACAATGTCTTCACGTCTTCTTACAATGAAAGTATGTCGCTTGCATTTGGGTCTTTAGGATGTTATACGGTCTTTGTCAACTAGAGCTTTGCGAACAGAAACTGATTGATTCAAGTTTATGCAACGAGCTGCCGCTACAGCTGCCGCTAAAGAATCGTCTCAGCCGCCTTCCACCGAAGGTTCAAACACACCCACCACAAAACGCCAAAGAGTCGCCCCCGGTGAACAACCTCAAAGTCCTGCAGCTACACCGTCAAAGGATCTTGAGGCCATCTCAGCTGCTCTTGCGGCAGAAGAAGAGAAACGCAGGGAAGCTATTGCTCGTCAGGCTGCGGAATCGGGCGAGACAGAATGGGTGCTTGATTTTGGTGCTGAAAGCCCTGTGAACCAATATGCCCCGCCGCCGTTCATTGTTGCCGATGCTTCCCTCGACGCTGACGATGACGATGACTTGGCATATGGGGGGAGACAGGCGTATGGTAACTTCAAGCGGAAGAAGAAGACTGAGGTTTGTTCGCATCTTCAAACTGCGGGAATCGTCTTGCTGACCATCATAGACACGCGTCGCGGGTGGTGATGAGTCTGGTTCAGAGGACGAAGATGATGACGAAGATGACGTTGACTCTATGATCAAAAAAGCCAAAGCAAAGGCCTCGAAGCAACCTCCGAAGGTGAAGCTCTCGCAATTAACGAGTATATCTGGTGGACGTCAAGGTTCTGTTGGAGGGAACAAGTCTCAGAAGAAGCGCAAACACAAATAAAGTAGTTCTGTCTGAGAATCATTCGCCATCCTGCGGAACAACACGATGACATTGCCTACGGGCCTCACGCCAGCATTCATATCCCCAAAGCGTGCGGCGTCTTCATCCACAGGTGTGCCACCGACTTCTTCGGACTACGAAGAGATACAATGGGCATACATATATTGCGCTTTCCTCTGTTCTCGTTGGTGCGCTTTGCTTTCCAGCAGCTTCGGAGCTGAACCACATGCTTGGAACCCAATGCTACTTACCACACTAGTGCAGCGCCGCTTTGATATCAGGGCTCCCCCTCCGCTTATGGGCATCGTTTCCCACAAAGCCGACATCGAAAGTAGCGTTTCGGATGGGCAGCTCCTCAACATTGAGCACGAAAGACTCGCTTTGGTGTCTAGCGTGGCTCTGCTGTCTTCTTGAATGGGATAGCATAATGTGCGGCCTCGGGTTTCCATCTCTATCAACCTTGCTCAAAAACAGACGACAGCGTAGTTGAATTCCCTCTATAGTGCCGGAAATCAAGAATCGAATTCAACATGAATTTACGAAGCTGAGCAGATGAGATCACTCGCGTTCAGCACTTAGTCGCTTGGATATTTCATTTACTGTCTACGTAGCTTGCAGTCGTTTATAAAATGTATGAGTTTGTCAAAGTCACTAATCACAATATATAAGCGGGACTATATCCAGCTATTCTCTCTTACAAGATGCCGAAGCATACTATTTCTTTCGATCCGTTTAGAATATGATTAATCTCAGGGAATTTCTTTCACGCGGAGAAGCTGATATGTTCAGTTGGTGTGTCAGCGTGGAAAAGATCCTCCTATAGTCAAGAGGACTGAAGCAATAGCCAGCACTGTGCAGCATACAGAGTTCCACCTAAGAAGCTTTCTTATTTGTGATTCCCTCAATTTGTTTGCTCACACCCTGTAAATGGTCCCCTTTCACAAACCACATATTGTCTGGGTGTATTCATTGACAGTCTCTCCTCTTTTACCGCGTTCTGCCCCTGATGCTCTCGCGTTTATGCCAATAGATCCATATTGCTCTACTCTAGCATGTTGCTAGAATCTTACCCGCCGTTCCATATCACTAGCTTGGAATATATCTTCTTACGAAGCAATTAACTTAAGCCAGGCAGGCTGCTTTTACTAAGTAGGATTTCTTTAAACCAGACCAAGGTGTTAGTATCTTCACGGTGTTCCGGCCATTGGCCCTAACAAGACATGACCTCTATCATCCATCCATTATGAGTGACATGATTTCCGAGACTTACAACCTTGGCGACATGATCCACCACTTTTATTTGTCTTCGAGATCTATTGATTAGACTTGGAGCCTTGCGCACGGTTCGATTATGAGGGCTACATTGCCGGCGATCTGCCAATAAAAGATCTTTGATCGACCTATATTCTATATTCAGTCAACATGGTATAATGGTGCCAGAAAATATACACATCACTGTAGGAGATATTTCCATCTACTAGAAATGTCTATCGATGTCACTATTATGGTTCCCATTAAATTGATTAAGATCAAGAGAGTGTTAAAGAATGTAAAGACCACACAATCTATTTACACTCATAGATATGATCAGTATACCACTTATGCGCCTCAATACTCTGCGTCTTCTGTCCAGCATTCCCCATATCAGAGTCGGCCTCATTGATCATCTCGATATCCGCCGTGCCAACAGCCTCATTGTTCCCCACGGGGATCCAATACTCCGGACTAATCTGATGATACCCGAGCAGACGAGGCGGCAAGCGAGGAACAATATCATTAGAATGAGTAACACGGAAATTAGAGCCCTGACCCGAGACATAGTCGGCGAATTCCTGATTGCCCACACGAGGCGCTCCATAGGTATACTATTCCCGTCACGTTAGCACTGCACTTATACCGTAGAACCAAGCCCATAAGAGAAAAAGAAAAAGAGAGGATAATACTCACCAACTCAACCTTAGACCCCGAATTTCGCAACGCAGTTGCCGCAATAGTCCCAACTGCGCCACCGAAACTATGCCCGGTCACGGCAAGTTTGAAACCAGGATAAGCCTGGAGGGCTTTCTTCACGCCATCCAGCGTAGCGGTAGCTACTGACTCCCATGACTTCCAGAAGCCGGTGTGCACTTTGCACCCGTCACAGAGTTCATCGACATCCTCTTTTGCGAGCTGGATGTTGGCAGCCCATGTCTCTATCGATCTGGTTCCTCGGAAGGAGAGAACAATTTGCTTGTTTGACTCATCTACGGCGAGGAACCCGGCCACATCGCCAAAGGCTTCGTTGCTGTTTTAGTTCAAAGTTAGCGGGCTTGGGGGTGACATGGGATGTATAGGTACTTGTGATTAAGTCAGTTAGACATACTCTTCAAACTCGGTCAGAGTCTTGGTATTCGCTCCCTCGACAAGAGGACAGTTCCCAACTGAGCAGGTGAGCTTTGTATCAGGGGAATTTGTATTGGCGGAACAGTATGCTGCTGCCGCGTACTGGGCGTATAGAGTGAGTTGTTGGAGGAATTGTGGCGAGACCTCTAAATCCATCATTAGAATCTGACGTCTCATATGACAGGATACCTCATGCTCAGGGGTAGCATTCTACACTCACCTCGAGGGACTATTTGAGCCGAAGAAGAAGGGGCAGCAACGCCCAGTCCTGCACAGGCCGCGAATGCCGTTAAAACTTTGCCGAGATGGTGCATTGCGCGAATATTATATAAAGAATAATGATATATGTACTAAACAAAGAAAAAGAAAAAGTCAATTGAAATGAGAGGACAGGTCAAAGGGACAGAAGATAAGCCCTATGAACCCAAAATTTAGCCCCTTGAATGCCACAACGCCGGAGGCACTCAAACCTGTTGTTTCTCCCTTATTCACATCGATTCAGAGTCATCCATGGAACCCTTAAACAACCTTATATGTCTAGACACGGACAGGCAGCACTCGCCGAGCCCAACTACTGTACTCCCCACACCAGGAGGTCAAACTCCCCAACGGTATTCCGGTGGGAGACACAGATCACATTCGCCAAGATGCATCGTAGCGTATCCCATAGTATCAGGCAATAAAGCTCAAACAATAGGAGAAGAAAGATCCATGCAAAATTGAAGATCGGCACTGTGAAGAGGCTTGGGCCACCTGCAATAGGAACGAATCAGAAAGCAAGACCACAGGCCATGGAGGCTACAGTGTAAGAATTCTTCGCAGAGTGTATACAATAGAAAAGCTAAGTCACCCGCGTCCCTGCGCCAAGTTCATAGTTCCCATCTCTATCCATGGATTCGCTAGTGGGGACTGTCCCAATTCCTTACCCTAACGGTTAACGAACAGCTAATTCAGGTCCCAGGGATGGACGCGACCAATGAACGGTTCTTGCTAGCTCGTTTTGTCTCATGGGTGATCCTTTCTTTTTGTTCCGTTCCGTAGATGTACTTAGTGCTTATCACTGAGCTAAGTATCTCTGCCGTAGAGGAATTTTTTTTTTCGAACCAACGGGGGATCTTGTTGTTATATCGCCGATATTTCCCCCTTCGGAAGGATTCCGTTTACTCTATATTAGTTAAACGAGGCTTGGGACATTGAGTGAGCACGTTTTGGTCTACTAGTAGGTGCTACTTTGGAAAAGGGTCCAATGAGGTTGGATTTAGGGCTGTCTTTCTCATTCTTTCGTTGTATGGGGTTTGGGGTTTACTGTGGTGTGACAGTAGTTTGTTGGGAGACTTTTGGCGTATCTCGTGCTATTAAGGACCGACAGTTGTGAAGGATACGCGATGATGAATCACTAGCCGACCCCGTTTCTCCTTCCGTATAGTTGCAGATGCTTTCTGTAGGGGCTGTGGATTCCATGTAGGCGCGGGCGGTTGGTGTGCGCTCATTATCCGATGCTCAGCATTCTATGCATACCATTTTATTTTGTAATGTTTTGGAGAAAGGATGGATCATTATCGGAAAAATACAACAGAGAACATCCCGCTCCTTAAAACGCCGGCCAATAACAAAACTCATCATGTCTTTGAAGAAATGGTAATCAACGGGACGCAAACAGACTAACGTCCAATTGTTGAGTAACGCATATACGTACTCACCTCCGGGCTAGGTCAGTCCTCACTGTGCTCCATTCTCGGTTGTATCTCCAGTGTAGTCGGCCATTCCCTCGTCCTGCCCTTCATTGTCTCCTGCGAGGACCTTCGTCTTCGGGATCTGGCCTTCAGGCAGCGGTGTACCCGGGGTCGCGGCGACGACGTTGTCGTTCTCATCCACAAATTCGAAGTTATACCGAGACAGCAGGTGAGGGATAGCCGACAGTTGTGGACCATAGCGGGCGGTGTTGTCGTACAGTTCAAACAGCGGCACAGCAAGAAGCTTCATGTTCTTCGGTACTGAGAGGACCTCTGGAAAGGAACGAAGTTAGACAGGTACAACATGCAAAAGGAACGAGAGTCGAGAGTAGAAACTCACTCTTCTTAGGCAGCTGAATGAAGTACAACTTCTTGCACTCCTTTGGCCGAGTAACATGGCCAGGCAGGAAGGGATACATGAAGGTCTCGAAATTGGGCCGCCACCATTGCGCAAGTGTGTCGCCGATTTCCCAGTCCTCATTGACGCCTTCTCCTGAAAACTGCGACCCGACAGGCGCAAGGCGCTCGTTTAGTCGCTTCTTGAAACCCTCCACCTCGTCGTCTTCGAAGTGAAGATAGTCGCCCGGACTAGGTTGATGGTCAGTCTACGGTTCTTTTTGGTATGTCGCACTGCAGGCCACGGTAGTCGATGTAGGTAAGGCAACAACGTACAGCTTGAAAAAGGCATTGGCGATTTGTAGCATCAACACGTGAGGATGGTTATGTTCATGGCAAACAAGGACACCTTCACAAGTCCGTCTCATGCCATGCTGCTCGTAATGTTCCTCAAGGCGCTTTAGACGGGCCAGGACTGAGGGGTCCTCCTCCGGTTGCGTTTCCTTGGTGCCGAATGTGTAATTGGAGAGTGGATATAGACGGATTGTTTGAGGTTGCTGAGCGGAGAAATCTTTAGGGATGATAGGCCTACAAGGAATAAAATATCAGTAACCGCCAGTGAGCGAGCGAAGTCGTAGGTAAGTCCGGTAGACGAAACAGAGAACATACGGGCGAGAGCTTTGCATCGCCGTCGCCGTGGTAGTTGACATTTTGACGATTATCTGTTTTCAGCAATCAAAGATGCAATATTGATGCGAGTTAAATTTCAAATAAATGTGGAATTGAGTAAAATTTGACGCGGCTGCATTCAGTCGCAACTTCGATGCGGCGGAGGTCAACCGGAGCACTGATGGAGAAGTGGATGGAGTAGACCGTAGTTAGCTTTGTTATGGCCATCGGGCTCGCCCCGCGAAAACATTCCACCGCCCCGAGGAGGGCGCCATTTACACTGATGTTCGACAGAACCAGAGCACAATAGTTCATGTACGTCCAGTCTATGACGATCTATGAGAAAGCAAGGTGTCTCCAATTCTTTCCGCTATGTCTCAATCAGATTTGGGATTATTTTTAAATGTTCAGCGAGCATTGAATAATGTTATATCAATATCTGAACCGCTTGGTTTCTAAATGGATCTACTGCGTACATATCAAGATCTCATAGCTCCAATAACCCCAACCGATGCCTTACCCATCACTCACCCCAACACCCACATGTTCAATACCGAAT